GACTTAATAGATATCTACAGAACATTCCACCCTAACACAAAAGAATATACCTTCTTCTCAGCACCCCATGGAACCTTCTGAAAAATTGACCACATGCTTGGTCACAAAGCAAATCTCAACAGATAACAAAAACATTGGAATAACCTCATGTATCTTATCAGACCACCATGCCTTAAAGTTAGATTTCAACAACAACAAAAAAATATAGAAAGCCTACAATCTCAGGGAAACTGAATAATACCTACTTGAAGCACCAACGGGTCAAGGAAAAAATACAGAAATTAAAGATTTCCTAGAATTCAATGAAAACGAATGTACAACATACCCAAACTTATGGGACACTATGAAAGCAGTGCTAAAAGGAAAATTCATAGCACTAAATGCACACATAAAGAAGATGGAGAAATCTCATACCAATGACTTAACAGCACACCTGAAATCTCTAGAACAAAAAGAAACAAACTCACCCAGGAGGAATAAATGCCAGGAAATAATCAAATTAAGTACTGAAATCAATGAAATAGAAGCAAAGAGAACAATACAAAGAATCAATGAAACAAAGAGTTGGTTCTTTGAAAAAATCAACAAGATAGACAAACCCCTATCCAAATTAATCAAAAGGCAAAGAGAGAGCATCCAAATTAACAAAATCAGAAATGAAAAGAGACATAACAACAGTGAGGAAATCCAGAGAATCATCAGGTCATACTTCAAAAACCTGTACTCCACAAATTGGAAAATCTGAAAGAAATGGACAATTTTCTGGATAGATACCACATACCAAAATTAAATCAAGACCAGATAAACTATTTAAATAGACCAATAACCCTTCAGGAAATAGAAACAGTTATTAATAGTCTCCCAACAAAAAAAATCCCAGGACCAGATGGTTTTAGTACAGAATTCTACCAAATTTTCAAAGAAGAGCTAATTCCAATACTCTTCAAATTGTTTCACACAATAGAAACAGAAGGAACATTACCAAACTCTTTTTATGAGGCTACAGTTACCCTGATACCCAAACCACACAAAGATGCAACAAAGAGAATTACAGACCATTGTCCCTCATGAACATTGATGCAAAAATACTCAACAAAATATTGGCAAACCGAATCAAAGAACACATCAAAAAAAGTACCCACCGCCAGGTGGTGGTGGCGCACGCCTTTAATCCCAGCACTTGGGAGGCAGAGCCAGGCAGATCTTTGTGAGTTTGAGGCCAGCCTGGTCTACAGAGTGAGATCCAGGAAAGGCACAAAGCTACACAGAGAAACCCTGTCTCGAAAAAAAACAAACAAACAAAAACAACAAAAAAATATCCACCATGACCAAGTAAACCTAAAAATCCCAGGGATGCAAGGATGGTTCAACATACAAAAATCTGTCAATGTGATACACTATATAAACAAACTGAAAGAAAAAAACACATGATCATCTCATTAGATGCTGAAAAAGCCTTTGACAAAATCCAACACCCCTTCATGATAAAGGTCTTAGAGAGATCAGGAATACAAGGAACATTCCTAAACATAATAAAGGCAATTTACAGCAAGCCAGCAGCCACCATCAAAGTAAATGGAGAGAAACTCAAAGAGATTCCATTAAAATCAGGAAGAAGACAAGGCTATCCATTCTCCCCATATTTATTCAATATAGTACTTGAAGTTTTAGCTAGAGCAATAAGACAGCAAAAGGAGATCAAGGGGATACAAATTGGAAAAGAAGTCAAACTTTCACTATTTGCAGATGACATGATAGTAAACATGAGTGACCCCAAAAACATGAGTGACCAGGGAACTCCTACAGCTTCAGTAAAGTGGCAGGATACAAGATCAACTCAAAAAAGTCAGTAGCCCTCCTATACACAAATGATAAAAGGGCTGAAAAAGAAATCAGAGAAACATCACCTTTTACAGTAGCCACAAATAATATAAAATACCTTGGGGTAACACTAAACAAGTGAATAGCCTATATGATAAGAACTTTAAGTCTCTAAAGAAAGAAATTGAAGATATCAGAAAATGGAAAGATCTCCCATGCTCATGGATAGGTAGGATTAACATAGTAAAAATGGCAATCTTATCAAAAGCAATCTATAGATTCAATGCAATCCCCATCAAAATCCCAACACAATTCTTCACAGACTTGGAAAGAACAATATTCAATTTCATATGGAAAAACAAAAAACCCCAGGATAGCTAAAAATATCCTGTACAATGAAGCAACCTCTGGAGGCATCATGATCCCTGACCTCAAGCTCTACTATAGAGCTATAATAATAAAAACAGCTTGATAACTGCCATAAAAACTGACATATGGACCAATGGAATCAAATTGAAGACTCTGACATTAATCAACATACATATGAACACCTGATTTTTGACAAAGAAACCAAAACTATACAATGGAAAAAAAGAAAGTATCTTCAACAAATGATGCTGGCATAACTGGATGTCAACATGTAAAAGATTGCAAATCCATATCTGTCACCATGCACAAAACTCAAGTCCAAGTGGATCAAAGGCCTCAACATAAATCCAGTTACACTGAACTTGATAGAAGAGAAAGTAGGAAGTACTCTTGAATGCATTGGCACAGGAGATCACTTCCTAAATATAATACCAGTAGCACACATACTGTGAGCAACAATTAATAAATGGGACCTCTTGAAACTGAAAAGCTTTTGTAGGACAAAAGACACAGGCTGGAGAGATGGCTCAGAGGTTAAGAGCACTGGGTGCTCTTCCAAAGGTCCTGAGTTCAATTCCCAGCAATCACATGGTGGCTCACAATCATCTGTAATGAGATCTGGTGCCCTCTTCTGGCCTGCAGGGATACATACAGGCAGAGCACTGTATTCATAATAAACAAACAAATCTTTTAAAAAAACAAAAAACAAAAGGGAAGTGATCAGAGTGGAGAGGCATGACTTTAATCCCAACACTCAAGACATATTCTTTGAGACTGAGGCTCTCCTGCTCCACATATCCAGCTCCAGGCCAGCCAGAGCTGTACAGTGAGACACTGTCTCAAAAAAAAAAAAAAAAAGACACAGTCAATAAAACAAATGACAGCCTACAGAATGGGAAAAGATCTTCACCAACCCCATATCTGACAGAGGACTGATATCCAAAGTATATAAAGAACTCAAGAAACTAGACATCAAAATACTGAACAATCCAGCTGGGCGGTGGTGGCGCACACCTTTAATACCAGCCCTCGGGAGGCAGAGCCAGGCAGATCTCTGTGAGTTCGAGGCCAGCCTGGGCTACAGAGTGAGTTCCAGGAAAGGCACAAAGTTACACAGAGAAACCCTGTCTCGAAAAACCAAAAAAAAAAAAAAAAAGAAAGAAAAAAAATGAACAATCCAATTAAAAAATGGGCTATAGAACTAAACAGAATTCTCAAAAGAAGAATCTCAAATGGCTGAAAGACATTTAAGGAAATTCTCAACATCTCTAGTCATCAGAGAAATGCAAATCAAAACAACTCTGAGATACCATCTTACACCTGTCAGAATGGCTATGATCAAAAACACTAATGACAGTCTATGTTGGAGAGGATGTGGAGCAAGGTGAACACTCCTCCACTGTTGGTAGAGTACAAACTTGTACAACCACTGTGGAAATCAGTATGGTGGTTTCTCAGAAAATTGGGAATCGATCTACCTCAAGACCCAGCCATACCACTCTTGGGCATTTACCCAAGGAATGCTCAATCATACCACAAAGATACATGCTCAACTATGTTCATAGCAGCATTATTTGTCATAGCCAGAACCTGGAAACAACCTAGATGCCTGTCAACTGAAGAATGGATTAAGAAAATGTAGTACATATACACAATGGAGTACTACTCAGCAGAGAAAAACAATGACAGCATGAAATTTGCAGGCAAATGGATGGAACTAGAAAATATCATCCTGAGTGAGGTAAACCAGACTCAGAAGGACAAACATGGTATGTACTCACTCATAAGTGGATACTTGGTATAAAGTAAAGGACAATCAGACTGCAACCCACAGATCAAGGGAGGCTACCTAGCAGGGGAGACCCTAGGATGACTTTGGCATATAATAAGTTTTGGTTTTACCCAATCACTGGGCAAGCTTTAGTGAAACATTTCATATTAGGATAAGATTTTATACTATATCAAGCTGATGAAAGAAAATGCTGGCTGTACTTTCAGGAGGGGAGGCTAAAATCTTTTTAGAATATGGATTAGCCTATAGAAAAATGTCTGCCATAAATCGAACAGTGAATGGGGAAAATGAATAGGAAGCTCATTTACACAACTTAAGTAAAACATAGCTCTCTGAACAGATGAAGATAGGTTTATTCTGTATTCCAGAATCTAATCAATATTTGTATGTATAATTCAGCTATCATTTGGCTTAAAAGGGTTTATTGGGAAATGTTATCATTTATACTATTTTCTACAGAAAAAATATTTTACTGTTTAAAAGAACCCTGGACTTTTAAATTATAGCCTGTTTTTATGCTTAAAAAAAGGCACTTTTCATGGAAAACAGTATTTTTAACTGAAATACTATTGTGGTGGTTTGAAAGAATGTGGTCCCCAAAGGGACCACACTATTAGGAGGTGTGGTCTTGTTGGAGGATATGTGTCACTATGGAGGCAGGCTTTGAGGTCTCATGTATGCTCAAGCCAGGCCCGATGAGACAGACCATTTCCTGTTGCCTGAAAGATGTAGAACTCTCAGCTACTTTTCCAGCACCATGTGTTAGTATTCTGACCTGCCCCTTGAAATCCCGCCCTTTGGCGCTGCCCTATGTCCCAAGGTAAAAGCCTCATTTTAAGGAAAAGCCCCTCACCTTCCTCTCTCTTCCGCTTTTCCTCCCATGAGGTATGCACCCCTCTCTCTCTTCTTTTCCTCTTTCTTATCTTCTCTTCATCTCTCCATCATAATAAACCATTTCTATGTGGAAAAAAATAGAGAGAAAATTCACACATGAAGGATATGTCTCTCTTGATTCCAGATTATCCGGACCTTGAAGTTAACATTTGAAAGTGAATTGTCGCAAGTTAATTCCATAATTCCAAGGAACCCCCCGAGGTGAGTAAGTCATGATTTAGGAGACAATAAAGAGTTACATGCTTCCTAAAGTAACAACCACATTAAAATAATTTTAATTTGTGTAAATTATTTAAGTGTTTTCTTTAAGTTAGCCAATGTTGGCAACTGTTGTATAGAGAAGTAATAAATTTATAAGAACATTTATTTATGTACTAAATTTTTTAGGTTGGATATAAATTACGGCGAGATTATCTGTATGTTCAACAGTATGGGAAAGATTGAATTTGAGGACTCAACAAAGTAAGTACTTTTAAGAATGGCAAAATGCTGTTAGTATCTGATAGTACCTAAGTCTAAGAGACAAATGAATGTTTAATTTAATTCAAGAGCTAAAAATTACCTAAAAAGCTGCCTTTCTGTAGTTAATTTCTGTTTGTAGTGCTTTTTAAAAGACCTGGAAGAGATTAGTATTAGTGATTTATGCATCGAGGCTCTTTGGATTCATCCAGTGCTAGACTCCAGCATTTTAGAAGATAATGAGATAAACAGAGAAATTACAATGCATAAAATAGAAATGAAAAACAAATAAAATGCATTATGGTTGTGATAGTAGATGTAGACAGTAGAGCTGCTGCAAAGGAATGGAATGATCATTTCTTCTTAGGACAATAGAGAACTTAGAAAAGGATTTTATTTTCACTTACCTGTGGGAAATAAGTGTTAAGTGGAAAGGAGAACAAATGGAAGGTAGGTGTCAGAACAGCATATAGGCAGTAAACTATATAGCATCCATATTAGAAAACCTGCCACAGTTCCATTCTGTGTATCCCTGTGTGCATAGAGAAGCTCAACCTAGAGACTGTGCTGCTGTGTGACAGTGTTTACACTTTATTTACTTGCTGTTAAGTATGATGGCTATCAACCAAATGTTGCTTAAATTAAGCACAAGTTAATTGAGACTAAATAAAATGACAAATTCACTTCTTTGGTTTTATAAGCCAGATTGCAAATGCTTAGATGTCACGTGTCTTAGTATAGTTATGCTGCTGTAACAAAGCGCCTAAATAGAAATTTGTTTCCTCAGTCTAGAGGCTGGAAAATTCAAAATCAGGGCACTGACAAGTTCACCGACTGATGAGAATCCTGGTCTCTGCTTCCAAGATGGCAACTTAATAGCATGCATAAGGCCCTAGATTCAAACCTTAGTGCAAGGAGGGGTGGATAGAGTTGATGCCTTCAGTATTGTTGGCCTCACAGGATAGGAAAAAAGGGATGGACAAAATAGGGACAAATGTTGTAGCATCATTTGACAGAACAATAAAAGGCTCAAGATAGTTCTCTCCATTCTGTTATTTTGTTATTTGAGCCAGATTTCTGTATGTATCCCAAACTGGCCTTAAACTTGTATAGCTCAGGCTTGCTTTGAGCTAGCTTTGAGCTAGCTTTGAGCTTTCAGTGATACCCTCTGCCTCAGCCTCCCTCAGTGTGTGTCATCACATGTGGTATCTCCATCCATTTTAAAAGGTCCAGCTCAAAAGTCTAGCAAGATGACTTAAAGAGTAAAGATGCTTCTACCAACTCTGATGACTTGAGTTCAGTTCCCCAGAATGTACATGGTAGGAGATAACCGATTCCTACAAGTTTTATCTGACCTCCACGCATACTATGGCACATGCATTCCTACACACTTGTACACACGCCATAGTACATGCACTCATACATACATATACAGATAATAAATAAGCAAATGTGAAAAATATTGTAACATATAGTACCATTCAATGGAGTGGAGTCTTTGTACTACCAGCATGAAGATTGTTTCAGCATCATCTCAGTACCACCAGCATGAAGATTGTTTTAACATGTGAGTTTTCATGCCAACTCTCAAATCATAGCACTGTTAGTTCAGTACATTTCTGCTATTATTAATAGTTCTATTGGATGATAAAAACCACTCAGAAGATTTTAAACATGAAAACAACAATACTTTGCTGACTCTCCAAGGGAGGCCTCACCTTTTTGGAGGAGGAAATGGGGGATGGGTTGGGGAGAAAGCTGCGGGGGGGAGCAGGAGGAAGGATGAGAGGGTGATCTGTGGTTGATATGTAAAATGAGTAAAATATTTCTTAATAAAGAAAAAGAAGAAAAGAAAACAATAGTTAGATTGCATTTTTATGTTTTAATTATTATCTTTATTTTTATGTGTACTTCTGTGTGTGTGTGCATGAGTGCAGGTGCCTGTGGAGGCCAGAAGAAAGCATCTAATCCTCTGGAAGTAGAGTTACAGATGACTGTGAGCTACCTAATGTGGGTGCTTGGAACTGAACTCAGGTCCTCTGCAAGAGTAATGGGTGCTCTTAACTGCAGAACTATCTCTCCAGACCCCTAGATTACATTTTTGAAAGTTCACTCTGAGTCTAAGGCCAACTTGATCTACCTAGCAAGTTCCAGGCCAGCCAGAGCTACATAGTGAGATACTCTGCTTCAAAAGAAGGAAATAAAGAAAAGAAAAACTGTTTTACACACACACACACACACACACACACACACACACACACACACACACACACAGGAACACAGGAACAAAAATAAATTGGGATAGTGGATATGTTCACTCCTATTTATTGGCCATCTGAGGAGAAAGGTAGAGGGGAATCTTGAGTAAATGTGCTAGTTTAAGGCAAGATCTTGGACTTGATTCCAGATTTAGGTTATTTATGTTGGTCTTTTTTTCAAATACCCAGACAAGTGAGGAACCAAATGGTGAGGAGTTTGGTTGTTTGCAACTTTATTTGGAATAATAATTATTCAGTGTCCCAGGTAGTCTTAATTGTGATGTCAGCTTGACACAATCTAGAGTCATCTGAGAGGAGACTCCTCTATTGCCTACATCAGGTTGATCTGAGGGCATGTCTGTGAGAGATTGTCTTGTTTATTAATGGATGTAGAAGGGCCCAGCGTACTAGGTGGCACCATTTCCATTGTGGTCCTGAGTTTTATGAAAAAGATAGTTAAAAATTAGCCTACAAGCAGGCTAGCAAGCAGATTTCTGCTTCAAGCTCTGCTTGGGTTTCCCTGACTTCCTTCAGTAATAGACTGTGACCTGGAAGTAAAGGCCAAACAAATCCTTTTCTCCTCATGTTGCCTTTGGTCAGAGTATTTTATCACATCAACAAGAAAGGAAACTAGCACAAATGGCATCAGACTGAAATAGCCTATCACCCTTAGTCATAGGAAGACCTTGCTATGGTCTAGACTGGGTACCAGCCTTCCCACAGGCTGTGCCTTGGCTTAGCTTTGGGGGTTTCCCAAAGGATAAAAAATGATAATCAGCAACCTTTTCAGGCAGTATATTCTTCTAGATAATTTTAGAACTTCAATATGGTTACTATCAAATTTCTAAGGTTAAAACCACTCTGCTTCTTTATAAAAGTCTTTGCTAATCTTGTGTTGATTTTAAATGACTACTCTGAGTTAAATTTAAATTTTTCTGAAGGCAAGTTCAATGAAGCAGGTAATTGAAAAAAAGTCAAGGGTAGTGCTCTGGAAAATATTTAAATCTAAAACAATGAAAAAGTGACCTGAAAAATAAATAAATAAGCTTAGATGGTGCTGGAGAGAGAGGATGAAAGCAAACAGAAAAATGTGGTTTTGTATAAGGAAAGATTAATGAGACTAGAGCTAGTTAACTTAAAAGTTGAGTAAGGTCTGGTGATAATAACTATGGAAAGGTCTTTACAATACAGTACACACAGGCCTTTCAGAAGGGCCCTCTGTACAACTTAGATTAATTTCCCCTAGTATCAAATGCGTTCCTTTTGTTGGAAGGGGCAGATAAACATGTGTTGTTAATTCAGTTGCCTTTCTGTAATTTGTAAATTGACTCGCTAGTATTTTGTGAAGAAATAAAGTCTGTCATGAGCTAACTAAAATGTAATTTTTATGGACTCGTTCTCTTCCATTTTAAAATTTCTAATTATAAATTTGATAGCCTAAAAGTGTCTGGCTCTGAGGAGAAGGCAGAAGAATGGTAGGGCTTGAGGAGATGGCTTAGTTAGTGAAGGGCTGCTCTGCAGACTCCCCATGCAAACCTGAGTTCGATCTTAGCACCCATGGAAAGAGCTGGACACTGTGGACGATCCCTAGAACTGCTGAATCCAGGTTCTGTGACAGATCTTATCTCAGCAAATAAATAAGGTGGAGAGCAGTTGAGGAAGATACCAGACATAAATCTCTAGCTTCCACACACATGTCTGTGGTACACACATGAATGAGTCAGCACACACACAAACTAAATAAACATACCACACCCAGAGGATTCAGGTAATGTAACTATGAGCCTGGTGGAAGTGTCTTAAGATTTGTACTCACATTATTTCCTATACTTATTTTTAAGATGACAAAGTCAGAAATAATCTTAATATAATTTAAGTGAAACCCTTAAGCCAAATCAAAATGACTTCTTTGGAAAACCTATAATATTTTAGGGTCAGATTATTATGATATGACTGTTTGAAGTTTCCCTCATCATACATACATCTTCTTGACTTTTTAAAACCCTAAAGATAGCCAAGTGTGCTGGCACACACCTGTAATCTCAGCATTTGGTAGGCTGAGGCAGAAGGACCGTTGAGTTAGAGACCAGGCAAATCCCAAGCCATACTGAACTACTTAGAGAGACCCTGCCTCAAACAAAACAACAAAACAGAATGATCAATCCCAAAGGTTGTTTGGGGCTTTGACTAGGCAGATTCTTTGGGAGTTTGAAATGGGCAGGAGGATTTCTTTAGGGCCAATTACTATGTTCTAAAAAAGTTAGATTGTGGCAAGGTTATGCAACTCTTTAAGGTTACCAAAAATCATTAGATTGTATGGTATGTTTCTGCATCAGTGAAGCTGTTTATGAATTGATCTTTTGGTATGTATCACACATCAGCTATCATATGGGAAAGAAATAGCTTGAAGGTCAGTATTAAAGTAGTCCTGCTGTGTATTTTTAAACAGATGTTACCCTCAAGAAAATGAAATTGGACAGAATGTTCAAAAATTTAATAATAAAAAGGAACTTTGTTGTGATGCATACTCATCACTAGAAAAGAAAAGGGTAGACACAGCTGTCCTGGCTGGTGAAGCACCTGTACTCCCTTTGCAACCAGAGACCCCTGTCAAGCATTTAGAAGGGAAAAGCAAGCAGCCGCAGAAAGAGGTGGCTGTAGTAACGTCTCCCAAGACTATTGCTGTGCTGCCTCAACTGGGATCTAGTCCTGATGTGATAATTGAAGAAATTATTGAGGAAAACCTAGAATGTGAGTAAAAATAGAAATGGGAGGATCTGTTATCTGTAGTTAAAAAGAATTGTTGTTGTCTTTTGTTCATGTGCTTAATAGAAACATACTGCTCTAATTGTATATCTCATATCCCATCATGAGTGAGAATCTATTGATTCCATGCACCTGCCTTCACATATTCCAAATTTGGAAAATTTTGTTTTTAGCTTTTATTTATTTATATTGGGTTTGGAGGTGCTGGAGGGGTCTCACAACTAATGTAGTCTGGCCTAGAATTCACTATGTAGCCCAGGCTAGGCTCCTATTTAAAGCAATCCCCCTGCCTCAGTGACTTGAGTGCTGGGATTCCTGATATAAGCTACCTTGCCTGGTTTGTTTTTTAAAGGCCTGTGTTGGCAAAGACCTTTAATTCCAGCAGTCGGAAGGTAGAGGTAGGCAGAGCTCTGTAAATTTTGGGCTAGCCTGGTATACATAGTGAGCCCAGGCCAGGCAGGGTTACACAGTGAGATGCTGTCTCAAACAAACCAAAAACAAACAGATTTGGGGCCTGAAGAGTTGGCTCAGGAATTAAAAGCCTTATTACTCTTGCAGAGGACAAGAGGACCTAGATTTGGTTCCTAGCACATACATGGTGGCTTACAAACATCTGTAACTCCAGTTCCAGAGGATCCAAAACCTTTTTCTGACCTCAGTTGGCACTGGGCACCTACCATGTGGTACACATAAATACACACAGGCAAAATACCAGTACACATAAAAATAAAGTAAAAAATTTTAAATCTAAGGAAAAAAAACTTCTGAGGTGTAACTTTAATATTTGATTTACTTAGGGTTTTTAACATTTTTATGTTATATATTTAAGCCTGGTACATATGATGCAAATAAATGGTAGATGAAATTTGTAGATGCAGTTTTATTATTCTCTTCTTCTTTTTGTTTTGTTTTGTTTTGTTTTGTTTTTCGAGACAGGGTTTCTCTGTGTTGTTTTGGTGCCTGCTCTGGATCTTGCTCAGTAGACCAGGCTGGCCCCAAACTCACAGAGATCTGCCTGACTCTGCCTCCCAAGTGCTGAGATTAAAGGCGTGTGCCACCGCCACCCGGCCTATTATTCTATTCTTAAATTAAGAACACTTTTTAAATCTTTGTTCTGAGATTTAATCTGTTAGGAGCTAAACTGTTATAAATATCATTTTATAACAACTAAATATTAAATATAAAAATATTTAAAGAATTTTTAAATTAAATAAGTTGTTTGATTAGACTTACAGTGTTAGTATTCTGTCCATTCTTATAGTAGTAGAATGCTACTATATGTGCTTTTACATTAACTATCTTTTGACAGTTTTTAACACTATTGTCTGTTTTATTGGTTAACTTTGCAGAAGTCTTTTAATTGGAATTTATTTGAAATATTTTAATAGAATTTTAAACACATAGGAGAGAAACAGAGGTGGAGAGTAAAAGAGACGTTTTTAAAGGGGACAATAGTGCTCACTGGAGAAAGTGTAGGCTTCTCAACAGAGACACAGAATGAAATTTTAAATACAAAGAAGTGGACATAGCTTCCTCTATCTTCCTTGTCATCGATGTTCGAATAACTTGTGATTACCTATCATGACTTTACTTATAAGAAATCTTACCATTCTAGTATTTTACCAATTTAATCACAGCTTTTTAGACACTAGTGTCTGGTCACATTAAGAAAATTCTTAAATTTTTCTTTTTTATTTTGATAAAGCATGCATCACAGATGATCCTGTGGAGACTCCTGGATACCAAAAAATGCCTCCTCAGAAAGAGCTGTCTGCTCCTGTTGGATCAAAAGCAGGTATGCTAACAACTGTCCATGCTTAATGGAGTGGCATTTGCTTGATGTATAATAACTCTTTCCTAATATGCTCCAAAGAGCATTTTACTAACTAAATCTATTTTCCTTTTAATGTTAAAAGTTTTTACTATCTGAAAAAATAGTTACATAGTTACTTTGGTTCTTCAAATTTTTATGTCTGTTTTTAAGTTTATGAGGCAAAGTAATAGGTTTCCTTATGGCATTCTCATACATATGTGTCATTAGACTTTGTTCTCATGTGTTCCCCTCCTGCCTCTTGCTTGTCTCCTCCTCCTTCTCAGTTGTCCCTCTTCTGCTTTCATGTCACGTGTGTTCCGTTACATTCTCTTTTCCTCCTGTTTCTTCTTTTAAATCTCTTAAATCTTTAATTCCCTCTAGATTCTTGACCTGTACACACATAGAGACACACAGATTCTGCATATAAGAGGAAATATACAGTGTTTGTCTTTCTGAATCTGCCTGTTTCACTTGACATAATTTCCAGTTCCATCCATTTTCCTACAAATGCCATGATTTCATTTTTTAGAACAGCTGACTAAAATCCCATTGTGTATATATTGCATTGAATCTTCTGTTAGTTACTTTTCTCAATAATAAGACAAAATACCTGACCAAAGCAACTTAAAGATTTATTTAGGCTTACAGTTAAGATAGAGTCTGTAAAGCCAGGCGGCGGCGCACGCCTTTAATCCCAGCACTTGGGGAGGCAGAGCCAGGTGGATCTCTGTGAGTTCAAGGCCAGCCTGGTCTACAGAATGAGTTCCAGGACAGAAAGCAAAACTATCCTGTCGCAAAAAAAAAAAAGGGGGGGGGAAAAAAAGATAGAGTCTGTGATGATGGAGAAGGTATGAGAGCAGGAATCTGAGGTGGCTGGTTGCATTCTATCTGCAATCAAGAAGGGAAGGTGAATACCGTTGCTCTGCTCACCTCCTTTTATTTCAGTCCAGCCCTGCCCGTATTTAAGGTTGGTTTTCCCTCCTCAGTCTGGAACTCCATTGAAATCATACCCAGAGGTTTATCTTCTAAGTGGTTCTAAATCCTGTCACAGTGATTATCACGATTAACCACCCTCTGTCTGGTATTTGACCACAAAATACCACCCTTGGCCTCTAAAATATTATACTCATCTCACAGTGCAATTAGTCCATCTATAAAAGTCCCCTTTAGTATTTAACATCCCCAACACTGTTCAAACATTCATTTTCTTCTGGAACTCAAGGGGGTATATTAATACTGTGAGACTGTAAAAATTTTTAAAATGTAAATACTTTCAGTATCCATTGTCACAGTGTAAGCATTCCTATTCTAAAAGTAAGGAAATGAACATAGTGCGGTTAGTTACTTGTTTTGTTTTTGTTTGTCAGCTTGGGTTGAGCAAGGCTCATCTGGGAGAGGGAGACTAAATTGAGAAAATACCTCTATCAGATTGGCCTATTGGCAAGTCTGTGGGGCATTTTCTTGATGAATGATTGATGTGGAGAGCTCAGCCTAGTGTGGTTGCCACTATCCTTGAACAGGTGGTTCTAGGTTCTAGGAAAAGCAAACTGAGAGAGCCATGGAAAACAAGCCAGTAAGCTGTGTTCCTCCATGGACTTTGTTTTGGTTGCTGCTTCCAGGTTCTAGCCTAGAGTTCCTGTTCTGACTGCCCTTCATGATGGATTGTAAGCTGTAAAATGAAATAAACTCTTTCTTCTGTGATGTTTATCACAGAGCTGGAAATCAGACTAAGGCATATAGCAAGGAAAGATTGAACTGATGCAAAACTAAAACTATGTAGGGCAAACGTATGTAGCACCATGCCCAGAACCTGGGGCTTATAATAAATTGGATGTAGCAGCAGAATGGATCCTGATTTCACATCCATTTGTCTGTGTCTTTTTATTGGGAAATTGAGACCATTGATATTGACAGAGATCAATGACATCAGTGATTGTTGATTCCTGTAATTTGTTGTTGTTAGCAATGGTGGTGGTGGTGCAGGGTGTGTGTGTGTGTGTGTGTGTGTGTGTGTGTGTGTGTGTGTGTGTGTGTGTCCCTTCTTTTGATTTTGCTGATCTGAGATTATTTATTCCCTGTGTTTCTACAGTTACTAGTTAACCTCCTTATTTTGGGGTTTTCCTTCTGGTACCTTCTATAGGGCTGGGTTTGTAGATAAATATTGATTGAATTTGGCTTTATCATAGATGTCTTTTTTTTCCACCTGTGGTGTTTAAAAGACAGAAGGCCCTGAACAGATGTACCTCAGACTCTTAAGAGACCACAGCACAGATGCCAGCCCAGCAAAACTTGTCTTTTAGAGTCTCCATTGAGAAGTCAGGTGTAATTCTAATAGGTCTGCCCTTATAAACTACTTGGTCTTTTCCCTTTGCAGCTTTTAATGCTCATTTTGTGTTCTGTACATTTAGTGTTTTGATTATGGTGTGGTGAGGGGACTTATTTTTTTGGTCTAGTCTATTTGGTGTTCTCTATGGTTCTTGTACCTTTATAGGCATCTCCTTTAGGTTAGGAAATTTTTCTTCTGTGATTTTGTTGAAAATATTTTCTAGGCCTTTGAGCTCTGTTTCTTCTTCCACTATTTCTATTATTCTTATGTTTGGTCTTTTCATAGTGTTCCAGATTTCCTGAATGTCTTATATCGGGAGATTTTTAGATTTAACGTTTTCTTTGACCAGTGTATCCATTTTTTTATCGTGTCTTTAATGCCTTAGAGTCTCTCTTCTATCTCTTTTATTCTGTTGATGAAGCTTGACTCTGTGGTTCCTGTTCAAATTTCTGAGTTTTTCATTTCCAGAATTCCTTCAGTTTGGATTTTCTTTATTGATTCTGTTTCTATTTTCAGGTCTTGAACAGTTTTATTCATTTTCTTCCACTGTTTGTGTTTTCCTGGATTTCTTTAAGGAATGTATTCATTTCCTCTTTAAGGCCCTCTATCATCTTTACACAGGCAGTTTTAAGGTCTTTTTCTTGTGCTTCAGCTGTGTTGGAATACTCAGGGCCTGCTGTGGTAGCAGTGCTGGGCTCCAGTGGAGACATTTTGTCCTGGCTGTTATTGATTGTGTTTTTACACTTGGCATTACAATCTAGACATCTGGGATTGTGAAGATTATAGGTCTAGGTGCCAATGTTTGGTTTTGTCTTTGCTGGGTAGGTGTTTTCTTCCTTGGGTTTTGATTCCTTTCTAGATTTTCAGAGAGTGTGATGTCTGTGTGTTGCCTGGTAGGAAATTTTCTGTGGACCTGATGGGTATGGCCACTGGAGGTTCCAGATAAAATGTGTTTCTGGGTATTGGGCACTGACACTTAGGAATGGGGATAGTCTAGGGTTCTTTAGGGGTTCACAGGAGGGAGTAGAGCAGAGTGTTCCATCAGGACCTGCTTACTTAGTCTCTTTGTAATGGGGGTAGAGAGTGAAGAGAGGTCACCCCAGAAGGTCTGCTATAGAGCTGGGGATGAGACTGGGGAATTGGATCTGGAGGGACAAAAGGAGAAGGGGAGATCTACAGTCAGCCTGCCTGCTTCCCTGGCAGGAGTTGGGAGGTTAGGAGGGAGTGCCTGCTGGAGTTGGGAGCTGGGACAAAGCACAATTCAGGAGAGGGAGCTTAGGAGGGGAAGGCCTGTGGATTCTCAGCAGATGGGAGCATGGGGTGCAGAGAAAGCCCCTGCAGGTGTTGTGCTGCAGAGCTGGGGGTGAGACTGAGGGATTGGGTCTGGAGGAACACAGGGAGAGGGGAAGATCTGCAGTCCACCTACCCTATTCCCTGGCTCTTTTCCCATTCTTTAAAAGCTGGAGCCGCTGGGCGGTGGTGGCGCACGCCTTTAATCCCAGCACTCGGGAGGCAGAGGCAGGCGGATCTTTGTGAGTTCGAGGCCAGCCTGGTCTACAGAGCGAGATCCAGGAAAGGCGCAAAGCTACACAGAGAAACCCTGTCTTGAAAAAACAAAAAAAAAAAAAAAAAAAAAAAAGCTGGAGCCTTCAGTGAGTGGTGGTTTGCACTCAAGGTGCCTTTCTGTTGTCCTAGAAGAAAGTGTGCAGTTTCTTTTTCTTTTTTTGTTTTGTTTTTTCTGAGACAGGGTTTCTCTGTGTAGCTTTGTGCCTGTCCTGGATCTCACTCTGTAGACCAGGCTGGCCTCGAACTCACAGAGATCTGCCTGACTCTGCCTCCTGAGTGCTGGGATTAAAGGCGTGCGCCACTGCCGCCCGGGGGAATCTGACTGAAATAACAGAAATATGATTAGACATCAATAAAAGACACTTGTGTATTTCATTTAATATCATTGATAAGGTTCAAAGAGACAGGCAATAGTTGGATGCTTTGCCACTGGATACTCACTCCTGTCAGGATCTTTGTTGTTTTTTGCCAGTGCACCACAATTTTTGTCCGGAAATAGTCATGTCCATCCTCCTGTATTGTCTCCTCTTACCTATGCAGTGATGGGGGTGATATCTTCAAAATATTCTTCAGGCTAATCAATCCAGAGTGCTTGCTTATGGAGAATCTTAATTTCAGGTTCCTTCCTGTACTTGTGCCACAGCCTGTGTGGCTGGTACTGCCCTTGCTTTCTCCCTGCTCCTCCCACATTGTACCAGCTCCTGATCACATCTTCCTAACCCACTTAGTATTTTTTTTTGACCCTCCCTGTTCCCACAGCACCTGCATCCAGGAAGAGAAAACACCTCCTGGCAGCTCAGACCTAGTGTTGGCACATAATAAATACTTGCACTTGCCATTTGATTGCCACTTTGAACTCTGATCACTTTTTTTCCTAAGAAAGAATTTTTTTATGTGTGTGGATATTCTGCCTACATGTATGTCTGTGCATCACATGCATGCCTGGTACCCAAGGAGGCCAATCTGATCCCCTAGAACTGGAGTTACAAATGGTTGTGTGTGGAAATGCAGTATTATGAAAATATCTGTAACATTCTAAGAGATGGAACTTTTGCTAGACCTCAGAGCTGAAGTTAATAATACATCTTGAGGTCCCTTAAGACTTAAGACTGCTAGCCTATTGTGTATTCAAACTGTTTGCTTAACCTGCCTTTAAGAGAACAATGTAGGGGCTGGAGAACTGGTTCAGCGGTTAAGAGCACTGGCTTCCCTTCCAGAGGATCCAGGTTCAATTCCTAGCACCCACATGGCAGCTCACAACTGTCTCTAACTCCAGTTCCAGGGGATCCAACACCTTCACACAGATAGATAGATTATATATATACATACACATAGCTATAATCTTGTTATGTTCCCTTCCATTCCCCTGACCCAGACAATGCATGTGTATCATTTGCTGAAAGCAGCAAACACAGAAGTTAAAAGCAGCCTTCCAAAATCTACCATAAAAGTTGAAAACAGCCAGGCGCCGGTGACTCATGCCTTTAACCTCAGTACTTGGGAGGCAGAGGCAGGCTCTCTCTGGGAGTTCAAAGCCAGCGTGATCTACAAAGCAAATTCCAGAAACAGCCAGGGCTGTTACACAGAGAAACCCTGTCTCGGAAAAAAAAAATTGACAACTGTGGTGATATATTATGTACCCTAATAAAATTTGCCTGAAGATCAGAGAACAGAACAAGCCACTAGATTAAACATAGATGCCAGGCAGTGGTGGCACACAGCTTCTTTAATCCCAGTACTTGTATCACCTCAAACAACATTTATGAATATTGGTTAATAAACAATGATGTTTGTTATTTGGGAAAGTTAGGATCAGTGAGAGCCCGTGACTTGGCCCTTGTAAGACTGTTAGAGATTTCTGTAAAGAGTCCCAATGCTTCCCCATGTGATGCTTTCTATGCTGTCCAGTACATACAGAGTGAACCCTTTGTGAGGGATGGACACAGATACAGATGCAGGCACAGATTCAGGTTCATGCAGCAGAAAACACAGGGAGCAGGAAGTAGAGAATTCAAATCTGGACTCGCTCTTGGTTAAATGGCTCCAAGGGGAAGTGCTTTGATTTCTTTCTTCAATGTGACACTGGTACATTACTGATACTCAGAGTTAGTCACTAGTGTATATAATCCTTGCAGTTGTGAACTGCCTTGTAGGTGCAGAGATTTGAACCCTGGTCTTCTGGAAGAATATCCAGTTATCTGAGCCATCTCTCCAGCCCTTTCTGATCATTATATTTTTAATCAATTCTATTTTAAAATTTTCAGTGCTTATTACTTTCAATTATGCTGTTAATTCTACTGTTGTTATCCATTTGAGGAATTACTTTAGACGATTATGTAAGTCTAAGATCACAGACTACCACTTTGTTTTAAATCTTCTCTGTGGAGGTAGGCCAGCTTCCTCACCAAGACCTTAGATTTCTTTACCCTATTCTAAAGATTTCTTTATCTTATTATAGATAGTCTTTGTAGTTTATATTAGGTAGTTTAAATAGTCTGTTGTTCAGTTTCTGCCATATAGCTATACTTGGCTATATTCAGTTCCAGGACTTAAAGCCTTTGCTCAGTACATAAGTATATATTAACTAATCAAAAAGTACTAAATATATATGAAAATATTCTTAAATTTGTATTAAAATATTCTCAGTTGTCTTGCCACTTATGCTTATTCTATTCTGTACCTCCTTGTATAGTTTTTTAATGTATATGCAAATAAATACACATACATTATCTTTTTTAATATAGAATGCAACATACCATATACACTGTTTGTGGCATTTCCCCTTAGCATAATTTGGAGATCCTTTTCTAGCAGTAGAAATAATTGGACTAATTATTCCTATATAAATAAGAACTTTTACTGTCATTAACTCTCTCTGGTCCACATGCACCAAAGGACACACTTCCCTAACTATTGCTGTGTACTTTGACTTGGCCTAGGCAGATTGCCTTTTAACTTAATTTATAAGACCTGGATGCAGAGTAGCCATCCGCTGTATTGCTTTTGTAGTATTCATATGTATTGACCTGATTTTGGTGGACTCTCCTGGGATTCTAATCATTATCAATGTGATTCTAAGATCCAACTAAGTTCACAAAAACACTTAAGTTTTATGATAAAATAGTTACAGCACATAATGTGACTGTAGAACTTCACATGAACTTGAGTTTGACCTATAGAAAATGTTTCTCAAGTAAGACAAAGTATTTGCAGTTCTTGTTGCTAAAGAGTTCATAGTGGAGGCAGTGTCATTCAGTGGTATAGCGTTTGCCTAATGTGCATGTCAGCCATGTTCTGTCCCTGACAGCACACATGCACAAGGGATTTGGGGTTTAGACTCTTTCATTAGACCTAGTTATTTTAAAAACTCATTGCTATAAGACAGGTTTGTTTTTGTTTCTGTTTGTTGTTGTTTGTTTGCTTGTTTGGGATTGTTTGTTTTTAGGAAATTACAGTTGCTCACATTTTATGGTTCTTTCCTAGCCATGTTTTAATAATGTGCTTTAAATATGGATTCTTGACAGGTTGTCCAGAGCTAGTCTTTGTAAGCCATGTAATACATCCTTGCCACTTCTATGTGCGGAAATATTCACAAATAAAAGATGCAACAGTATTGGAGAAGAAGATGAAGCAAGTTTGTAATAAGAACTTGCACCTTGATCCTTCAGACATTTTGGAGCTAGGTAAAGATTCCTCCAAATTATACTATCAAGTTTGTTTTAAATACTGTAATATTTGACCGACCTACATAGACTTGCTAAAAGATTTTTTTAATATTCACATAAAAGTTTTAGAGTTATTTAACATAAATTATTTGGTAAGTTAGCTAAATATTAAAATCAAATCTTGACACATGTTTAGAGTATAACAACTCCATTATAAAGTGAGTTGCTTTTTAAATTACAGATCTATGACAGTTTCTCTAGACCTCTTCAGAATATAGGACTGTTAAGAGAGTGGGTTCCAGCTTACCTTGTTTCTCCTACCTCACTATGGCTTGAACTAGACTTGCAGCCTCTCTCTGTTCTGTTGGGATAGACAAGAAGTTAACCCTTTCCTATCCACCATCCAGACCATAGCCAATGTTCTATAACGAGACAGGTTAACAAGAGAGAAGAAGAAGAAATATAGTAATGTACATAGGAGCTATAAGAAGGCTAGAGGATTGAAGTTTAACCACTTCTTAGAGAGAACCAAGGTGAAAGAGAAGGAAGCCCGAGCCAGGAGTAAATTATTGCAAATACATGCAAATAAAGCCCTTCAGGAGATCTCTGAGAGCTGACCTCAGAACAGACGGAAAGCCTATCTACACTATTTAATGACTTTTTACTGTCTTCTTTTTTCTGATGATTAATCTTTTCTGTCTTTCTGAACATTGCTATGGAGTTTAAGACAATCCTAGTATTTTGGAAGTTCTCTTAGATAAAGAAACTTTAGGGAGGCAGACTTTATTTTTTGCTTGAGGGAAAACCTAGGGAAGGTTAGAGAGGCCTTGGTCCTGGCAGTTTGTGTTGCTTCGTCTGTTAAAATGACACATTTGACATACCATTTTCTGAGCCTCACACCTCAGTTTCCTACAATAAAAGAACCAACTCCATGTCGGGTGTAGTGGGGAACACCTTCAATCCCAGCACTCAGGAGGTAGAAGCAGGCAGATCTCTGTGAGAGTTCAAGGCCAGCCTGGTCTACATAGTGAGTTCCAGGACAGCTAGAGATACATAGTAAGACCCTTTCTCCAGAAAACAAACAAAACAAAAAAACCGCAGGGCGGTGGTGGTGCATGCCTTTAATCCCAGCACTCGGGAGGCAGAGCCAGGCGGATCTCTGTGAGTTCGAGGCCAGCCTGGTCTACAGAGTGGGTTCCAGGACTACACAGAGAAACCCTGTCTCAAAAAAACTGAAGAAAAAAAAAGGAAAGAAAGAAAAAGAAAAAATACAACTCCATAGGATTATTGTCGAGATCAAGTGGTTTCGAACACAAAAGGATGAAAACATTGACAGCTCATAGGATACATTCATTTTCAGGCCTCTTTCTTAATCGTTTTTCATAGACAGTAGTTTGAACTAAGTCCTTAGTTTACCCTCCCCTTCTCTGAATCACACTGCTAATGAGTGTTAATTAATTTTGGAATTTCATATTCATTGTATTTTAATTCTAACTTGCTTTTACCGAGAGAAAGTAGTATATCATGTAAGTCAATATATTCATAGGTGTATGTGTGAGGGAATAGTGAGCTAGTGATTTGTGAAAGGCCTTCCTTTAGCTTTTTGATGGCAAGACAATCTCATTTGACTGTGCTAATAATAGTTTGTAAAACAAAGCTCCTCACTAAGTAACAACTTGTACTTTGTATTTTTAGCCCCTCAATTAGCCTATGAGTTTCTGTAGTAAAGAAACTGCCACAGTACGTTACCTTTTATTCTCATAGCACTTGGCAGTACCGTATGATTTAATAAATCAATGAATTAAGACTTCTCAGTTGGAAAACTAAGACACATATTTGTAAGTTAGAGCTTTACTTAATGTCTTTTTTTTTCATAAACGCTAATGATTTGTCTCTCCTATTATTAGGTGCAAGAATATTTGTCAACAGTATTGAGAACAGAATGTGGTGTCGAGGAATTATCACTGAAATAATTCCAACAAAAACTAAAAATATTAGAAAACCATGTAATCCAACCAAATTCTCAGTCTGTGAAATTTCACTAATACAGATATTCATGGTAGATTTTGGAAATTCTGAAGTCCTGATCATCACAGGGTATGAATCTTTGTGATTATTTTATGTTTGTGGCCTGCTTAGAAACATTTATGGGAAAGAGAATTAAAGGAAAGAAAGAAGTTAGTAACAGTAAAAGACTTATCATCGTTCACTTCCAAGGCTTCTGTTTTATTATTTTGCTGTATATTTGTCTTACAAAGTAAGTTAAATATTGTCCTTTATCAGTATTATTAGAAAAGGAACTTGAAAAAGAACTTTTTATGTGCTCTAGATGCATATCTTATGTTGTCGCAGAGCAGAGGATAATATACTGATGCTTCTAAATAAAGTATTAATAGTTAGCTATAAGCGATTGGCTAAATTTTTAATCTTACTGCTATAAATTCATTAAGGGATGTTTAAGAGTGATGCTGTCTAACTTATTATAGGTATTCAAAACTCTTTTCCTAGGTCTTAGGGAAAGAAATTGAAATGGTTTTGTAGTGAGAACCACTACTGTCTATAGCATGGCTACTTTATTTAATGCTCACAATTTTATAAATATGAATATATATGTATATACATGTATATGAGAAGATGAGCCATTATTCTCTTTAAGTTTAAATTGAATAAATTCAAATAAAGGTAGTCAAGATTTAATTCTATGTAATAGAATAGTTTCTGTTTAATAATTAAATAATAATAAAATTATTAATAAAAAGTATTACTTTAGAATATAAATTCTGCAAGATTTAACTTCAGGTAGTTATCCTTAGAAGTACACACCTTGTAAAGGAGAAAAGATGTTCAAAGATTGAAACTTTTTTTTGTTTTGTTTTGTTTTGGTTTGGTTTTTTTTGTTTTGTTTTGTTTTTTGAGACAGGGTTTCTCTGTGTAGCTTTGCGCCGTTCCTGGATCTCGCTCTGTAGACCAGGCTGGCCTCGAACTCACAAAGATCCGCCTGCCTCTGCCTCCCGAGTGCTGGGATTAAAGGCGTGCACCACCACTGCCCGGCTGAAACATTTTTTATTTATCTTTCTTTTTGGTTTTTTTTTTGAGACGGTTTCTCTATGTAGTTTTGATGGCTGTCCTGGATCTTGCTCTGTAGATCAGGCTGGTCCTGAACTCACAGAGATCCACCTGCATCTGCCTCCCAAGTGCTGGGATTGAAGAAGGCAGGCATAACCACCACCTGGCTATTTATCTTTCCTGAGACAGGGTCTTATGACATAGCACGGGCGGCTGGCCTGGAACTCACTTTATAGACCTAGGTTGGCCTCAGACCAGCAGAGATTCATCTGCCTCTGCTTCTACCACCTGTGTACTGAGATTAAAAAGTGTGTATGACCAACCATGCCCAGTGGAACATTATTCTCAATATTACTTCTTCCCAGAGTTGGTGACACACATATGCGACCAGAGCATGTTGGTGAACAACATATTACACTAAGTGACTTCTGTCTGCTTCTACGGAAGTCTGAACCATATAGTGAAGAACTGCTGAAAGATGTCCCACCTTTAGCACACCTGTGCTCCTTGAAAGACATCGTTCCATACAATTCAGTAAGTGGGATGGAAAGTGATTCTCCTGAAAAGGCTGTTGGAGTTTTAGTTGTGTTGCTGAGCTAGTCTGAAAGAACCAGTTAATCTTGACAAACACATTCTGCTTACGAACTATTAGTGCTATGATCCTCAGCTTCCATAGCTGAAAATATTTTAATGAAATTTTGAGTTCAAGAAAGTTCATGTGAACATAATGAAATATCCAAGTTAAACACTACATTTTAGAGTCAATTTTGTAGGAAGAAATCAGTTAGGAAATGGGACACTGTATATTTCTAGACATTTCCCCCTCTTTCTCTGTATTTTATTTATGAGTCGCATAGCATTCTGTTTGGAATTATTTATGAATCTTTTCCCCTAAGAAATCCTAGGAGATTGGAACTGTATATAAAAGTATCTGTGTGGCAGTTCTTCTGTTATAAGGTCTATGAAAGCAGAAGTCTGTGCCTTGGTTCATCATTGTATTCCCAACACATAGCAGCTCCTCTTCTACTTCATAGTGGGTATTCAACAGTTGTGAGCAGAGTAAATGAGTGAATGATCTTTGGTTTTTCAAGATAGGGCTTTTCACTGTAGCCCTAGCCATCTTAGAACTCGCTGTATATCCCAGGCTAGCCTTAAACTCAGCAATCCTCCTGCCTCTGCCTCCCAAGTGTTAGGATTAAAGGCATGCATCACCACAGCCCAGCTTTGAATTTTTTTTTTAAAGTAAAATGAGGCTAGAAAGATGACTCAGCAGTTGAAAGCACCTGCAGAGGACCAGAGTTCAGTTTCCAGCAACACATCAGACAACTGTTTTGTTGTTGTTGTTTTTTGTTTTGTTTTTTGTTTTGTTTTGTTTTGTTTGAGATAGGATTTCATGTGGCCCATACTGGCCTCAAATTCCTACATAACCACGATGCCCTTAAAATTCCAGTCTTCCTGCCTCTGCCTTCTGAGTGCTGAGATTATGGAGTTGTCCTAGCTTGATCCCTGTTGCTGTAGTAAAACACTGGCCAAAAGCAGCTTGGGGCAGAAAGGGTTTATTTGACTTGTACTTCCAGCTCAGAACCATGGAGGATGCCCATGCTGTTTGCTTACTGGTTTGCTTGCAGGTTCATGATTAGCTAACTCTATTAAACAGCCCAGCACCACCTGCCTGGGGATGGTGCTGCCCACAGTGGGTGGGCCCTCCTGCATTAATTAAAAATCAAGACAGTCTTTAACAGACGTGTCCTCAGACCAATCTGATTTAGGTAACCTGAACTGAAGTTTCTCCTCTCTTATGACTCTAAGGTATATCAAGGTGACAAGACTAGTCAGGATAACAGTTCTTATTAATAAAATCAAACCTGAGCCAGGTATTGGGTTAAACACTGGAAGATCAGAGAGACAGAACAAGCCACAGCTAACCTCACCTGGCCAACTTCTCAGCTGGTCCTGTTTCCTCAGACTGGAAGCTTCTGTGTCCTCATCCCAATGGCTCTCAGCTGAACTGCTGCTAGAAGCCTGAATGCTTAACCAGCCAAATGCTTAACCAGGCAAATGCCTACCAGCCAAATGCCTCTAGTTTCTGGTCTCCACGCCTTATATATCTTTCTGTTCTTGCCATCACTCCCTGGGATTAAAGGCTGGCTTTCTGGGATTAAAGGTGTGAGTCACTATGCTTGGCTGTATCCTTGAATAGATGGATTTCTGCCTCTGGAATGCTAGGATTAAAGGCGTGTGCTACCACTGCCTAACTTCTATGTTTAATATTGTGGTTGTTCTGTCTCTGACCCCAGTTAAGTTTATTAGCATGCACAATATTTTGGGGAATACAATACCACAATGGCCAGACTTGGTTAATGTAGTACTGGGTTTTGTTTTCGCTGGGCAAGTACACTGCCAACTGAGCTACATCCCTAGTCATCAGGTTTTCTTTGTTTAGTTGAGGGGGTCCCTGCAGGTGTCATACACTGAAGAGAACCACCTAAAGAAATAGGAATGAAAACCTGGTGCAGACTGATTTCACCCTGGATCAAACTTAAGGGAGTCTAATGTCAGATGGTTTATTCCCAAAGTGTTTAAGCCCAGTATAGTTTGGAAAAAAGTTTCCTGGATTAATACAATCCCCATTACACAAGGAAGCATAATTACATCGAAACTCAACTCAGGGTACAGATCATTTCCTCCAAGAAGATGGGTTCTAGAGAAAAGCTACCTGTACCACCTTAAGGGCCTAAAGGTCTGGTCTGGTCTCAGCATACAGATAGTGTAGAGGTTATGTGGGCTATTAGCCATCTCTGGTCCTGGTTGTGGGAGCTTGGAGAGCCTCTGTCTAGCAGGGTCATTTAGATTACTAGTCACCTCCAGTCCTGGCTGTAGAAGCTTGATATGGCCTGGCCCTACAGATAACACAGATGACCAGGCAATTAGTTTCCAATTCTCAGCTTTCTGGATGGAAAAACAGGTTTTTCATTTTTTCCTATTGGAAAGACAATCCTGTGTGCTTAACATTTCTGGTTTCTCTGGAGATTTGTGGGCACAAAGACCTTTGTGCTATGCTACCAACATTTAGTGTCCATTATTTAGTCTCTGTTATGCTGTTACAGTACTGTGGTCTTAAATTCAGAATTCAGAATTATCTTTTGAAGTTTTGTAATTTAAGTGGAAAATTTATATTCAATATATCTTAAAGTCATTATAATTTTCATTAATATTTTTGTAGATGTATTTATTTTATATTATATTTATTAATATTTTGCCTCCATATATATAAGTGTGTGCCTGGTGCCTATGAAGGCACCAGACTCCCCTGGAACTAGAGTTACAGATGGTTATGACCCACCAGGTGGGTGCTGGGAACCAAACCCCAGTTGCAAGAGTAGCAAGTACTCCAAACCACTAAGCCATTTCTCCAGCCCCCAATTTTCATTACTATTCTAAAGTGACTTACAAACTTATAACCATCTTAAGGTTGTATCTGTAGATCATCGTATATCTATATTGTACATATATAGATTGCTTTTGGTTTACAGCCTCAGCTGTTTCCTAAATGCTTATGATTGGTTCAGTGCCTTTACTAAGTTGCAGGTGGGCTGGTACAAAGCTATATCCAACACTAACATTAGATCTAACTGTAATTACTAACTACTTTGGAATTTATTTTCTCCCATAGAGTGAAGGCTGGGAAAAGGAGGCAAAAGTAGAATTTTTGAAAATGGTAAATAACAAGGCTGTTTTAATGAAAGTTTTTGGAGAAGAAGATGATGTGCTTATTGTAGATCTGCAGAAACCACCAACAAATAAAATCAGCAGTGATATGCCTGTGTCTCTCAGAGATGCGTTGGTTTTTATGGAACTAGCAAGGTAAGTAACTTGTTAAAACTTAAATATTCTTCAAGATTGAAGTTGTATGGGCTTGAGAGATGGCTCAGCAGTTAGGAGCACTAGCTGCTCTTATAGAATACACAGTTTGGTTCCCAGCACCCACAAGGCAGTTCACAATTTACTGTAACCCTAGTTCCAATGCTGCCTCCTACTCTCCTTAGACAACACATTCATGTTCGGTACATATACATACCTGCAGGCAGAAGACTCAGAAACATAAAAGTAAACCTTTTTTTAAGATTATAGCTATAAATAGGAAAAGAAAGGTTTTAAAAATAAGGGAATCTGGCCTAGGCATGTAGCTCACTTGTTAGAATGTCTGCCTAGCATGCACAAAGCCCTGGGTTCAATCCCTAGCACCCTATGAACCAGGCGCGGAGGCACATTCTGATAGCCCTAGTACTCAGGAGGGAAGGCAGGAAGATCAGAAACATAAGGTCATCCTTAGCTACATAGCAAGTTCAAAGCCAGGATTGGCTACTGTGAGCCTCTGTCTCAAACAGTGATGATGATAAAAATCATAGGCTCATGCTGGAGAGATGGCTCAGTGGTTAAGAGTATGTGCTGTTTTTACAGAGGATCTGATTCAGTTCCAGGCACTCACATGGTGGCACGTAACCATCTGTAACAACAGTTCCAGGGGATCTGATTCTTTCTTCTGGTCTCTGAGGGAAACCAGGCATGCATGTGGTATACATACATGCTTACAGATAAAACATACACATAAAATCAGTCTAAAAAATTTATTGTGGGCTCTAAACTGAACTTCAGTGGTTTCAAAACATTGCTATCATGTTATCTAAGTATAGTTATTTGTGAAAATTGCACTTAGTTTGGTTTAAGAAATTAGAGAAATTAAGGCAACTTAAAATAGAGACTGAGGGGGTTGGGGATTTAGCCCAGTGGTAGAATGCTTGCCTAGCAAACACAAGGCCCTGGGTTCGATCCCCAGCTCAAAAAAAAAAAAAATAGAGACTGAGGAAGTGGCTCAGTAGGTAAAAGTACTTGCCACACCAACTTGAGGACTGAGTTCTAATCTCCAGACCCACATAAAACACCTCTGCACACACAGCACAAGATGGAATCTCAGTGCTCCTATGGAGAGATGAGAGAGAGGAAGGCAGAGGCAGGAGAAGCTCTGGAAACTCATGAGCCAGCTAGCCCATCCTGTACAGCAGAAGAATGGAGATGTCATGTCAAACAAGGTGGAAAGCTAAGACCTATACCTGAAGTTGTTCTCCGCGCTCCACATATGTATTGTGAACGCCCTCATTTTTACACGTACCTTACACGCACACAAATAAAGTAAATAAAAACTAGAAGATATGGAGGTTGGGGATTTAGCTCAGTGGTAGAGCGCTTGCCTAGCAAGCACAAGGCCCTGGGTTCGGTCCTCAGCTCCGGGAAAAAAAATAGAAAATATGTATAGATACTAAACATATTTTGAGTTTTGTTAACTTTATAAGAAGCTATTAGAGTTCCAAGAATTGTAATTTAGCTGTTCCTGACTTAAATCATTTAGCCTTTGGGATGGGTTCATGACCACTAATCTATACTTAATGTCTGGATCTAACATAGATACTTAGCATTTCCTTTTTCTGTTTGTTTCACATAAACCAAAATTAAGGTGACTTAAGTAACTATGGAGACAGCAGAAGATTCTAATTCTCTATCCTGTGGGACTAGGTAACTCCAGAAATGGCCCACATAGGTTTCCTTTAGAAAAATAGAGATATAGAAACTGGAAAAGACCACAGAGATTCAGCTGTCCACACCTGAGCACCACCACAGTCCACAGCAATCATTGAAATGCCTTTGACAAGTTCCAGCTCCAAAATGCCCATACAAATCTGAGGCTTTTTTATTGAGCTCCTGTTCATCCTGGCTGAATAAGTGGAAACCATGCCAAGAAATACGTTAGAAGAGAGACATTGAAAATGGTATACTTTTGGTAAATAAGTCAGTGTTGGTACAAGCCAAAAACCTTTATCAGAATGGCTTTGCTTATTATGCTTTTAATTAGGTTTAGGTCACAATCACCAAGAAGTCACAGTGAAAAAAATACAACTTTATGCTATCATCCACCCATTTTGCCTGAAGAGATGACAGAAGTTTCAGTCATGGTTTGCCATATAAATAGCCCTACTGACTTTTACCTTCAGTTTGTAAGTATATGTATATATTCTTTTAAGAGTTTTGGGTTTTTTGTTTGTTTTCAGAGCTGAGGACCTAACCGGGGGCCTTACACTTGCTAGACAAGTGCTCTACCACTGAGCTAAATCCTCAACCCTTTGGATTTTTAAATAGAAATATTTAACAGGAGTGAATAAAAATTAATTAAATCTCATAGTAATATCTGGACTTCTGGCTCTCAGTCCTCCTGTTCCCACTTCCACAATAGTCCCTGAGCCTTTAGTATAGGGATTGTGTTGTAGGTATCTTATCAATTGAAATGATGTTTAAAAAAACCATGGGAAAATATATTACTTTGTTATTTTACACACACACACACACACACACACACACACACACACACACACACACACACACACACACACACACACACACCCTTGAATGAAGTTATACCACTTGGGGTGAAAATACTCCCCTAAGAGCCACAAATTATCTTAACAAAGACTCCAATGACAGGCAGGGGAAACCCCCTTGGAGTTGTTGGTCAGGACTATAGGAAGACCTGTCTCAAAAAAAATATATATATAGGGCTTGTGAATTTACCGCATCCTTAAATAAAATAGGTTTCTTTTATTAAAGTAGGCTATTTTGTATGGTCTGAAAGTATTGTTTCTAAAGTTTCTATGCTTCTCTTTCCCCTAGTCAAGAGTATTTAATTAGTTCTCCAAATGCCAGTTATTAATGTTAAGAAAATTTGTTGGGCTGGAGAGATGGCTCAGAGGTTAAGAGCACTGACTGCTCTTCCAGAGGTCCTGAGTTCAATTCCCAGCACCCACATGGTAGCTCACAACCATCTTTAATGAGATCTGGCGCCCTCTTCTATGTACATAATAAATAAATAAAACTTTAAAAAAAAGAAAAAGAAAATTTGTTTGTTTCTTTGAGACAAAATCTTGCTATTTGTCCTTGGCCTGCTTGGAACTCAGTATACAGACCAGGCTGGCCTCAAACTCATAGATCTGCCTGCCTCTGCCTCTTGAGTGCTGGGGTTACCAGTGTGGACCAGTCCTATTGCATTTTGATTTAAGAGAGAATTACCAGTTTATTTTAAAACTGCTAGATAAATTATAAGGAAGTAGATATTTGTGGCATCAAAGCTATCAGACTAATTAGTGAGCACAAGAAAAGTAATATTCCTGTCTGATGAGAAAAGTCAGAATCATGGTCACAGTTACCACATAAATTTTAGCATACTAGTAGTGAATTGTAAGTATTACATCTTCCAGTGCATTGCAGCATTAGTGTACAAAATCACCAGTAAAAATTAAGCAAAAAAGGTTTGGCTGAAATCTATCAAACCTTTGGATATAATAGTCACTTTGGGGAAAATACAGTGGGTATAGTGTACTCAATAGCATAAGAAGAATGCTAACAAGATGGCTCCTTGGATAAAAAAGAAAAAAAAAACTTGCTGCCAAGTCTTACAACCTGAGATTGGTCTGGGAACCCATATGGTAGGAGAGAATTACTTTTGCAAGTTGTTTAACCTTCACAGGGATGGTGTAATACATGTACTCACACATACATAAATGTGATTTTAAAAACATTTAATAGTATAAGGATGTAACCTCATTGTGATAGTTTGAATATAATTGCCCCCATAATCTCATAGGGAGTAGCACTATTAGGAGTTTGTTGAAGCGGGTATGGTCTTGTCACAGTGGGGGCAGGCTTTGAAGTTTCCTATGCTCGGAATACCACCCTGAGAGTCAGTTGACTTCCTATTGCCTGCAAGATGGTAGGACTCTCAGCTACTCCAGCACCACATCTGCCTGCATGTCATCATGCTCCCTCCCATGATGATAATGGACTGAACCTTTGAACTGTAAGTGAACCACCTCAATTAAATGTTTTCTTTAGAAGAATTGCTGTGGTCATGGTGTCTCTTCACACCAATAGAAACTCTAACTAAGACACATATAAACCTAGAAGGTGGAAAATTCTGCAGAAAGGGAGGCTTTGGTTTGTTTTTTGTTTTTTTGTTTTTTGATGGTCCAAGTGTGGAGGTCAGAGGACAACTTGTCAGAGTTGGTCCTCTCCTCCCACCATGTGGAGCACAGAAAACTAGGTTGTCAGACTTGGCAGTAAGCACCTTTGCTGGCCAAGGTATTTCATTGGCCCAGAAGAGGTTAGTTTTTTTAATTTATTTTTATTATTTTAATTTTATGTGTGCAGGGTGTGCTTATAAGTGCAAGTGGTGGGAGAGGCCAGAGGCTATGGATCCTCCTGAATCTGGAATTTCAGGTGGTTGTGAGCCACCTGACATAGTTGCTGGAACTTGGGTCCTCCACAAGAGCAGCATGCACTCTTAACCAGTGAACCATCTCTCCAGCCCCCACCCTGGAAAAGTTATTCTTAAAAGAGAGCTGTGCTAGCTTATAGAGTTAGCTTATGAATTCCAGAGATAACTGCCAGAAACATTATATAATCTTCGATTGCATAATCATTCAGATCATTTAGAGAAAACTAAATATGACCTAGAAACATTAGTGGAAAGGAACATTTACTGAAGCAAACTGAGAATTAATAGAAAAATGCTGCTCACTAAATTATGCATACAGTGAGCTGGAGAGATGTGCAGTGGTTAAGAGCACTGGCGGGTTTTTTGTTTTGTTTTTTTCAGAGGACCAAGGTTCAGTTTCCAGCACCCACATGGTGGCTCACAAACATCTATAATGCCAATTCCAGGAGTATCTAGTGCCCTCTTCTGGTTCCCATGGGCATCATGTATGCATGTGATGTACAGACATACACATAAAATAAAAATCTTTAAATTTTATGTACTGTATGACTTAGTTTTGCTAAAAACAAAAGTTTAGAGTATATATGCATGTACACAGACATGTCTAGTAAGTTACCTTGCTGAATGGAATTTTAGTTTTGTTATGTCTACATATACTAATTTTATCTGATTCTGAAATAGTCTCAAAAATAAGTTACATAATGCCTGATTGGTAGATCTATATCTAATGCCAGGTTTAGTGTTTATGAATTTCTGAGCAATGCCTATAATAAATTCAACATTTGAGTTTCCATTTTCTATGAAGCTACAGTGCCATATCCCTTTCTTCCTCAGATGGAGAACCTGGACTTTTTATCTCTTTTAAAGACAATTGAGGAATTCTATAAAGGTGAAGATGGAGAAAATCTGGAAATCCTTTGTCCAGTCCAGGATCAAGCCTGTGTAGCAAAATTTGAAGATGGAATTTGGTATCGTGCAAAAGTCATTGGTAGGAAAGTGCATATTGTTTCCACAAGGAAATGTTGTATGACAGAGCTGGCATCATCTGAACTGTTAGAAAGTAAACCATGGAGGCAGTGTTATCTTTTCTTACCATGTGTTCTGTTATATGTCTTTAGAAGGCAGTGGTAACATTAGGAGGTGAATCTCTGGCTACTAGAATTTGATTTACTTGATTAGGAATTAATCATCAGGAACTGACTAGAAAACCAGTAGATGATGCAGAGCAGCAGAAATCCATTCTTGAAAGTTGGCTGCCTCTACCTTCATCTGTTTCTTGCTGTTTTCTTTTGTTTGTTTGTTTGCTTGTTTGTTAAGGTACAAATCTCTTAGCTTCTTTTCTGAATTACTGTATTCCTCTTTCCTAGAGAATTGATTTATTATTTAATTTTTCCTTTCTTTCTGTACATTTTCTACATTCTCAAGTAATTGAATTTAGCTCACAAGTAATAGAATTAGAGCCCGGCATCATGGCTCACACTAGCACTTAGGAGGCAGAAGCAGGACAATCACTTCAAAGTCGTCCTCAGCTACATAGCAAGTTCGAGGCTAACCTGAACTATATGACTGTATATCATGTCTTAGAAACATCAGCAAGAACTACTGCAAAATGAAATATTAAAAAATTAAAAGTAGATCCAGGTGTTGTGACCCTGCCTGTAATCTCAGCTGTTGTGTAAGCTGGGGCAGAAGGGCTGAAAATCCATGGTCTGAGTGACTTATCTAAAACCCTGTCTCAGGATAAAATGATAAAAATATCTGTAGATAGCTGAGCGGTAGTGGTGCACACCTTTAATCCCAACACTCGGGAGACAGAGGCAGGCGGGTCTCTGTGAGTTTGAGGCCAGCCTGGTCTACAAAGGGAGATCCAGGACAGGCACCAAAACAACATGGAGAAACCCTGTCTCGAAAAAAAACAAAAGAAAAATAAATAAATAAATAAATAATCCATAGACATAGCTAAACAATAGAGCATTGGCCTAGCATGTGTCAGGCCTTGCTTCAATTTCCAATAGCACAAAAATAATAAATATAAACAAATAAAGATTAGAAATTAAATATTTCTGAAAAGGGAGGTACTAGCAACAAATATAGCTACAGCTATGAAAGAACAGTTAAAGCCATTGGGTTTTGAAGTTAGACATACCATAGGCAGTTTAGTCCAGGATATTATGTTCTCATTTTTGATTTGGTTTGGTTTGTTTTACTTCAGTAAAATTCATGTCAAGACTTGGTCCTCAGTGCCCCAGTATTGGAAGGTAGAACTTAATGGGAGATTTTGGGGTCACAAGAGCAGAGTTTTTCTTAGAAGAGTGAACTCTTGCTCTGGATTAATTTCCAAGAGAGTGGGTGATTTCAAACAAGGCTGCCTCTCTCTGACTCTTTAGCATGCACACACTTGCCCTTCCACTTTCCACCATGAGTTGAATATCCTTCCCAGAAACCAAGCAGGCTGTAACTGTGTGCCATGGTGTTAAGCTTTTTCACCATCTGTCTGTACATTTTCTATATTTTTAAGTCTACATAGCCTTTAATCCCAACACTTGGGAGTTGGAGTCTCTAGAGCAGTGAGCCACACATACCATTTTTTCTCTATAGGTTACGGTGTCAGATACTCTGTGGTAGCAAGAGAAAATGGAATAGATCCTGTTTGTTTGTAGGTATCTACCTTTTTATTAAAAGGATTGAGTTTAGTTTGGCACTGTTCAAAATGTTTTCCCCATTAATCTAAGAATCTAACTAGCTACTACTAAAACAGAAAATTCCAAAACTTACATGAAAATCATTTAATCTTCCAAATTAAGTTTTCTATCCTCGGTCACGATTGATTTTAATTCAGTCCATAGTTAGTGTCTTAAACTGGCTAAAACTTTTTCAGATATAGTTCTTTTGAATGTCTTTGTGTTGCTATAACCGAATAGCACAGACTGGGTTGCTTATAAACAATAGAATATTGCTCACATTTCTAGAGTCTGAGCAGTCTAAGTCAATGGTGAAGGTCTGCTCTCCTTGCTTCTTTTTTTTCTTTTCTTTTCTTTTTTTTTTTGGTTTTTCAAGACAGGGTTTCTCTGTGTTGTTTTGGTGCCTGTCCTGGATCCCACTCTGTAGACCAAGATGGCTTCAAACTCACAGAGATCCACCTGTGAGTTCCAGGGATCCACTGCCTCCCAAGTGCTGGGATGAAAGGCGTGCACCACCCGGTGCTCTCCCTGCTCTTTAAGAGTTAGCCTTGGTGCATCTTTCAGGCAGTGCAAATGCCATTTCCTTAAATGGCAGAAGGATAAACAGGAGTCAACGTTTTCTTCATTTAGCCATTTTACAAGGGCACCTAGTCCTATACTGTAGAGCAGTGACCTTATGACTTAGTCACCTCTTTTGTTACATTGGGGATTAACTTCAAAATTATGAATTTTGGAGGAAACAAAACTATTTAAACCATAGGAGTAAAGACACCAGTGCAACTATTTTAATATATGTGGAATAAAGAAATCTTTTATATCTTTAAGGTCTTGGCAACTACTTTTAAAATTAGGATTATTGGCTTCAAATCATTTATTTGTTGAACAGTGGATTCTTTTGAGTAGTGATGTTGGAGAAAGGTTCAGTCTTCATGACAACTTTGAAGGTGGAATGAAAATCTATCTGTGACTCAGTAGGTCTGTCTTCCTGCACCTCCATAGCTTTGCTGGATGCCACACTGAAGGCTGCACATAGTACCTGGTTTGTTTGTTTTGCTTTGATTTTCTAGTGTCTGTTACCTTTGTGGTCTCATCTCCTCCTCCTATACAGTTCTTTTGTAATTCTTGAAGCTGAGTGAGGGTTGTTTTTCTTTTATCTGATATTTCTTCTTAAAATCTTTATGCTTCTCTCAAGGCTCCAGTTACAGATACTATCTATTTATTTGTTACTGTGTGAGATGTTTTAGATCGCTTTATAGCTCTTTTGTCCTCTCTTCTCTCCATGTTTGTAGCACTATTTTAAAGTTCCTATCTGTAGATACTTTCATTGGTAAGCTGTAAAGTGAACTCTAATTCTAGGTTGATCATTATGACAGATTTTCACTTGCATTATTTTCTTTTAATTTATATATTTTCCTAATACCTCAAAAACTTTAATATGATTAAGCTTTTAGGATAATCTTAATTTTGATGTACTTTTAAACCATGGAAGCATTCTTCCATTTTTTCCCCTAACTGGTAGTGCTTGGTCTCTAGGATTGCTACACATTTGTTGTTCTGAGACTTCATGTCATCTGGCAGTGCATTTCATTGTTCCTCTGTATTAGAGACCCTGTTTCCTGTGTTTATAACTTCAATCTACCACTCTCTTTTAGTGCTGCCATCCTCCATTGCTTTACTCAGAAAAATGAAAGAATAAAAGTCTGTGGGGAAGGCTTTGCCCTGGAGGAGATGGGAATGGAGGGGGGGGCTGGGGGGAAGGTGAGGGGGACGGGAGAGGGGAGAACAAGGGAATCCGTGGCTGATATGTAGAACTGAATGGTATTGCAAAATAAAAAAAAAAAAAAAGTAAATAGGAGACTTCCCTACCTACTGGCTCTGTTCTCATATGTGATTGATAATTTGGGTAAAGAAAAAACACTGTTGGTTAAATTTCATACCAGAGCCTTGTACAGCTTAAAACTACATCTCAATCAGTCTTGATGAAGAGTAAAAACCATGGTGCTGGAAGAATTGAGACTTCTAGCCTGGGATGCATTAGGAGACTGGGAAATATCTCCACCAGCTCAGCCATCACTGATGTTTGCACCATAGGACTAACCTCTACAAGCATCATTTTGAGTTCCAGTGCTAAGCCACCTCTTCTGCTTCTTCCAAACAGTAATACTGGATTGCTTCCTTTATTGTACTGATGTGTTACTGCATTCATCTTTCAGCTTAAAAATGATAGCACAATTTTCATAGCCCTAAATGGATGCTCAGGAAGTATAAAGTTTTGACCACCTATTTAGGGTGATTCCATACACATCTGTTGAGCTTTATTCAAGTTTCTGCATAATTGAGCTTCCCAAAATTTTCTTTAAAGTATAGGCCAGACTAACAGAGAGATGTGTAAGTTTGTGATTTCTAATTTCATAACTTTTAAAGGATTGCCTGGACATCGGGAAGTAGAAGTCAAATATGTGGACTTCGGTAATACTGCAAAAATAACTCTTAAAGATATGCGGAAAATAAAGGATGAGTTTCTGGAACCCCCAGAGAAGGTAATTTACCTGTTATGAACACTACAAGTAGGATATTAACCCAATATGAAATAGAAGTTCTTTGTACATCAAAATGCCATATAATGACTTTTTATCTATAAATAGTGTCTGATAAAAGAACTGTAGATAAAGTGCTGCTTTATAGATCAAATACTCTTTAAGAAACACTGTGTTGCAAGGCAGTGGTGGCACACACCTTTAATCCCAGCACTCGGGGAAACAGAGCCAGGCGGACCTCTGTGAGTCCAGCCTGGTCTACAGAACGAGATCCAGGACAGGTACCAAAACTGCAGAGAAACCCTGTCTCAAAAGAGAGAGAGAGAGAGAGAGGGAGGGAGGGAGGGAGGGAGGGAGGGAGGAAGGAAGGAAGGAAGGAAGGAAGGAAGGAAGGAAGGAAGGAAGGAAGGAAGGAAGAAACACTGTGTGGAACAGAGCACTTGCTTAGCATGTACAAGGCCCTGGGTTCAGTCCCAAGCTCTGCAATATGTTGCCAAATAAATATAAACATTTAATATATGTATGTTTCAGTCATAAGAACCTACTGGTGTGGAACTTTTCATTCATCATTATGAGTTATGTCATGTGCTAAGAGTTTGTTTCATGGCACATTGAGTGATAAAGCTCATCTTAGAAGGACTTTTACTGTTGTTGAATTTCTGTGTAAGTAGTCAAAGTCTACATTGGAAAGTGTACATTGGAGAAATGTGGGAGAATAGATACAGTCCTTAACCGTGATGACCTCTGCAGAATAGGAGAAGGAGGCTTGCTTCTAATTTGTATTTCTTGTTATGGAAATTTTTGCTAAGATGTCTTTTTAAAAAGATATGTCACTTTATTCACTTTAAAAATGTATTATATCTTTATTTTTCTTTTGCATGTATATGCACATAAACAGATATGTCACAGCACTCATGTAGTTAGAAATACAACTTGTGGAAATTGGTTCTCTCCTTCCATGATGTGGGCTCCAGGGACAGGACTCAGGTTTTCTGACTTGGGAGCAATACCATTAACTGTGGAGCCATCTCACCAACACAGGCTGTCCTTTTTTTTTTTTTTTTTTTTTTTTTTTTTTTTTTTAATGGGAAGTATCATAAAAAGAAACTAAAAAATGCAGATGAGAGCCGGGCGGTGGTGGTGCACGCCTTTAATCCCAGCACTCGGGAGGCAGAGCCAGGCGGATCTCTGTGAGTTCGAGGCCAGACTGGACTACCAAGTGAGTTCCAGGAAAGGTGCAAAGCTACACAGAGAAACCCTGTCTCGAAAAACCAAAAAAAAAAAAAAATGCAGATGAGCAAAAAGAAGAGAATCACTCAAGAATATTCAATGGGTCTAGAGAGATGGCTCAGTTGTTAAGAGCACTGGCTGCTCTTCCAAGAACCATGTTTTGATTCCTAGCACCCACATGGCAGCTCACAGCTATCTGTAACTCCAGTTCCAGGACTTCTGTGGTCTCTCTGGCACCAGGAATGCAGGAATGCATGTGATGCACAAACCTGCAGGGATACATGCACTGCATAAATAAATATTTTACAGTATATTCAACTTTCTAGCTAGGTGTGGTGGCACATATCTTTAATCTCAGCATCCAAGAAGAAGAAGATAGATCTCTGTGAGTTCAAGACCAGCCTGGTCTACATACCAAATTCTGTATCAGCCAGAGTTACATGGTAGGACCCTGTCTCAAAAAAAACAAAACAAAAATATTGTGGTTTTAATATATGTTTTTGTAGGATATATCTTTCACAATGTTTTGTTTTTGTTTTGAGAAAGACTTTTACTGTCCTAACTGTGTCACTCTGGCTGCCTGGAACTTGCCATGTAGACCAAGATGGCCTCAAACTCACAAGAGATTTGCCTGCCTCTGCCTCCCAGGTTCTGGGATTAAAGACATGAGCTACCATGCCCAGCCATCTTTCACAGTTTTAGCAGTTCCAGAATGAATATAAATTGTCCTGTATGTCTGCACTTCTCCTTACAACATACTATAAATGTCTTATTTTTTAATGAATGTTTATCATTCTTGTATATGAATTATTGTAATAATTTCATTCAACCAAATAGTTAATTCCAATTACTTTAATTTATGAAGTTATTTTATAGGTACTTCACATTTTTCATGATTTCTAAATAGTTTGAATTAGAGAGGGTTTTTTTATTTATTTTGAGGGTTTTACTTGATTTGGTTTAGGTCTTTATTTATGTATTTATGTGTTTGGAGCTCTGGAGTTAGAATCCAGGACCTCAAGCATGCTTTTCCAATGTTGTACCAACCAAGCTGTGTAAACATTAGCTTCCTATGCTTACATAAAACTTTGAAATAACTAGAAATTAAGTTTATAGTCTTAATAGTGGAATTTTGTTTGATACAGGCAATTAAATGTAAGCTGGCATATATTGAACCAAATAAAAGAACACAGTGGTCCAAAAAAGCTAAAGAAAAATTTGAAGAAAAGACTCAAGACAAATTTGTGACATGTTCTATTATTAGTAAGCTATTTCTATCTTTGTATATTATTATTATTACTATTATTATTTAAATAAGATTAATGTTATATAACAATGGTCATATCTGAGAATAAATTTAGTGTGCCTTGAGTAGTAATAATGAGAAATAAGATTCATTGAGAATTAGGATTAGGGGATTTTTATCTCCTGTAAGCCTTACAGTCAAAGCACATCAGGCAAAAAAAAAAAAAAAAAAAAAAAAAAAAAAAAAAAAAACCTGCCATGAAGACTCAAGTCATTCTTATGGTAGATACAGTGGTTTGCACCTCTAGTCTCTACTGCTTGGGAGGTCGAGAATCACTGGGGCCAGGAACTTTAGGCCACTCTCAGCAAAATGGCCAGGTCCTGTTTAAAACAATAAAACCATCAAGTCATCTTCACTGTGGCCCTTTGCAAACCTAAAGCCAGAAATTAGCTTATTTATCTGCATTTACTGAGTCTACGGTTTAATCTTAAGTAAGTGAAGGGAGGCCGAACATGGTTGGTAAATAGCTTTTGTTTGCTTACTTGATTGCTTGTTTTTCTTCCTTTTATTTGTCCCATGTGAATTCAGTTGTAGACTCTCTCCATATTTTGAAAAAAGTTACTTCAGTTTTACAAGTGATCAGGTATATAACTCTAGATGACCACTAGTCCACAGTTTTCTAGTATAAGTTCTGAAAGTCAAAAGTTGAATGACTGACTGAGTCTGATTTGAATTGCTTGATGTGAGTGCTTTTATCTGGATTAGAGGGCCTTTATCTCCTTTACAGTAAACATATGTTCTACTTCAAGTAATGTATGTGATCTGCTTGCCCCACACTCAATTATGGGTATTCATTGTATACAGTGTGTGTGCATTCTTCAGCTTGAAGAATTCTGAATCTCCAAACACATCTGGCCCTAAAGATTGTCAATAAGGAGATGGGAATCTTAGATAGAAATACACACACACACACACACACACACACACACACACACACACACACACACACACACGTATGTTTGTATGCAATTTTTATCTTTTCCAAATAACAAAATCTAGCAGTGTTGGGTTCAGTGAGCCCTAGTATACAAAATACACAGGCTGTGTTTATTTAGAGATTTATAGTCACTTTTCAATTCTGTCACACTGTCATTAAGTGAACCCAACTATCATAAGAGGATTTTCCTGTTAGTAGTAAAGAAAGAGAAGCTGAGATGAACTGCGGAAGGTTAGATAGCTTAAAAATGATATAGTGTCCATGATAACTTTGTTGATACAAGAAGTTATTTAGAAGAAATGATTCAGTTGAAGAGTAATATAATTATAGAAATTGTATCCTTGGTCTATAGAATTTTTACATCTGGCTTCTCTAAGATGAACAGAAAGTCCTCCTGGTCTTTGAGCAAATTCCTCTGAGCTTCAAACAACTTTAACCTGGATAGCTGCTGCTCAACATTTGAATATAAAACCTTTGGGTTTTAGTAACTTTCTTTAGTATTACTCCATGGAAATTGCAAGTCATTTCTTTATTTTTATTACATGTATGCAGGGGGTGAGGCACATGTGGGAGGGTCAGAGGACAGCTTACAAGAGTCAGTTCTCTCCTTCCACCATGAGTCCCCAGTGGCAGAAGGCACCTTTACCCCCTCAACCATCTTGCCAGCCCTTGAATTTCTTTGATTACTCTTTCTCAGTTAATCATTTGTTATACCAGTGACAGCCGACACTGATTATACCATAGTTGTTAACTAGGATAATCTGATTTAAGGAATGCCAAAGGGTCCTGCACAACCCCAACCACTACCCCTGCCACCCCACCCTACCCCCACTTACTGTGAACTGATAGACTTGGGACTTAGGGTGAGTACTGATGAGAATGGCAGCTTTCCATTACTGTAGATGCCTAGCTCATGAAGCAGCAAGAAGTTTAATAGGAAGAAATCAGGGATGGCAATAAAGAATAACTGGAACATTAGCCCTGCTGAATTTAAAGAACTTGTAAGAAGTCTAGAACTATGGAAAGTAGGAGGGTCAGATTATCAAGGCTCACCACTGCTTAGCCATCTGTTCCTAGACAATTTACATGATACATTAACAGAAATGATTTTTCATCTGTTGAAAAAAATTTTCTAATATGTACTCTTAAACTATATAATGTGTTACTGCTGGCAACTGGTTACCTTTTTATTTAGAATTATTCTGATTAACAGCTACCAACTGCTGTTAATTTTGCAAAAGGTGTAGTCATGTACAGATTCAGTATATATTTGAGGTGGTGTTTCCTAAAGAAATTTTTTGGTATTTATTCAGATACTTATTAAACAAATTCTTTGCTATATACTACTATTAAGAAGATAATTTTTACCCTTAATTAACTCTGTTTGCTGTAAGAAGTAGATACAAAACAAAAGCAATTTTCTCAAAGAAAAGTTAGATAATTTATCCTAAATAAATAAAAGTAACAGAAAAAAATACTAGTTATTTGAGAGTTCTAGATTTTTGTTTTCAACTTTTTATTAACCTTAGAAATAGTCACTGGCCTAAGTTAATAAGTTAATTTTATTCACTTCTGCCTTTTTGTATTCCATAGAACAGTATGAAAATACAATTTCTTTGAAAGTATATCGATTTTTATTTCATGATTATTTTATTTTATGATTTTTATTTTATTAATTTGAACTGGTTTGGGCTCCTTATAGAACAAGTAGCACATGATAAGCTAAAACAAAATTTATAGTACTCTCTATATGCTGTATACCTGGGTATTTATTGACAATCCCTGTGGCTCCAAGATACTGCTCTAATTCCTAGGAAAACTGTAATGTTATTCAGCCAGAAATCTCATGTATGTAAAAGGCAGAAATTGCTTCCAATTTTTTTTTAAAGACAAATTTACTAATTTAGTGCGCTTTGTAGCACATGCCTTTCTTTTCCCAAACTAATTTTAATGGTTTTGTAGAGATTCTGAAAGATAATGTGCTCTTGGTTGAGCTTTTTGATTCTCGGGCTCCTGGAGCAACTGCTATTAGTATTAATGACCAGCTCGTCAAAGAAGGCCTAGCATCTTATGAAGCAGGGTAAGTAGTTAGTACAACATCACTTTAGTTTATATATAATGCTTTAATCACAAGAAGAGAAAGGAATTTCCCTGTTCTTGCATCAGAAAAGATGGTAAGGGGGATAGTTGGAGTCATTAGTTTAATGAGGAGTAAAGCAGCCTTCTTTTCACTCCTACTTGGAGGGAAAAACCAAGAGAAGGGCTTCTTGAGATCAAGATTGCTTGTAAGACAAAGAGGCTAACATCTTATTTCCAGGTGGAATCTGCTCAAGCAGCATCTTGGGTCTACTTAGGTAAGAAAATCAGGATGAGAAACAGCACCTAAGGATAGTGGTTGCATTCCCAATTTAAGAAATTTTTATTTTCCTGAGTTTGAAGGGTTCTGTTAGCTAGACCTAAGCATTATTGTCCAAAGCAAGGAGCAGCCAGTGGCTGAAGTGATCTCAGGAACAGAAGGGTAGAGTGGTGTTGATGGTGGGTGGGTGACTTAAAGGTCAACTGACAGAGTTCTTACACAATGGAGACATGCAAAGAGGATAGTCCTCCAGGGTCTTTTACATAACTGCCTGTATGTAGCCTTCAAGAAATCCACCATTTGAACACCTATTAGCATAAGCCAGAGAGACAATAACCTCCAGCCAAGGCCTGCTGTGACTCTTACTAACAGTAATGGCCTATGGTCATGTTCCCTCTTTCACTGTTAAGTCTCATATGTGAAATGGAAAGAAATGAAAGTAAACACTTAAAACTATATTGAAATTTTTCTTTTAAGTACTAGGTCCTTTTGGGGGGGTCCATGGAAGCCAGAGATACTACACATGGAAGCCAGAGATAAAATGCAGGTGTTGTTTCTCTGGAGCCATGTAAATTTTCTATGGGACATTATCTTTGAGTGCTACATGGGGCTCACATATTACGGTAGGCTGGCTGGCCAGTGAGACTCAGATCCTCTTGTCTCTGTTTCCACAGTACTGGGATTGCAAGCGTATGCCACCATGCCTGTTCTTTTAATATAGGTTCTGGGAGTCAAACTGAGGTCCTCATGCTTGTATGACAAACACTCTACCAACTAAGCTGTCTCTTCAGCCCCAAAGCCAGGATTACTTTAAGATGCACAGACAGTTAAGTAAATTTTAACGGATAGTCATCTATCCATCGAGTTGTGTTCTGCCCTCCACATGTGTACATGCCTACACATATACACCACACACACACACACACACACACACACACACACACACACACACACGTAAAACATAATTACAAGCCAGTATCTATAGTGACTAAAGATAAAAAAGTCCAGGTGTAAAAGGGAATTATACTGTGACAAAAAACCCTTTCTTCTAAGATCAGGAATAAAAACTAAGGCAATTTCAGCCTCTCTGTTCAGCAGAGTACTGGAGTCGTAGCAGAGCACTTACACACGAAAAAGAAAAGCATCCAACTTGGACAAGAAATATTTAAAATTGTTATTGTTCATAGGTAACTTGATCTTACATGTAAAAAACATTTAAAAGGTCTATAAACTATTATAATTAATAAATAAATTTAAGCAGATGATATTGAAAAAGAAAGAGTAGCTGCATTGAGTTTGGGTGGGAACTGACGGCTATCCATTAGATTTAGCAAAAGCCAAACCAAAACAACACAGCAACCACAAAACACCTGTTGGTGATCTTTGAACTAGATCTCAGCTTATTGTGAAAGAAGTTTTTTTTTTTTTCATCTAGTTGTCTGTGCTTAAAATATAATCTGTTAAGTGTAAAATACTTGAGTTATTTTGCTTAATGCATTCTAACAGGAATTACATTCCTGTTGACAAACTGTTACTTTTTACTGATTGATACTCTCTAGCCAAAGGTTGTTAAACTCTGAGTTTTTTTCTTTGTGAGTACAGGATATTCATGGGAAGAATTGAAGTTATGAATGAGGTTTTTAAAGTAGAAACTTGGAGTTTATCTTGATTTTTGTGTGTGCTTGCTTTGGTGTTGGCTAAGTACTCTTTTTAAAGAACAATCAACTGTAGTAATTGCTATTGCTATCAAAGTTTGGAAGCAGAAAATCATAGATGAAAGGTGTTCATCTCTAAAAATAAGCAAATATTAATATCTTACTATTCTTTTTGCCATCTTCTGATATTTTTCAGATATACCCTCAAAGATAATTCTAAAAAACATCTTGAAGTATGGGATCCTTCTCCTGAAGAAATCATTTCAAGTGAAATAAACAGCTTAAGTCCTCTATCTGTAAAATCTCTACCTAATGAGAATTTCCAGTCATTGTATAACAAGGAGTTGCCTGTGAACATATGTAATGTAATATCTCCTGAGAAGATTTACGTTCAGTGGTTATTAACAGAAAATTTACTTAATAGGTATAATATATAATGAAAGCATTGCCTGTAGTTCTGGTCGTCTTATACTTTGCTTCAAATATCTAGATGCCATAGTCTTTAATTTTTGAAAGTCATGAGATTATTTCAACTAAATTGTCTCTAAACTCTTTAAAAAAGCATAACATCTCTTTTTGGGCTGTTATCATACTAGAATTTATGCCTTAAGTCCTTACTAAGCACCTTACTTTATGACAGCCTGTATTTATTGTTGAGGATTGCAGCAACCACATGGGCAATTCTTTGTTGACATAGGGCTTAAATTATAGTAAAGAGAGATGATGAACAAATAAAACTTAGTGTGGGGGATGATAAGAGAATAATAAAGCATTTGAGAAGGAGAATGGTTTTAAGATGTTTGAGGAAGACCTCACAGGCACAGTGGCTTTTCAAATGTGTCTTAAGCTGGACACAGGAGGCAGAGCCAGTCAGATCTCTGTGAGTTCAAGGTCAGCCTGGAAAGCACAGCGAGTTCCAAGTCAACCATAGCTACATAGCGAGACCCTGTCTCAAACAAATAAAAATTAAAACTTTGAGCTGTACAAAATGGTGTATACCTGTGGGGAAGTTCCCATCCTAAACTGTTATCAATGTGTCCAGAAGGAGACAGGAGAGCATCAGCCCAGGATTGTGTCTGATGAACCTTTATCTCAAGCAGAGGGAAGAAATAGTTCAAAAGTGGACATGTTTTATACCATCAAAGAACATTGCATCCGGATTGGCCAGAGTGCAGTGACCAAAGGGTTTTGGTAGAAAATATCTTGTCAGAGAATTAGATAAGAAATTATCTGAAATTAAAACATTTTGTATCCTACAGTTTGGAAGAGAAGATGACAGCTGCCTATGAGGACTCTGAATGGAGACCTGTTAGGTGGGAACGTGATATGCACTGTGCTGTTAAGGTCCCATCTAAAAGTCAGTGGAGAAGAGGCCAGATTATCAGAGTGGTTACAGACACATTGGTGGAGGTAAATGCAGAGTTAAACATAATCATGAAAGTACATTTTAATTTGTTCTGTGATTACTTATTTCAGCTTTTATTATGCTTTGCAATTTGAAAAAAAAATTCTTGAAATGTTGCCTTTCCCTAAATTTAAGTTTACTGTTCTCATAGGTCTTGCTGTATGATGTGGGTGTTGAACTAGTAGTGAATATTCACTCTTTAAGAGAACTTCAAGAAAATCTAAAGACAATGGGAAGATTATCTTTGGAATGTTCACTTGTTGATATAAGGTAGTTTTTAGCTAAGTAATTTTCTCATTATTGTATATTATCATTTTAAATATTTTAGCATGGTTTCTTGTCAGTTTTAATTAATACATTCTGAAGCTTTCATACAATCTCATTAAGGGTTTTTTGAGAGGGGGTTTGAGACAAGATCCTTCTGTGTCAGTGGTTCTCAACCTGTGGGTTGTGAACAGGGGTCACATATCAGATATCCTGCATATCAGATATTTACATTACAATTCATAACAGTAGCAAAATTACAGGTATGAAGTAGCAATGAAATAATTCTATGGTTGGGGTCACCACAACAGAAGGAACTAACTGTATTAAGTGGTCACAGCTTTAGGAAGGTTGAGAACCATGTTCTATGTAGTACTGGATCTCGCTCTGTAGACCAGGCTGGCCTCGAACTCAGAGATCCACCTGCCTCTGCCTCCTGAGTTCTTGTAGCTAGAGTTTTCCTGCCTGGCCCACAGTCAGGACAAATCTCTGACACCCGCCAGTCCCACAGCCACTCAGACCCGACCAAGTAAACACAGAGACTTATATTGGTTACAAACTGTATGGCTGTGGCAGGCTTCTTGCTAACTATTCTTACAGCTTAAATTAATCCATTTCTATTAATCTATACCTTGCCACATGGCTTGTGGCTTACCGGTACTTTACATCTTCCTTGTCCTGATGGCGGCTGGCAGTGTCTCCCTCACCCAACTTCCTGTTCTCTCAATTCTCCTCTCTGTTAGTCCTGCCTATACTTCCTGCCTGGCCACTGACCAATCAGTGATTTATTCATTGACCAATCAGCAACACATTTGACATACAGACCATCCCACAGCAAGTTCTGGAATTAAATATGTGTGCCACCGCACCTGGATTCATTAAGGGTTTTAAGAAGAGGGAATAATAAATGTTTGAGCCTATAAATTTAATAGCATTAAAGAAATAGAGGAAGGCTAAATAGAATTCAAACTTTTAAGAATAAAAAGCTTTGAGGAAAAATAAAAGCAGATGGAAATAAAATATGTTTCATAAGTTTCCAATTATACAGGAAGATAAAGGTGTAAATTGGTAATAGTAGTAGATGGTATGAAAGACCAACAGAAAATAGAATCAGAAAACTGAAAAAAAATCAACCGAGTGTGATGTCCATACCTGTTATTTTAGCATTCAGGAGACTGAGGGCAAGAGGATCATAAGTTTAAAAACGAACTACATAGTGAGACCTGCATCCAAAAAAGGAAGAGAGAAGGCAGAGTTAGTTCAGAATAATAAAAAAAAAAAAGCAGAGTTTGAAAAGATGTCAATTTGCAACCCAAGAATTAGAAGTAAATATCAGAAATGTGGGCTAAGCTAGGAGAAGTAAGTACAAAAGCACATCTGACTGTGGAGACAGCTCGGTGGGTGGAGGCTCTTGGCCACTAACCCTGATGAGTCCAGTCTCCAGGACCCACTGGCTGGGATGAGAACAAACTCCCCAAGTTGTCCTCTGACCTCCACATTGGTAGTATGGCATTTTTGGATGGACACACACATATACAGAGTATAATTTTTTAAAAGAGAACTAAGGATAATTCTAATTTTGAAAAAAAATCCAAAAGAAAAAAGATCTCTAAGAGTCAGCATAAGCTTAGATATCTAAAAGGAAAAAGTTGATAACAGTACAAGAAAAAAAACTGTAATTCATGAAAGACTGTTTAGAACTGTGATCGAGAATGTACATGGCTGTATCCAAGAAAATCAACTCAGAATAGTCATCTCTCAGAGATAATTTAGTAAAGTTGGTTTACAAAAGAAAGAAAAGCCTGACGTCATCACTAGTGCTTTATAATAAAAAATAATTAAGTGACATAATTAAATACTTAAGAGGGGAGCTATAGGTTTTATATCCAGCCAAACTTCAGTGTAGCTGTAGAACAGTTACACACACACACACACACACACACCACACACACACACACACACACACACACAAGATATATAATATTTATAGTATAGAGATAAATTTACATATATATGAGCTCATGTAGAAAGGTTATAAAGGCTATGAAAATGGGAAAGAAAATAGCTTAAGTCCATGTTCACATTGGTTTCTCACTATGTGTGAGGGTTCAGACTGTGTGTGTGTTTGTATGATTTCTAACTATTTCAGTACTCTGTGATACTCGTTGTAATACAAATAGTCATTACTTTTGCTTCAGACCGACTGGTGGAAAGCTGACAAGTGGACAGCAACAGCTTGTGACTGTCTGTCACTGTACCTCACTGGAGCTATAGCAACCATAATCTTACAGGTAGGTAGGTGTCCTGTCTGGTTTATGTCAGCTTGACACAATATAGAGTCTTCTGAAAGGAGGGAGCCTCAATTGAGAAAGGGGCATTTTCTTCATTAATTATTGATGGGGGGGTGGGTTAGCCCACTGTGGGTGGTGCCTCTCCTGGGCTGGTAACCTGGATTCTATAAGAAAGCAAGCCAAGCAAGCCATGAGGAGCAAGCCAGTCAGCAGCACTTCTTCATGGCCTGCATCAGGTCCTGTCACCAGGTTCCTGCCCAGTTTGAGTTCTTGTCTTGACTTCCTTCAGTGATGAACAGTGATGTGGAAGTGTAAGCCAAATCTCCTCCCCCCGTCCCCCCGCCCCCAAGTTGCTTTGGTTATGGTGTTTCATCCCAGCAGTAACCCTAACTAAGACACAAGGTAAACAGTTATAACAGATACATATTTATTATTTCACTGAAGTTGTCGTCTAGTCTAAGTTTATTTTCTTGTTAAGATAACAGCAAAATGTTTGGAATATATTTCCAAACTATGTTGATCTTGTGTTAAGGTATTATATCTGTACATAATAACTCTGTGGCATGGTGACATACAGTAATAATCCAAGAACTCAGGAGGTAGGAGGAGGATCAAGGGTTAAAGGCCTAGCAGGGCGTGTTGGTACACTACTTTAATCCCGGAACTCAAGAGGCAGAGAAATCTCTGTGAGCTGGAGGACAGCCTGGTCTACACAGCAAATTCTAGGCCAGCCAGGGCTACATAGTAAGACTCTATCTTAGAAATAAATAAATAAGTAAATAAATAAATAAATAAATAAATAAGTGATATAGATGCATATATACATATATGTATGTGTATTTATTAAAGTACATATACACACATGTGGAAGCACAAGCCATGGCTCATATGTAGAGGTCAGAGTACAACTTATTGTGCTTGGTTCTCCTTCTACCTTGTGGATCCTGGGTATTTGAACTCAGGTCATCAGGCTTGTCAGTAAGCAGCTTTACCTGCTCAGCTAGCTTGCCCACCTAAAAAAGCTAAAATAAGTAAATGAGTTAAATAGATCTCCCACAAGTGTTCATGTGGCTGAATCAAAGTATTTCTAAAGTCATGTGCTTGAGTTGAAATTTTGAATGTTAGAAGAAAACATATAAACTAAACTATCTTTCTAAAGTCTTTAGAAAATTAAGCTCAGGCTGGAGAAATGGCTCAGTGGTTAAGAGCACTGGCTGCTCTTCCAGAGGACCTGGGTTCAATTCCCAGCACCCATATGGCAGCTCACAGTTGTCTGTAACTACAGTTCCTGGGGATCCACCCTCACAGACAAAACACTAAGCACATGAAATAAAATTAAATAAATGTATTTTTTAAATTTTTTTAATTTTACAGACCATCCCCAATTCCCCTTCCTTCCTCTTCTCCCTTCCCCCACACCTCACCCCTATCCCATTCCCCATCCACTCCTCAGAGGGTGAAGTCTGGCATACCAAGTTGAGGCAGGACCAAGCCCCTCCCCCTGCATCAAGACTGAGCAAGGTATCCCTCCATAGGGAATGGGCTCCAAAAGGCCAGTTCATGTACCTGGTATAAGTCCTGGTCCCACTGCCAGGGATCCCACAAACAGATCAAGCCTCAAAACTGTCACCCACATTCACAGAGCCTGGTTCGGTCCCATGCAGGTTCCCCAGCTGTCAGTAAATAAATGTATTTTTAAAAAGAGAAAGAAAAAGAAAATTAAGCTCCTAAGTAAAGAAGAACTGATAGAATGTGCATGTTTGTGGGTGTGGATTTGAGAAGCATGTCTTCATAAGAAAGTGTTGTAGTTTCCTCTGTTTCTGTTCTGCCTTATTGAATTTTCTCATGTAACTCATTTTCCATATCACCTTTTTTACATATGCTTTTTTTTATACCTTTTCCTGTGAAGGAGAACATGTGTTGTAGTAACTTCTTTTGTGTTTTGTAGGAAAGTAAAGCACACATTGGAAATTTTTCAGAGTTGAAGGGTGTAGCTAGAGTTTTTCTGGTCATGCCTGGCCCAGGGTCAGGACAAATCTCTCACACCCGCCAGTCCTGCAGCTGCTCAAAACCAACCAAGTAAACACAGAGACTTATATTATTTACAAACTGTATGGCCGTGGCAGGCTTCTTGCTAACTGTTCTTATATCTTAAATCAACCCATTTCTATTAGTCTATACTTTGCCACGTGGCTCATGGCTTACTGGTACCTTACATCTCGCTTGTCATGGCAGCGGCCGCGTCTCCCTGCCTCAGCCTTCCACTTCCCAGAATTCTCCTCTCTCCTTGTCCCGCCTGTACTTCCTGCCTGGCTACTGGTCAGTCAGTGTTTTATTTATTAACCAATCAGAGCAACACATTTAACATACAGAACATCCCACAGCAGAAGGGAATAGAGAAGCATGCTAACTGGTGATACTCCTCTCACCTCAGTTAGGGAGGGGAACTTTGTTGCAGTTCACTTGATTGGGGTTTTTGGTGGCGACAGTTTTTTTATTTGTTTTGTTCTTGGTATATTTTACCTTGGTAATGAGGTCTTCCTAATTCATTCCTAAAACACATACCTGAAAAGAGATACAATATAAAAAATTAAAATGCTTTTCTATCAGTATTGACTCCCTTCCATGCTGTTTCCCTTATATATTTAGATGTCAAAATAAAGTTAGCTGGGATTGTTTCTTGCATAGAAAATGTAGAAGAAATTCTTTTGAAAAATACTGCTTGTGAGATTTCACTTTTTGTCTGATAAATCTCTTCAGGAAAACAGCACAACATGGCCATTACCTGTGAAAATTTTCTGCCGAGATGAAAAAGGAGAACGTGTTGATGTTTCTAAATACTTGATTAAAAAAGGTTTGGCTTTGAGAGAAAGAAGGTACAGACTTTTGAGTATCTTTTTGACGTCAGTTTCTAGTGATGCCTGTGCCATCTTTTGTGGGTGTTTTCAAACCTGAGCTGCATCTTATTTGTTCTTAAAGATGATTTATAATCTAACCCCTAACGAGCTACCCCAGAAATAGATTGCTTGTTTCTTTATTCATGTCAGTAAGCTCTTACAAACTGAAAAGCAGCCTATTACGTACTGGCTTTCAAGGGTACATGTGGGCTTCTTGAGAGAGCTACATCACTGGGGTCTTGGAGAGCTAGTTTTATGAGCATGTTAACACAGGGAGGATTACTCATAAGATAAGGTGGGAGAAAAGCAGAGAATCTGAGTGGGAGGGGATCCCAGAATAGGGCTATTCCCTTTTTGTTCCTATGTGTGGTTTTCACATGTACCATGGCATCCGATCCATGATGGTGGAAACCCACAATTGTGGAAGCTGATGGTGTGGAGCAAAGAGTAGTTATCAGTTGTCTCTAACATCCATACTGGTTCCAGCTGGTTTGGGCAAATTTGTCTTTGCTGTGTGAGTGCTTGTTATGGAGCTTTGGTTAGGGTGAAAGAGATAGCTAGCATGAACATCATGGCAGGAAGACATGAAGAGGGGAGGAAGAGAGAAAGGACAGAGTGAGAGCATGGAGACCTACTTGAGCTGGAGTGATGGCTCAATAGTTAAGAGTACAGGCTGCTCCTGAAGAGGACCTGGGTTCAGTCCCCAGGCGTCCACAGAGTGACTCACAACCATCTGTAACTCCAATTCTAGAAAATCAAAAGCCCTCCTCTGGCCTCTGAAGGCACAGACGTACATGTAGTCAAAACACCCATACACATAAAATAAAAATAAATAAGTACTTAAAAAACAATCTTAATATTATAAATCATAGTAACATTAATTAATTTGCTACCCTGTTAAAAGAGGGTTATTTCCAAGTTACATTTGTAGCAAGAACTGAATGCAAGTTGTTGAACAATTTTGAACAATAAATTATCTAGTTACCAAAAAAGGCAGAAACATTTTGTATGTTAATCCTGGAGTTGCTTATTTTTAAATCTTCAAAACAACTTTTGTGAGTAAAACCATTACATTTAAATGAAAACTCAAGAGGCTGAACTTTGACACAGAAAAAGATATTTTACAAAAAAATATCTCAATATTTCAATATTGGAAGAGTGGGGTATTTAATTTAATGTAAAACCTGTATATGTGTATATATACTCATGCATTTGTATCTATATGATTTACATGTCTTAAAATCAAGCATAAGTGTCATATGAGTTGATAAGTAACTTATAGACCTTATTATCTGAATTAATCTTTCTTTTTTCAACATAAAATAACAGGACATAAATTACATAAAATGGATTATGTAAAACCCTTAGAAAAACATGACAGCTGACCAACACAGGACAACACTGAAGGAATGTTCCTTCCTTAGAAAGGTTTTAAAGAAGTGTATAAGGGAGCTTTTCTGAGAGGAATCTAGGAGTTGCACCTGCTGCTTGACTGAGAGCTGCAATAGGGCAGGGCAACAAAAAGAGAGCAGCGGGGTGGAGCTTTGTGAGCTTCTCGGAAGGAAGGAGAAGAGGTGTGAGTGGAGGCAGCTGATAGGTAGAGAAAACATTTAGAAGTCTGTATGGAACCCTAGACTTGTTTGTTTGTTGAGACAGGGTTTTACTATATAGACCAGGCTGGCCTAGAACTCATAGAAAGCTGGATTAAAGCATGCATCACCTTCCTGACTCATAGATTAACTTTTTTAAAAACCTGTAACTCAGTGAGGGTCAGGTACAGGCAGGCACTGAGGAATCTGGAACTCTGTTCTAGTCTGACTATTATAGGGAGTGAAACCTGGTTTTACCTTAGGCATGAATCACCAGGAGAAGGAGCCGACTCACCATTGTGGAAAGGCTAAGCATTTGTAAGTAAAAGCTGACATATTTTCCCCTGGGAGAAGCAGTGACTGCTTTCAAGGAATGCAGCTCTGGAGGCAGGTCTACTGAAGAGTTAAAGATAGTCACATCCTCTTGAGCAGCAGCAACGGGTTTTAAAGAAGCCACCTGAGGCCCTGAATGTTCACTTCACATCTTGGATTTTACCTGCAGAGGAGATACCAACAGATACATAGATGCAGATAATATAGATACAGGAACAGCTAGGTAGAGATGCAGATACATATAGATGCAAATGGATACAGATATAGATACAAATATGTTCAGATACATGTTTTTCTTGAGAACTCAAAAGTAACTTTTTTGATTTTAGGATTGCCTGTATATCAATCAGGGTGGCAGGGAGGAGACCAAAAGATGAACAGAGAGGTTCAATAGGTTGGCAAGAAAGTCGTAGCCCAATGCTAGGGGTTTAGGAAGAGCTCAGCAGTCCTAAGACAGAATGAAGTTCACCAAAGTGGGGATCGTGGGCACAGATAGCCTAAAAGATAGAGCTTTACGTTCAAGTTAGCTTTCAATAAAAGAGTAGGAGAAATAGCTGCCCTGGATAGCATGTGAGGGGAGAGAGAAGACACAAACACTAGCACATACAGAGCTTCCAAGAACATGTCTTTCTTTTAAAACTTTCCCCAGGAATGGGTGCCTGTCTTAGTTAGAGTTTCTTTGCTGTGATGCACAGATGAAACATCATGACCAAGTTGGGGAGCTTACATTTCCACATCACAGTTTATCATCAAAGGAAGTCAGGACAGGAACTCAAACAGGGCAGGAGCTGATGCAGAGACCATGAAGGAGTACTGCTTACTGGCTTGCTCTCCATGGCTTGTTCAGCCTGCTTTTTTATAGAACCTAAGACTGCCTGCCCAGGGATAGCACCACCCACAATGGGCTGGACCCTCCTCCATCAATCACTAATTAAGAAAATGCTGTACAGGCTAGCCTACAGCCTTTTTATGGGAAACATTTTCTTAGTTGAGGTTCCCTCCTCTCAGATGACTTTAGCCTGTGTCAAGTTGACATAAAACTATGCAGCACAGCGTCAAAGAAGCAGGTTGCTTATAGTTACCAGTTTCTTCTAGAGAAGTAGATGCCAGGGGAGGCATGGTCTGTTTTTCCAGAGAGTGATCTAACAGTTGTATGATGCCATCTAGAGCCACCAAGCAATCTTCCTCTTTTCTTTTCCTCCTGTGACTGTCTAGCCCACTTCATTAAAAAACTCGTTCATCCTGGACTAGAGCAAAGGTTTTCGTTAAATGTTAGCATATATTTGAATGATTTTTTTTCATATTTTTGTCTACAGAGTTTTATCTTTGCTCCCATTTGGATATGGTTTTTGTTTTGTTTGTTACAGAATTAGTAAATCAAATAATAGCCATTCATCTGAGAAGTCTTTGGAAATCTCCCTGGAAGAAGATTCAATGGTTACTAAGTGCTTAAAAATTAACTTTGACACTAACAAGAAAATTGCTGATAAAACCAATGAACACAAAGTACCTGATTCAAAGGAGAAAAAATCAGAAACTAGAACCACCAGATGCTATAAAGCACCAGCTATTCCTAACACGAATGCATTTGAGGCAGTGGTGAGCTGCATTGGTGATGATGGAACTATATTTGTAGTGCCTAAATTATCAGGTAAGGTCTTTTATGTTATAAAGTTTTCTTCAGTAACTCTGGGCCTAGCAGCCCAAGTTTTCTAGTATGATAGAAAAAAACTGGAAGTCTTTGGGAAAATTTACCCTCTCTGAAACTCATTTTCAAGGGGCTGTGAGAAGGATTAGATGATCTCACCCAGTGCATGCAGGGTGCTTTTAACAATGCCTAGCTAAGCTATTTGAGGGTTTGTTGTTGTTGTTGTTGTTTTAAATAATAATAATAATTTATAATAATAATAATAATAAATAATTTCAACATACTGTTACCAGAACTCCCTAGCCAGAGGACTGCCTGTGGGTCCCAATGCTTGTCTACATTATGGAGAAATCCAAGCTGGAGAAACAGCTCAGTGGTTAAGAGTACATACATACAGCTCTTGAAGAAGCCCCAAGTTGAGGCCCCAGCACCCAAGTTGGGTGGTTCAGAACTGCCTATAACTCCAGCTCCAGAGTATCCAACACTGTCTTCTGACCTTCTTAGATATCCATGCATCCATCCAATGCACATGCATCCACATAGACATGCTTGTATACATGTAATTAAAAAATAAATCTTAAAAAAAGAGCAAAAGAACGAGCTAGAGAGGTGGCTCAGTAGTAAAGGGCAAGTGGGTATTTTTGTGATCATCATCAGAGTGGGGGTCTTTATGCTGAGGCGGGCTTTCCATGACTAGATGCACTTTGCCCCCATCAAATGACCATGGGGCAGAGAAACCAGCATTACAAGGTTTCTTTGAGCCGGGCGGTGGTGGCGCACGCCTTTAGTCCCAGCACTCCGGAGGCAGAGGCAGGCCAGTCTCCGTGAGTTCGAGGCCAGCCTGGTCTACAGAGCTAGTCCAGGACAGGCTCCAAAGCTACAGAGAAACCCTGTCTGGGGGGGGGGGGGGGTTTCTGTGTAATGCTGAGTTTTGGTTTCTGTTAACCTGATAAGAATCTTCTATTTACCTGATAAGAATCTGCCTGGATTGGGCCTGGGCCCTCTTCTTAGGACACTGTCAACAGCACTGCCATTCGGGGCCCACTTTGACCTAATAGCAGGTACCACAGGAGGCTGAACTTAAAAATGACCTTCAAAGAGAATATTAAGGGAAAGCTTTCCTCCTACAGCCTGTCAACATGGATAAGGGTGTGTGTGTCTGTCTGTCTGTCAGTCTTCCTGTCTACATGTCTGCATCTGCATGAACAGACAGACATGTGTCAGATCCCCTGAAGCTGATGTTACAGATGTTTGCAGGACCTCTGACTTGTTATATGGGTGTTAGGATTTGAACTCTGACCATAATGATTTCTCAGCAAGCACTCCTGAGCAATCTCTCCAGCCACTTGAATTCTTTTTAAAATCTTTCTTAGAAAAACATCCTTATCAAAATCCAATACAAAATTTTGTAACCTAACAAAACTTGTCACAAAATTCAAGGAATATTGTTTTATATTAAGTAAAAAGCCTATACTTTCAATAAACTGTACTGTTTCAATTGTTTATTTAAATGGGATTAATCTATGGAGTCCATTTAATGATCAAAGGAATTTATTTGGGGGTAAACTTACAACCACAGGAGACCATTTATCATAGGATCCAGGAAAGCTGAGCTATGTATGTCCCACACTGAACAGCTTGGTTCAAGACCTCAGCATCCAAAACCACAAGGTAGCCAAGAAGAGCAGTCATACCTGCGTCCACAGTCTTAAGTGTCCTTGGTGGCCCCGCCCCAGGGGCAAGTACCTCAAAGTCACAGACAGGTTTAACAGCTACAGCTGCCTCACTAGGGGCAGTGCTTTAGGGCATGTCTCAAACAGCTATCCACTACATTTATTCTCTAACATTTTAGTTTAAAGATCAGAAATGTCAATGTGTTGTGGTCAAAGCAAAACAAAAAAATTTCAATGTTTTATGAAATTTGCTTAACAGATTCAAATATAACATTTTAATAGGCTTTAAAGAAAGTTCAAGTCTGTATGAGGCCATGTGTGTGCCACAGCATGCATATGAAGATCAGAAGAGAGCTTTTGTGAATGGGTTCTTTTTCTCCTGTGGGATCTGGAGATCAAACTCAGATGGTCAGGTCTGCATAGCAAGCACTTTTACCCACTAGCCATCTTTCTTGCAAGCCTCCATTTTAAGAAAAAACATTGTTTAGTTTTTTTTCTTTTTAAAGATTATCTTATTTGCATTTATATGTATGTGTCTGTCATATGTGTGCTGGTACCAGAGGAAGAAAGAGGGTGTTGGATCCCCTGGAGTTGGAGTTACCAACAGTTGTGAGCCTCTAGTGTGGGGATTGAGTCCTTTGGAAGAGCAGCAAGCACTCTTAACTACTAAGCGCAATCTCCAGCCCCCATTTTAATAGATTTTTAAGAAATTAAGCATACCTAAATATGGGGCTGGAGAGATGGCTCAGAGGTTAAGAGCACTGGCTTCTCTTCCTCAGAGGTCCTGAATTCAATTTCCAGCAACCACATGGTCGCTCACAACCATCTATAATGAGGTCTGGTGCCCTCTTCTGGCCTGCAGGCATACATGCAGGCAGAACATTGTATATACAATAAACAAATAAAAATAAATAAATAGAATACCTAAATGTTTACTGTAGGGCAGTAAAGATTTGTCAGGTCTTTGAACAGGTAATTAAATGTAAAATATATTTATGTTAGAATAAAAGAAATTAAGATCACCTGATTTTATTCTAAACCTCTTATTTAGTTATTTTTAATTATATGTATGTGTTGGGGGAGGTATACATGTGTTTGGATGCCCATGGAGACCATAGGGCATTAGATCTACTGGAGTTGCAGGTGTTTGCCAGCCACCCTAACCAAGCTCAGGTCCTATACAAGAACACTATAGTCATTTCCCCAGACCCATAAACCTATTTATTTATTTTTATGTGAATGGGGGTGGGGTGGCACTGTGAAGACCAGAGGAGGGAGTCAGATCCTTTGGAGCTGACGTAAGTAGTTTGTAAGCTGGGCTATAGACCTCTGGAAAGGTAGTGAGTACTATTAAACAATAAGCCATCTTTTCAAAACTTTTTCTGTAAATCAATTTTGCTAGATCTTTTGTAACCATACAAGAGGTTTAGTTTTGTTTGCTTTTCCCCTCAGCCTTAGGTTCCAAAATTAACATTTCAAAAAACTGGATCCCATAGTTAACACTTGAATAACTACATTTCAGTTAAGCCTGACTGAAATAAAAACCTTGAATCACCACATTTATTTAAGAAAGAAAAAAAGTAGGCAACAGTTCCTAGAAGTCCAAAAGTCATCTTTAAAATGTTCATATTTTTAAATTAGACATACCAAGAATGATTTTAGTATGCAGTGATTCTTTTAAAAAGAAAAAAAAGCTAAACATTCAGTGGTTACTTTTAGGAATCTTAGAGGCAGATTAAGTTTTTAATCCCATTCTCTTTTGACATGTAATTCCTGTGAGATTGCTGCATCTCATGTGGCCAGACACTTCAAAACTTCAGTTAAAACCCAAGTTACCTAGAGATGCCTAGAGAGTCAGAGGGAGCATTTCTCTATAGAGTCCCAGGGACACCCATTGTAGATAAATCTCTAATGCTACAACCATTAAATTTTCAGCCTTCATTAGACAGTTGTCAGAGATCCACATTAAAACACAAAGTGACGCAAGCATTAAGTCAGAAGCACTCTTAAAGTGTGTGTGTGGGGGGGGGGGGGTTGTCTTGTTTTGTTTGAGACAGAGTCTCACCATGTAGCCTTGGCTAGCCTGGAACTTGCTGTGTAGCAAATGGTGACCGCAAATTCATAGAGATTTGTCTATTTCTGCCTCCCAACTGTTAGATTAAAGGCATGTGTCACCCAGCAGACTCAGGACTAGTCAGCTAAAATTCTCCCTTAGAGCCACCAAAATACCATAGGCTTAGTATTCTCCATGTTTTCCCACAAATTATAATAGAGCTGTCTCAAGTTTTTGTTGTTTGTTTCTCTGTGAAGCCCTGGCTATCCTGAAACACTTTGTAGACCAGGCTGACCTTGAGCGCTGGGATTAAAGGCGTGCATCACCATGCTGGCTAGATCTCTCAAATTTTTATTCAAATTCAAATATAAGGAAGACAGGTTTCCCAAGAGTCTTCATCTTGATTCCACAGCACAGCAAAGGAATGACTATTCAAGCCTCTGACAGTGAAGATATTTTATCAGCTTATACTGTAAACTGACCCAAGAAAGAGCCAAATGGTTCAGACATGGATATAAAAACTAAGCCAGAGTCTAAAGGTGCATGCCAAGTCAGGCTACACTGAAAAGCAAAGTGAATGCTCTGCCAAACTGAGTCTGCACTTCCCTATTACATAACAGCCACTCAGCACACAATTCAATGTCCTCAAATCGTCAAGCATTTCAAACATCCCATCCTTATTAATTGGTACCAAGAGCACAAACAAACCAAGGTCCTGACCATAAGGGTTTAAGCTTAAAGGTGGAGAGGAGTGTTCAGCATCAAGGAGTGCTGGGGATTTCAAAGAGCACTGTTAATTGTAAGTGGAGCTTTACAGCAGAACCAAACTTAGGTACTGATGTAGAAGAAACTCGAGTAATAAAGGATTTACTAATAAACTTGCATAGGAGACATTAAGTCACACAAAGGAGAATTTAGCTGGGGGGGGGGGGCTGCCTCCAAAATACCCCAGAGTTAATTAGTGTGCTAACCAGACTGTTAGAGACAGGCAGAATTCAGGATGCTAGGATGTAATATTTAGTCACCAGAATTGACCAGCCATTAATCTCCCATAACAAGGAGACAGCTCTGACTTACAACCTGCTATCAGAGATGTCTCTAAACAGCCAAGGGGACAGCACAAAGTGACAACCATCTTTAAGTCCTGGCCTGCCATAAGGTCCTCAGTTACCTTCTTAAGAAAGCATTATTTTCCAGGTGGGTAAGATGACCCTAGGCGACAGCTGTTCGAAAAATGACGACACTGGTGTATTTAAAAATAATTTTGGCAATAGTATCTTTGCAGTGTAAATCACCCATATGCCTAAATGGCCAGACTTGCAATCTCCAGTTTCTGTTTAAATTGTTCAAAGTGTAAACTAGGACCCAGACCTGAAAGAAATTGAAGGATGACACCATATGTGGAATGATAAGCCCAAGATGTACCTAAGTTAATAACATCTTCTATCTGTGGTCAGCTCCTCTTTGGGCATTAGCCAGAGCCAATATCTCCTTTTCCAGAGTGTAAAGTAAATTCTTAAGGGTGGGGAGAGGCACATATTTCTGCTACAGTACCAGTCCTGAAGAGTCAAGGTAGAACTAGAGGACTAGAGATTGAGCTTGCATTGATGTTAGAGTGTTTGCTTAACTTGCTTAAAGCCCTGGATTTGGATCCCTGGTACCATGAAAAATCCTTTTCTGTTCTGAGATCAGAAACATGTTCTACTGAATGACTTTATAGAAGACATCTACAATTCTGCTTTTTTAATTTTTCTTTTTTTGTTGTTTTTTATTTTGTTTTTATGTTTTGTTTTGATAAACATTATATGTCATTGGACGGGCAGGAGCGTCTTTCTTTTTTCTTTTCTTTTTTTTTTTTTTGAAAGTTTTGAGATAGCATTTCACTGTGTGGCCCAGGTTGGCCTTTGATTTGAGTCTCTTTGGACTCCTTCCCAAGTGGTAGGATTATAGGAATGTATTACTGGACCTGGCCTTATAAATTTGTTTTTCATTTAAGTCTTTTTGTTTTGTTTTGTTTGTTTTTTTTTGTTTTTCGAGACAGGGTTTCTCTGTATAGTTTTGGTGACTGTCCTAGATCTCGCTCTGGACCAGACTGGCCTCGAACTCACAGAGATCTGCCTGGCTCTGCCTCCCTAGTGCTGGGATTAAAGGCGTGTGCCCCAGCTGCCCGGCTCATTTAAGTCTTTAAAGTATTCCAGAATTGATTTTTAGAGAGCTGTAAAGAAGACATTCAACTTGGTTTTGTAAAGATTGAATAGTTTTGACTTATCCCATTTGCTTAGTATGCTTCACTTTCCCCACTGCTAGGTAGTATTGCCTTTACCATTCTCAACAGTATGGTTACCTGCACAGGATCTGCAAAGACCACACCAGTTGACACATAGAATAGATGGAGGAAATTTCCACAAGCCTCCACCCCAAGGTGAATAGCCATATGCACACATATAAATGTATAAAAGAGCTCATGAATTCAGGGGGGCATGGGAAGAGTTGGATCAGGGAGAGGGAGGTGGAAAGGATGCAAATACAGTGTAAAAGCATAAAATTCTTAGATTAGAATGTTCTGTATATGTATGGATTTTTCTAAACAATTCTCGTTTATTCTCTCTGTCCTGGCACCTTTACTAAAGTATTACCCTTAATCATACTATAGCCTTTTCCCTCTTCAATATATATTGTGTAGTGTGCACATAGTTACTTGTTCTATGTCCCATATGTCAGTGCAAAACACAGCTCTTGCTCCAGTGGGAATGAAAAAAATCATTTATTCTAAACAATGTATGAGTGACCATGGCTCAGGAACATGGATTCAAGTTTCCCTGAATGACACGTTCCAGTGTAGAAGTGGTTGTATTATTTTTTTAATACTCACATAACAAAAGGTCATAAATCAGTGCATTTGGATGCTCTCTATGAAAATAGAAAACAAAAGTTTGAATTTGTTAAAATAAGAAGTCACAGCAAATGTCTGCAAGTTCCTGAGGCTGCCTGGGGTTTGTATGCAAATGCAATGTGTGCTTTCGAAATGATCCCTAACTCATGTAACTCTAGCATTCACAGACTTAGTTAGGCTCAGGAGTTCCATTAGGGGGTCACCTGATGATGAGGGTTTGGTAGCTATGAATTTACTGACATTTTTCTCCCATTTGTTGAGCACCTGAAAGAGTAAGCCTGTGAATAATTGAGATGTAGAATAACAACTAATCTAGAAGCTTTATTTGACATATTTAATCATTAACTGATATCCTATCTAGTCCTCTTGGGTACCAGTAATGTGGGTAGATGCGGTCAGATCCAATTTACAGAGAACAAACTCAGACTTATACACCTACCTAAGATAGCAGAACCAAAGAAGCAAGAATGAAGTGATCACTGACTCCAGAGCTTGCCTTGGAGCTTCCAATGGAGTCAGTTATAAGGGGGCATACAGATACTGTGGAATTAATGAAGCAATTTGTAGTAAAAAGAAAAATGGGGCTGGACTGAGGAGATAATTCAGTCAGTAAAGTGCTTGCCAGGCAGCGTATGAACCTCAGTTATGTCTCCAGAACCCACAAAAGAAGTCACATATGGGGTTGAAAAGATGGCTCAGTGGGTCAAGTGCTTGCTGCGCCAAGACGAGGTCTTGAGCTCAGGCACCGAGCACCCACCTAGAACCTGGGGTAGAAGCACATGTCGGTAAACCCAAAGCTGGGAGCACGGGGAAGCAGACTCTGGGGATTCACTAGCCAGCCGTCTAGCTAGCTAAACAGTGAGTTCCATGTTCAGTAAGAGACCCCTTCTCAGACAGTGAGGTGAAGAAGCAATTGAGGAAGGAATCTGGCCATCAGGGTCAGGCTCCACAGCACTCACATGGGCTCGCACACATAACACACACACTATTAGAAAATACTTGTTTTAGAAAGCTAGGCATGGTAGCACTGAGTCGACAGTGACAAGTGGATCTTTGGGGCTCACTGGTCAGCCAGCCTAATCTTTATAGCTAGTTCCTTGATAGTGCAAGGCCCTGTCTCAATAAGACTGGGAATGACATTTGAGGTTGTCTTCTGACCTCTGTATGCACCTCCACACATGTGTACACATAAAAGTTAGAATTCTAACTTGTATCTTCAGTATTATCTCTCCCTAAGCAATAGACAATACAAGACTTGTGCTATACTTACTGTGCTGTCAAAGTGACACCTTAAACTCAGTTCTTCCATATTAGCTTATCTGGTAGGCGGTAAATTGCAAAGAGTGCTTTATGGTATTTGTATTCTCAGAATAGCAAAGTGTTTATGTGCTGTTAGTAAAATTTTAAAAACATGTATTAAGTGTTAACTGAATTAAATGTTTATAAAAATTTTATTGGAAACTTGATCATAATTCTTTGTATTACCTAAGTTAGGAAGTTAGTAGGTTGCTAGTGAGAAGTAACTAATAACACATTTTCCTAAGTGTGTTCTATTTTCAATAAATTCTACAGAGTTTGAGCTCATCAAAATGATGGATGAAATTCAAAGTAATTTAAAGTGCCTTGGTCTTTTGGAGCCATACATCTGGAAAAAGGGAGAACCTTGTGCAGTGAGAGGATCTGATACTTTGTGGTACCGCGGCAAAGTCATGGAGGTTGTGGGAGGCACCATCAGGGTGAGTCTAAACACTAGAGGAGTATGTGACCAGACTTTAGATGAAAACACCTTTTGGTGAACTTAGGAAGATCAATACACTATATTATACTGTTGTTTCTAACAAGGATTTTCCTTTTTATTTTCTTTTTGTTGCTCTTGGTATTTTCTTTCTGTTTGGGTTTTGGTTTTGAAACACAGTCTCTTATGTAGGCCATCCATGCAATTTGGGATCCTCCCACCTCAGCCTCCCAAGTGCCAGTATTACAGACCTGCACCACTAGACCCAGCCTTTGTTTTCAAATATATTAGAAACCAAATAATGAAGAAATCATTGCAGGTGGGATATGTGACTACTAGTGCCTAATGGACATAGCTTAGCTTAACTGGTAGCCCTATGTAATAGCACATCTGTTATTATTAAGTAAAACAGCTTATTCTCTGACATGTTAATTAGCTCCCTGGCTAATCTTTCCAAGTTATGGGTTAGTTTACCTTACAGAACAGTGAGGTAGCTCTTACATTTCTTTCAGAATTTTTAAAAATTGCTTCATGAATTGAAAAATGAAAATATAAAATAGAGATATAAATACCTCCAGTTACCAAGTAAAGTGATGAAATTGATTAACTATTTCATCAGCTATATAATACTGGAAATTTTTACTACTAATTGGGGTGGGGTAAAATATTAAAGAGAAACATTTTGCATTTTAATTTAAACAGAAATTTACCTTGCTTGATGATGATACCTAATAGTTACATAGTGGAAGTTTCAGCTTCTTTCACATGTGTAAATTTTATAGAATTAACATGCCTCCCCAGTGAGAAATCACACCACACACTTAGTGGTTAATAAGGAAAGAACTCTTTAATAGTAGGGCACAACTGGTTCTGGCTAGTACACAAAAGGGAGCCAGCTCTAAACAGAAAGTTTATGAGCTTATATCCACCTTAGGCTTATACATTCCATGTGTGCTTTTATTCTTACCTCTCATTCATGTCCCCACTCCAGGTTAAACAGAGACGGGAGACTGCAAGTCTGGCCACTTGGGCAGATGGGAGATTTACACAGCAAGGATATTGTTAGAATTATTTCCTAAGTACACACACCAATGTTGTTCTTTTCCAATAGCTGTTACCCATAGTCATCTTGCCCACCTGGCAGAATTATGCTTCTCCTGATAGAGAGTAGGGACTTAGTAGAGGCTAGGACTTGATAATAGTTGTGACTCAGGGCTCAGCCATTAGGCTGCCCCTTAGAGGCATGATTTATTTATTTGTTTGTTTGTTTGTTTATTTATTTGGTTTTTCAAGACAGGGTTTCTCTGTGTAGCTTTGCGCCTTTCATGGAACTTGCTTTGTAGACCAGGCTGGCCTCGAACTCCACAGAGATCCGCCTGGCTCTGCCTCCCGAGTGCTGGGATTAAAGGTGTGCGCCACCACTGCCCAGGCGAGGCATGTTTTTAAATAAGAGCATAGGCTTAATAGCCTGTTGGAAGTCAGGGTTGTCTCTTGGTGTTATGGGAATGGAGCCTAATTGGAGAAATCTTAGTGCAGAAACCAGCTCTAAGCTTCAGTTATGGTGCAGGATTTTCTTTCCTAGAGCTTCTAACAAGCCTGGCTAATGCGCAACTAATCTTCCAGCTGTATTGGAGGCAGCACTCCTTTAGCTAAATTCAACTTTGTATAACTTACTATTTTCTATGCAGTTTACTTTATAGCATCAGTTTTACTGCTTCAAGTTTCTTCTGCATCATGAACACAGTTACCACACTGAAAAACATTTGGAGAGATGTTATTTTCCTAGGCTATGCAGAGAAATCCTACCTCAAAAGCAAACAAACAAAAAAACCTTATTAGTATTCCTTATTTTAAGACAGCTTAACAATTGAATGATCAAAAGAAAAGCATTTCAAAAAAAGCTAGCTGAGGTATTTAGTACTCAATAGTTTTGTGTTTGTTTTTAAAGTTTTATTTTTATATCAAATTATGCACCTGTTCATATGTAGATGTGTGCAAGTGAGTGCAGGTGCCTTTGGAGGTCAGATCCCCAGAAGCTGGAATTACAGGTGGCTTGATGTGGTTGCTAGGAGTCTTAACTAGGGTCTTCTGGAAGAGCTGAACATGCTCTTAGCTGCTCGGCCATCTCTGCAGCCCTATTGCAGTGTACTATTTGTGCATAGGTGTGGGGTCACATGTGCACCACTGCATGCATGTAGAAGCCAGGGGAAACTGGAGTCAGTTCTCTCCTTCCATCTTTACATGGGTTTCAGGAAGTTAACTCAGACTATCAGGCTTACTCATCAAGCACTTCATCTGCTGAGTTGTCTTACCAGCTCCTTAATACCCAAGTTTTAAAAATAATAATAGAAAGGTTTGATTTATAGGCTACCTGTATGAAAACCTCTTTTAACAATTGTTTCATTCTCTATGGGATGAGGGAATATAGATTTTCTTTTTTTTTTTTAATGTCTCAGTATGTAGGTCTGATATGTAGAGCAGGCTGGCCTCTAACTCATAGAGATCCAGCTGCCTCTGTTCCTGGGTGCTGGGATATCCTGCTATTGGGTACAAACTTTTTGCTTGTTTTGTCCTTTTGAGACTGTGTAGCCTAAGCAGGCCTCAAAGTCCAAGCCCCTGCCTCAGCCTCCCAAGTGCTGAGTTTATTGACAGGTACCTGTGCCTTCTGTTCCTTTGTTCCCGTTTGTTGTTTGACACGGGGTCTTGCTGTTTAGCCGTGGCTGGCGTGAAACACACTGTGCGACTCGGACTGTTCTTGAATTTATGGCAGTCCTGCCTCTCTCAACTGCCAGAGTTAGATCTGCACCAGGAGAACCAGAGGTTTGGTTGCCTTTTAAACTTTAAGATTTTATTTATCATTATCAGGGGTGTGTTAGGAAGGATGCTTCCTGTCACATGTGACAATCAGAGGACAGCTTTGTGGAGTCAGTTCTTTCCTTTCACCTTTATACGTGTTCCAGGGATCAAACTCAGGTCTTCAGTCTTGGAGTGGGGGAGTGTATGTCTGTGCACCATGTGCATACAATGCCCCCAGGAGCCAGAAGACAGTATCAGATCCCCTGGAACAGGAGTTATAGACAGTTGTGAGCCATCATGTGGGTGCTAGAGATTGATTGACTCCAGGTCCTCTAGAAGAGCAGCTGGTGCTCTTTACTGATAGTCCATAACATCCTACCCCTATCCTACTTTTTAAAACTAGAAAATCCCCTTTGTCATCCAGCTTTTAGTAATTTTTTTTTCAAGACAGGGTTTCTCTGTGTAGCCATGACTGTCCTGGGACTTCCTCTGTACACCAGGCCGGCCTTGAACTCAGAGATCCTCCTGCCTCTGCTAGGATTAAAGGAGTGTGTCACACCACCCAGCTTAGTAATAAATCTTAATCAGAAAAATTACTTGGTCTGTTTCAGGTGCAATATTTAGATCATGGGTTCACTGAGAAGATTCCACAGTGCCATCTTTATCCTATTTTGCTGTATCCTGATACACCCCCGTTTTGTATTCCCTGTCAGCTCTATCAGACCTTACCGGTGAGCAGAGGAGTGTGTGGGCAGTTAATTTTAAATATTGTCTTATATTAGTGATATTAGAAATTAGTGTATATAATTAAATCCCTTTCAATTGTAATACAATTTTTTCTTTTTAAGTTTTATTGTTGTTGGTTTTGGTTTTGGTTTTAACAGGGTCTCACTGTGTAGCCTTGGCTGTCCTGAAATTCACTAAGTAGACCAGCTGACCTCTAACTCATAGAAATCCTCCTGCCTTTGCCTCCCAAGTGCTGGGATTAAAGACATGCGCCACCATACATGGCAAAGGGTTTGTTTTTGTTTTTAATGTGTCTGAGTGCTTGGCCTGCATGTATGTAAATGTACCATATGCATGCAGTACTCACGGTGGCCAGGAGAGGGAGTAGAATCCAAGGAACTGGAGTTACAGATGCTTGTTAACCAACATGTAGGTGCTGGGAACCAACCCAGGTCCTTTGGAAGAACAGTAAGTGCTCATAACCACTGAGTTCTTTCTCCAGCCCCCATCCAGCAATATAAATTTTAAAAATACCTACAAGTAAAATTTCAAAGGCTTTTAATGAGAAAGACTACAAAATTATACTGCAATATATAAAACCTGTGAGTAAATGGCAGCATAGCATTTGGTCATACTCTGCTGAGACGGTCCTAAGCAGTTATTTCTTCAATTTTAACAATAACAAAGCTCAAACTGTAAACTCCTTTCCTGTTGCAGTTTCTGGGGCTCCAGAGTTAGGAATGGCTCGGCTGGGTGGTTTGGAATTGAGTTCTTTGTGATAGTGAGTCAACATGTCACTGAAGTATATCCATTCACAGGATCCCTGGAGATCCATGAGCTACTTGCAAAGGACTCATCACATGGCTGTTTTCTTGTCTAGAGGCTCTGCCATGTTAAGAAATATGTCCCTTGGTGAATATATACTTTTGGCCTATATAAGCACTGCATGGGCATATTGAACTGTTTTTAAAGTTTTAACTGTGATATGTTGTCTTTAATGTAAGTTTGGGGAGTTGTTTTTAGAGGGTTCTTTTGGGGGAATAGCCTTGTAATTCTTGAGAAAGGATGTTTTGTAGCCCAGGCTGGTCTCTAACCCCCTTTGTAGCAGAGGATGACCTTGAATTATAATCCTTCTACCTCCACTTCCCAGATAACAGGGTCATAGGTGTGTGCCACCATGCCTAGTTAATATGATGCTGATGATCAAACCCAGGCTTTCATACATTCTAGGCAGGCACTCTACCAACTAAGTTGCATCCCCACCCTAGTTTATGCTTTGAAAGCATAAAATATTGAATACAGTAGGGAGAAGCTCAGATAAATATGAATTTGTTATAAGATGTCTTCTATTTTTCTAATAAATATGTGTCCGTGTGTGGGTATGTACGTAAGTATGGGTACCACAGAGTCCAGAAAGGGGAGTCTGTTGCCCTGGAACTGGATTACAAGTAATTGTGAGCTGTCCAGCATAGGTGCTGGGAACCAAATTCTAGTCCTCTGCAAGAGGAGGAAGCCCTCGTAGCCGCTGAGCCATCTCTCTGGCCCTAGATATGAAATTTTAAAGATGGTGCTTGTTGGCTGCCCAGAATACTCGTGTACTTGGTTCTACCGCCAGGCAGTCCTTGCTTATGGCTGTTTCTTTGTGTTTTAATTTATTCTTGCTTGGTGTCATGTTATGGAAATATAAGTGTGTTCATTCCATACAGGTTGGGAATGTGTGGCAGCCAGATGCCATAGAGCTGCTTCAAGAGTTGCTTTCAAAGAGAGAGGTGGACATTCACATTATGGTAAGTTGTCTTTAAAGCATAGTCAAGTTGAAACTGTTTGTCATGAAATACCACAATGAATATAATTTGAGGAATATTTTTAATGACAAGCCATGTTATATGTGTTCATATGTGACTATAAATTATTTGTTAACGTATAAGAAATTACTGCCTTGGTTCCAATGCTTGTTTTAAATAAGCCTGATTTTGAACAAGTTCCTGAGACGTTTCATAAGCATTGAATTGGATGATTGAAAGATTTGTTCCTAATAGTTTCCTTATATGGATACAGAGCAATGTGCCATTGTTGATGTATCAATAGGTACCAGTGTGCCGAGTCTGCTGCCGTACAGCATTGTGTAAGGTGCAGACGGTCCCTGTCCTCAAAGGCCTCCTCTAGTTAGTGAAGCGGGCAGGACATCCGCACTGCAGAACAGCATGAGTCAGGAGACAGTGGGGGCAAGCACAGCAGGATTTACAGAGGGGAGAACTGAAGGTGACCATCCTGACAGGGACACAACTGTCTGGTAGAAAGGGCAGAAATGGTGAGTAGGATGCAAGAGTGGCCCTGTGAGGGATGCTGAGCAGCAAGTAGTACAACTAATCTGCATCTGTTTGAGACCTGGCGTTGGGAGAGAAGAAAATGGTTAGGAAAATATTTCTGCATTCAAGAGCCACAGGCTCAGCCTAAATAAGGAAGCCAGTAGGTTAGTGCTGAGGGTTCCTACCCAAATACACAAGAACCCTTGTCAAGTCACCTAATGCAAGATAGAAATTATTTTTTTTTTCTTAGTCGAGGTAGCTTTCTTTACAAATTAACTTTCAGGAAAACCACCACTTGGTTTTGCAGACTGAATGCTCAGTGCTCCTTAGCCCACTTGGTTCCACGCCTTGCCTAGACATGCTTCTCCAGCATTAGATACACTGAGAAATGTTACTGAGGCTTGGACAGTCCAAAACCCTGTCTGTGGAGCTGAGCTGTTCATGGTGGAAACCAGCCAGCAGATAAAAACACAATGACCTCAATGACCTCTACAGTGTATTAGGCAGATGAGGGCTTGCAGCAGAGACTCTGGTATAAAGAGATGCAGCTGAGAAAGAGGCTCCACGTTAACATGGCTGTCAGGTAACATTTCAGTCAAGATATAAGGTGTGGCAGGACAGGGCATGTCATTGTTGAGAGAAGGTGCCATGGGCCTATGTAGAAGCAGCCATGTTTAGACGGAAAGACAGAGACATGGTTGTATGGCCTAGCCTACACTGTCACAAAGGCACATAGGATCTGACACAAATGTGTTCTAGTATTGCCTTCTGGATGCCTCATATGACTGGTTAGAAAGAAACAAGTAGATAGATTTGCCCAAAGGCATTTCTCCTTCCTCTGTGAGGATGTTAATTTGGAGAATAGTGGGACAAGTAGAAATGGGAAAGAAACTGCCAAAGAAATAGCCAGCTTAACCAGCTGTGGACATACCAATTCATGGTAATTGTAAGTGGACTTTATATTCAGTGTTAAAGCCGTTATCATGATTTCTCACGTGAGAATGTTGATTCTTCTGATTCCTGACATTTTGGAGATTTTTAGTTAAAATTCATTTCTTTGCCTCTTAACCTGTTCTTAGTATAAACTAGTATCATCTAAAGGTGATCTATCTGTAGTTTCTAATAACTAGGAAATCTGTATGGTATAGATATGCAAGTATATTTTATGTAAGTCCAAGAGTAGCATTACTGCTTCATCATCTGCCAAAATATCAGAAAGAAAATTCTTTGCTGTGAGTCACTCAGACTATTTGGTGCTGCTGTTATTGTCAGAAACACATTTCATATTTGCTAGCTATAAAAGTTTAGGCACTGAGTAAAAGTTTTTATAGTAACAGTATTTGTTATTGAATTTAATAGGAATTACCTGAAAATCCATGGGGAAAGTTGTCTGTTCATCTCTATTTTGATGGGATGTCACTTTCTCATTTTATGGCCCATCATAAGTATTGTATTTTTGAACATTCTGAGGAGATATTTAAAGAAGTAAGTGAACTGTTTTCCTATAAATAATACGCATTTTAATTGATTCTAATTAAAATGTCATAATCTGTCTTACACCTCAAGTCTTTTGGTGTGTCTCCTATAGATCAGGTTGGCCTTAAAAATTGTAGTCCTCGTTCCTCCTTAAATTCCTCCTTAAATTCCTTCACCTGCTGGGATTACAGTCAGGTGCCACCACATTCTGCTTACACTGCAAGTCTTAAATCTGTCTGATCTACCTTAAGAGGTCTACCTGATCTCTTAAGGGGATCCACAATGAGAATTTGTCAATTCTTTTTTGAAAAAAAAAAGTACAATGATATATATATCCTGAAAAACATTTTTATTTACATTAAAACTCTACTAATGTTTCTGTATCTTCTACCTTAGTAAGGCTTCTTTATGTTAGCTACTGTTGTTGAATTTGAGCATGAGATGCATTGTAGAAAATTTCATGCCGGTAAAGGGCTCTATCCCCACATAAAATGTCTTTTGACTTGATCTAGAAGCCTTATATTACAACATGAGTGTCCCTAATCCAAACACTCAAAATATGGTGATCTGAAATTGAAAATGTTTTGGGTGCCAGAAGATATATTGAATGCCAGCGTGCAAATTTTAGCTGGGCATGATGGAGCAGGCCAACATTTTCAGGTAGAAACAGGAATGCTATTAGAAAATCAAGGTCTTCCTTAAACTACATAATGAGCTCAAGGTCAGGCTGGGCTACATGAGACCCTCACTTTGAAAATAAAATGGGATTTTTATCTTGATTTTTAAAGTTTTATTTTTTTAATTTTTGTTTATTGTGTATTAATGTTTTGCCTGCATCTATATATGTCGACCACATGCATGCCTAGTGCCCCACTAATGTCAAAAAGAGGGTGCTAGATCCCCTGGAACTGGGGTTAAAGATGCTTGTGAGCTGAGGTGGGTCTCTGTAGGTATCAGACAGGGAAGCAAACTGCACAAAGATAAGAATGAAAACCCAATGCAGATTGACTTCATCAACTTGGATCAGACTTTGGGGAGTCTAATGCCAGGTTCATTGTCAGCATATTTAAAACACAGTTCAATCTGGGAAAAGGTTTCCAGGCAACAATCAGTCCAATCAGTCCAATTCCATGTACACAATAAAGCTTAAGGTGTGACTCCATAGAGACTCTTTTACAAAGTACATGTGACCATGCGGGTGGGTTCTATAGCTTAAAGGCTTAAGTCTAGTGTGGCCTCTGACCAATAGCATAGCGGTCAGCAGGTCATAAAGTACATGTGACATCTCCCCTAAGGATGGGTAACAGTCTAGGTAGGGAAGAGTATGAGATAATCTTTCTGGGGAATTTGGGTGAGATCTGCCTCTATAGCAAAAAGTGGATAAGGTCTGCCCCCACAGAGAACAAAAAGGCCACCAGATCATTAACAAAATCCACTCTCAGGTTTCTGTATGCAATGCAGATATTTGGTTTTTATCTCCTCCATTGAAGAGAGACACCCCTGTATGATTAACATTCCTAATTCTCTTAGTGCTTTTTCTGTGAGTACAAGGACCTTTGTGTCCCCAACAGTGAATTGAACCCAGGTCTTCCACAAGAGCAATTGCTTTTAGTGGCTGAATTATTTCTCAGCACTAGGGTGGCAGAGGCAGGCAGATTTCTGTGAGTTTAAGTCCAGCCTGGTCTACAAAGTGAATGCCAACATGACTTATATATCTAGTTTTTGTAAAGTACAAAAAATGCCTTAAAGAAGTATTTTGTTAGAAAATAAAAGTTGTTTTTAACTGGTGAATGATACTATATTATTTCAGAAACCAAGAGGTCAGAATAAAAAATATGAAGATGAAAACTGGAAAATAAGATTTGAGGTAAGTTACAACCCAGATATTTTGGAAACTTTCAGCAATAGAAAGCATCTAATACATAGCCAACAAGCTGGCTTAGCTGGCAAGGGCAATTGGCAAGGGCTCTTGCTGCCAAGGCTAACACCTGAGTTTGATCCCCAGAGCCAAGTAATGGGAGGAGAGACCTGGCTCCCACAAAAATAAAGTGAGAAAAAAAAAATTGAGACAGGGTCTCACTATGAAGCTGTGTAGACCAAACTGGCCTCAAACTCACTAAGATCCACCTATCTCTGCCTTCCAAGTGCTGGTATTAAAGGTGTGTGCTACCGTGTCCAGCCACAAGCATTACTTTAAAATAAAAAGAGCCCGGTGGCGGCGGCGGCGGCGGCAGCGGTGGTGGTGGGGCACGCCTTTGATCCCAGCACTCAGGAGGCAGAGTATTGCACAAATCCTAAATGGTATTATAATAAAAACCCGGAGCCAGATATCAGGGTGAAAGTTGAAAGATCAGAGAAGCAGAGCAAGCCACCTCTTAACTCACCAACTCCTCAGCCTGCAAGAGCCTGAAAGGACCTGAGTTCCTGTCTCCTCCTGCCTTATATTCCTTTCTCTGCCCAGCCATATCACTTCCTGTCTCAACTTTCCTAGTGCTGGGATTAAAGGTATGTGCCACCGTATCCAGCCACAAACATTACTTTAAAATTAAAAGAAGAGCCAGGCAGTGGTGGGGCACGCCTTTGATCCCAGCACTCAGGAGGCAGAGTCAAGTGGATCTCTTGAGTTTGAAGACAGCCTGGTCTACAGAAGTGTTCCAGGACAGTCAGGGAGGGCTACATAGAGAAACCCTGTCTCAAAAAACAAAACAAAACAAACAAAAAAATTAAAAGAAAAAAATCCGGAAAATTTTCTTTCTCATGTAGCCATTTCATCGAGCTACAGTTTACATACTGTAAATCCACTGTCTTCAAATACATGAGTCATTGGGTTTTAATACTTACTGAGTTTGGCAGCCTGCACTACTAAATCAAGAACACTCCAAAAAGAAACCTACCTACCATAGGCGTTCTCCATCCTTTCCATCCTCAGCCTTTGGTCACCACTCTGTCTTGTCTCTGTGGATCTTTCTGTTCAGTGAAGTCAAACAATATGTGGTCCTGTAGCCTTGCTTTTTCCTTGATCTTTTCTTTCTTCTTAAAATAATACTTTTCATTTTTCATTACATTTATTTATTGGGGGTGGGGCATGTACATACTGTATTTCAGACACAATATTAAATAGTAATGAAGTAACCTACAAATTTGAATGTGATGGCTTTTTTATTTTATTTATGTTACTGCATTCCTAAAGAGAAAGATATTGCTGGTCTTTGCAGAAAACCTGCACCCATACCGTGTATATGTACTCCTTAACTGCTGACTCCCATGATCCTCTTGAGAATCCTATGTGTTTGTTTTTCCTTGTACTTCATAGGAAACTTAGGAACTTCTTACCTTCTCAGTGACTAATTTACCTCTTGTGAGCATTTTGTCTGTTATTTTAGTTTCCTTGCAAAGTAACTGCATGTAAATGAATGCTATAGAATAGCAGACTAGCGCCCGCCCCCCCCCCCACCATGGATGCACACGCCTTTAATCCCGCACTTGGGAGGTAGAGGCAGGCTGATCTCCTAGAGTTCCAGGCCAGCCTGGGGTACACAGTGAGACCTGTCTCCCAAAAAAAGGTGTATGTGTGGGGAGTGTCACCCACTCTGCCGCAGCACCCCAATACCACTCTTTAGTGCAGTTATTGTGAGCACATGCCAACAATCTTCTGTGTCTCCACTGTGGATCTACATCAGTAGACATGCATACTGTTGTTTGTTTAAAGCCTTTTTAAAACTGAGCAATAAGTGGGCGGCAGTGGTGCATGCCTTTAATCCCAGCACTCAGGAGGCAGAGCCAGGCGGATTTCTGTGAGTTCGAGCCCAGCCTGGTCTACAGAGCGAGATCCAGGACAGGCTCCAAAACTACACAGAGAGACCCTGTCTCGAAAAAACCAAAACAAAACAAAACAAAACAAAAAACCTGAGGAATGAAAGAATGCTGAAGACGATGAGTCACCCCACTTTGTTCTTGCTGCTTGAAAACCTTTTCTGTGGTGTTCAGTACATAGGAAAGCTTGGTTTCTGGTAATTAAAATAAGTTAGCACCATAATGAAGTTTTGTGTTAATTTTCATGATTGCCATTCTGAAATTTAATTTTTTATGATGTTTTAGGAATTGCTTTTGCCTGAAATGGAGGCTCCCATTTTACCCCCGTATCTGTCTTCATTTCTACCTCCACCAGAGGAGCTGTATGCTGTGCAAGTGAAGCATATCATCTCACCTGATGAAGTACGTGTCAGGCTGCGAGACAGTGCTCACATCTGTCCTTTCTCCATCTTCTGAGCTGTAAACGGTGGGATAGATGACCTCTACTTAGCTCCATTCTGTCAGCTCTTCAGATATTTGGTGACCTTCAGACACCTGGTGTTTCTTAAGCACCTACTGATTTCCTAGGGTTGTGTTCCTTTATTTACATATATTTATGTGGATTGTTTAGATTTTTTAAATTTAGATTTATTTAATGTTATGGATTTTGCCTGCATCTATGTATATGCACCACATGCATTCCTCCTGCCTGTGGAAATCAGAAGAAGTCCATCAGGTCCCCTGGAATTCGAGTTAGATGGTTTTGAGTCATTGTTTTGTAGGTGGAGGGAATCAAACCCAGGTCCTCTGCAAAAGCAACAGCTGCTCTAAACTACTGAGCGATCTCTCCAACCCCAACCCCAGATTATTTTTAAAGTGTATTTATTTTTAATTTATTATACATATATGGGAGTCGTGCTTCAGAGGTCAAAAGAGGTTGTTGCAGATTCTTTGTAACTGGAGTGACAGATGAATATGAACCAACACATGGGTGTTGGGATCGAACCCAGGTCCTCTGGAAGAACAGCCCTCAGTGCTCTTAACCACTGAGCCATCTCTCCAGCCCCAAATGTGTAGCCCAATTGAGCATATCCTACTTGCCTGATTATTTATGTTTTTAAGGTGGATCTTTCCCCCTCTGTGAAATATTGAGCATCTCACCCTTGTATCTCTTCCTGCACTGAACTTTAATGCTCTTTTCCCTGCTCGGTTTTCTGAACTAAAGACATTTCCCACACTGTCTATTCACTATGTTTGGCTGTCTTCCTCTCTAGAAGGTAAGTCCACGAGAATGGTGGTATAATCTCTTCTCCATTATAGCCTCAGAACCTTGAAGAATATGTAGAATAGTCAGTTGGTAACTGTTGATTAAATAAATGCACTAAAGAAAATTGAGTTGATGTTCCTGACTGACAAGAAGGTGAGGAAAAAATGGCAAGTAGCATTGGCAGCCCCTTGCCTTCACAAAGTAAACCAGGCAAGGGAAGGGTTTGCTGCCTAATTTCACATTTTGTATAACTACCATTGGGTTATATAATTTTGTGTTATTTATTGCTAGATGACAAATTATTCCAAACTTAGCAGCTTGAAACAATATATATGGGGGCTGGCAAGATGACTCCGTGCATACAAGTGCTTGCCACCAAGCCTAATAGTCTGAGTTCAATCCCTAGACCCCAGAATCCACATGGTGGAAGAAGAAAACTGACTCACAAGTTGTCCTCTGTCTTCCACACACCTGCTCTGTTACCCATGTGCCTCCCCCACAATAGAAATACATGTAAAATAATTTTTAATTAAAAAATGCACATGATGGTCAAAAACCAGATAGATGCTTAATTAAGTCTAGCTCAAGATCTCATTGTGTTGCAGTGAAGATACTGATGGGGACTATAAAATCTACTTCTAAAGAGTCACATTGCCAAGTGTGGTGACACATGTCTGTAATTCAAACTCAGGGGGTAGAAGCAGCTAGTTAGTGGTTTGAGGCCAGTATCAGCTACATGACACCCTGTCTCAGAACAAGTAACTATTGATAGGACATGTCCAGAAGGCTCACTGCTGGCTTTGGGGCCCTTTCAGGGGACTGCTACAAGCACCACTTCATACTTCCTGGAACACATCCGTCTCTACAACCAGTCTTCACAACCACACTCCTACTTCAGTATAGTCTCTTGGCTACAAGATCAGTGTGGTGGGACACAGAGGGCACTCCACAGGGCCACGGAACAGGAGGCAGGGGCCACTGGGCCCTGGTTGGAGGCCACCTGTAAGTGAACTCAGAAATGACAGAATTTGCAAGGCTGTTTTTCCTTCTCTCCTGCTGCTCCCTTGTAGGTATATATTTGCCTTGACTCTGTGGAAAGCTGTGCTCAGTTTAACCATCATGGTGACACAGATGACAGTGGAATCAGTTGGGAATCTGAATCAGAGAACCTGGAAGAAGCACTGCAGAGATTTAACAAGAATGTGGAGACCTTCCCTCCCCTGACAGACTTTAGCTCAGGTATGCTCATGCTAAGTGCCCAGGATCTTGGTGAGATTTGAGATTGCCTTTTATCCAATGGGCCAGGGCGCTAGCTCGGTGGATCATTTACAATGTTAACTGGCATTTCCTCTCCTCAACTTCACGTGTAGGATTTCTAAATTCTAAAGACACCCGTTTTCTAGATTAGTAAGGTGACCCAAGTCAGATAAGTAACGTATCACTCCTGTGGGGACAGTTTCACTCTGCAGAGTCGGATGAGCTGGAAATTAAGGGTATAAGAATGATTTTTTTTTTTTTTAAGTTTGAGGCTTTACCACTAGCACTAATTGTGAAAGTTGACTTTCAGACTACAGTGGTAATGACATTAAGTACAAATCACCTGCCTAAACTGACAGCTTTTGAGGTAGGTGCTCAGGCTGTGATGATTTATCAGGATAAGTTAAAATTCTTCTATTTTTCTTTCCAGTCTGTTCTTCACATCTTTATTAAATATCCATGATTCTCTTCTGAGGAAAATTTACCCACTTGCCATTAACAGTCCCTGAATACCAAGAGTGTCGGCACATTTTTCCATGTGGGGCATAAAGCTGTTTTTATTCTTGGTCTGTTGCATATAAGAATATGTTTAAGCAAAGGAAAAATTATATCAGTTTAACTTCTTGACTGATTTAACTTTAATCTCCTGATAGGCCATAACTTAGTTTGGCTGGTAACTTCTTACAGTTCCTTTTGCTTGTAATGTCCTTCCCTCAGACTGTCTATCATAGTTAAAGTCTCTTGCTCAGCTTTCCCCTTATTGGAGGTCTTCTCTTAACTCTCCCAGCCTGAAGCAGCATCACCCTCCTCACCCTGTGACAGAAGCAATACCACTCAGGTGCACAGCAGTGATTGGAAGGGCACTGTGCACTTGGTCTCATAGTTACCAATGAGTGTAAGAGGAAACTCATCAGGTGGGGTTTGTGTGTACACAGACTTCCAGTCCAGAAGGAAAAATCCTTCCTCATTCATACCTCCAGGGAAGTCCTAGTTGGGGCTAGGGCTTTGCCCATGCTGAGCAAGTGCTCTTCCAATGAGCCCCATGCCCAGCACACCCTTGGCAATGTGACCTTATCTGTTGGAAATGGAACAGGAACTCTGAGGATGGGCCAGAGCCTTTCTTCAGAATATAATCCTTAGACATTCATGAGAAAAGTTGATAAATGTAGGCAGAAAAGAAGAAGCCATCACAAGGCTAGACACTCAGTCTTCAGTTCTGTGTGGTGACCATATGTTATACATTTATTTCCTTGTACTTTTTGTATTACAGTTTTTGGAAGAAAATCAGTTTTATGATTTGTTCCCTTTTTTCTGCCTTTCCAGAAATGCCTTGCCTCGCAGAATATGCTGATGGTTTGTGGTATAGAGCAAAGATTGTTTCCATTAAAGAATTTAATCCTTTATCTGTCCTAGTACTATTTGTTGATTATGGGTCCACAGAGAAGCTCACAATAAACAGGTAAAGGGGAAGAAAAATTTGAATAAAATGCTTTTTAAAGCATATTTATGTACATGGGGTATATATTTCTGTGGGGATGTGTGTGCCTATGCAGAGGTCAAAGGTCAATATTGGTATCTTCTGTTGCTCTCCACCTTGCTTTATGAGACAGGGTCTCTAACTGAGCTTACTCTCCATTTCAACTCGATTGGCTGGCCAGCAGGCCCCCAGGATCGGTTCTGGGGTCACAGGCTCAGCTGTTTACATGAGTGCTGGGGACCCAAACTCTGGTCCTCACACTTCCATGGCAAGCACTTTACTCATTGAGCTGTCTCCCAGGCCTAAATAAGGAGTCTTGGTTTTTAAACAAAAAAAGTTATTTTAAAGTTGTTTATAAATTAGGAATTTTGGGCTGGAGAGATGGCTCAGAGGTTAAGAGCACTGACTGCTCTTCCAGAGGTCATGAGTTCAATTCCCAGCAACCACATGGTGGCTCACAACCATCTGTAATGAGATCTGGTACCCTCTTCTGGCCTGCAGACATACATGCAAGCAGAACACTGTATACACAATAAATAAATAAAATCTTTAAAATAAATAAATAAATAAATAAATTAGGAATTTCTTCATTCTGGCAATACATTATTATGAAAATACCTCTTGATTCTAAGAGCCTGGAACTCTTGCTGGACCTCACAGCCAGAATTATGATACACATTATGAGGTTGTTAAGACTTGAGACTGCTATGCAACTGTATACTCAAACTGCATGTTTAACCTGCCTTAAAGAGACAAAATAGCTGGGTGGTGGTGGTGCACACCTTTGATCCTAGTAGAGGCAGGCAGATCTCTGAGTTCCAGGCCAGCCTGGTCTACAGAGTGAGTCCCAGGACAGTCAGGACTACACAGAGAAACCCTGTCTTGAAAATCGGAGAGAGACAACAAAAAAACCAACCTTACTTGCGTTGGGTTTCCCAGGTAATCAACTTTTACAACCTAAGCTAATGCAGAGCTTTAAATTGTGTACTCTTCCATGCCTCCGACTCAGAAAACAATGTATGTGTGCTATGAGAAATCATTTGTTGAAACAAAAAATAGGTTGAAAATCAACCTTATAAAAATGAACATCTATCATATATGTTGAAAGCAACATACAGATGTTGCTTTATAGTGTTTGTTTATTATTTGTGCCAGTTGGGATGGGTTGGAGTCAGTAAGGTTTGATCCTTGACAAAATTCTGTTAATTTCTGTAAGGCATCCCTCATTTCATTCCCATGTGATGCTTTCTGTGCTGTTCAGTAAAAGAGGGAGCACACCTTTGTTAAGGATACACAGAGACACAGGGACAGACAGATTCATAAGACAGCATTCAGGCAGGCACATACAACAGACAGAGGACAGAGACATGAAGTACATGGAGTAGAGGATTCAATCTGGGCTCATTCTTGGTTAAAGTTCTCCAAGGGAAAGTGCTTTTCTTTTCCTTAATGCAACACTTACTTTATTGGTGACTAGGTTTTGCACTAATGCATTCAAACTGATGCATTCATTAATTTTACATTTATTTTATGGGTTGTGTTTATGTGTGTGCACACACATGCCACAGTGCATATGTTGAGGTCAGAAGAAAACCTACAGGAGTTACTTCTCTCCCTCACCACATGGGATCCTGGAACTGAACTCAGGTCTCAGGCTCCTCAGCAGCAAGCCCCCACCTGCTGAGCCATGTCACCAGCCCAGATTGAGAATTTTTAAAATATATCCATTTTGTTATTTTTAATTGTGTGTATGTATATGGATTTATGTAAATTAATATAGGTATCAGAAGAGGCCACAGGTATCAGATCCTCCTGGAGCTGGACTTACAGGTAGTTGTAAGCCACCAGACATGGGTGCTGGGACTCCAAATTGGGTCCTCTGCAAGAGCATTATATGCTTTTGACCACTAAGTCATCACTCCAGCCCCAAATTTGGAATTTTTAATGTAGATTTTTATTTTGATAAGACAGGTATAAAATTTACCATCTTAGTATTTTAGATGTACAATTAATTGACTTCTAAATACATCCACAATATTGTTCAACTTTACACTTTGCATTTCCAAAACATTTGGAAATGGTACTGTTGCTATGGAGAATCATATATGGAAGTTCCTTACAAAGTAAAATAGAGTATGTGGTCCAGCAATCCATCTCTGGTATATATTCCAAATTGAAAGCAGAGGTAAATCAATCTACATAGAAATTCTGCCCATTAAATAGTCATGCTCCATTTCACCCTCAGCCCACCCAATAAGCTCCTTTCTGTCCCTTCTGGTTCTATTCTTCAAGGTTCATCATGTGGCATATGCCACAGTTTGCTTCTGAAGGCTGCTGTGTGTGTCTCTGTCTCAACTTTAGACATCCTTCATGGGGTGACACTGGCTGCTTTTACCTCTTCCTGTTTATTGTGACAAGGCTGTAATGAACATGAGTATATAGGTACCTTGTTGAGACTCTGCTTTCAATTTGGAATATATACCAGAGATGGACTGCTGGACCACATACTCTATTTTACTTTGTAAGGAACTTCCATCTACGATTCTCCATAGCAACAGTACCATTTTACATCACTAACAGTGCCTACGGGCTTCGGTTTTTCTGACTTTTCTTGACTGCTCCTGGGGTCATCTTTGCAAATTCCAGTGTCATAAAACTTTTCTCTTGTTTCCTACTGAGCGCGATATAGTTTAAAATATGAGATTTGAATTGTGGCATTGTGATCATTTTATCAATCTCTTTTCTAACAGACTACGTCAGATTCCTGTTCAGCTTATGCAGTATCCAGCCCAAGCCATAAAGGTTCTCTTGGCAGGGTTTAAACCACCCTTAAGCGACTCAGGAAAGGCAAGAATACCATACTGTCCCAAGTGGAGCATGGAAGCATTATGGACTATGATAGACTGTCTCCAAGGAAAACAACTTTATGCTTCCTCTGTGGTAATTACCTATTTTAAGTAGCTAAATTATTTTAAAGCTATTTCCATAAGACCTACTAACTTTGTAAAGTTTTGTTTCTGCTTAAAAATAATAGTTAAAGCATATAAAGCTACATAGACTATAGAAGTTAAGTCTTAAGGCTAGTTAAATGTTTTTATTGGGGGCTTGGGATGGAACTCAGTGGAGCACTTGCCTCACATGCACAGAACCCTGGTAAAACAAGTGTGGTGATGTACACCTGTAATCCACCATTCAGGCTATGCAAGCAGGTGGGTCAGAAGTTCAAGGTCATCACCCTGGGCCCTGTCACACCTACCAAAGAAAAAAGTTAGTTTTAACAAACTGTATTATCCTAAAGTGATACATAATGATTAATATAAAATAATAAAGATGCATATCCTATAATCAAAGAACTTTCAAGTTAATGTAAAACAGACATGCATAGCATTAATCAGAGGTAGGATCAAAGTACAGTAGAAGTATAGGTAACTTTGTAGGCTGGGGAGAAATGTAAGAAATGATTATTTCATCTGAAGAGACCTGGAAAGGTGTTTAAGAAACTTTTTAGTAGGCACTCAAGTAACTCACTAAGAAAGTGTGCCCAGAAAGTGACAGACAAGCTGCATCCTGAAAGCTGAGGAGAGCTATGGTCAGAGGGGCTGGAACTGTAAGGTGTCTAGACCTGTATCAAAACTCGAGGTTAGGGGGCTGGAGACGTGGCTCCGGTTAGGAGCACACACTTGCTGCTCTTGCAGAGGGACTCAGGTTTGGTTCCCAATGGCTCACAACTACCCCTGTTCCTGTCAGATGCCCTCTTCTAAGCTTGGTGAAACTGTATACACACTGTGAACTTAGATACATGATGCCAAAGTACTCATACACATAAAGATAGATTAGTTTAAAAGATTAAAAAAAAAAACAACAAAAAAAATCTCCAGATGGTATCTAAAGTAGCAGACCTTTCTTTTTTTTTTTTTTTTTTTCTTTTTTTTTCTTTTTTGGTTTTTCGAGACAGGGTTTCTCTGTGTAGCTTTGTGCCTTTCCTGGATCTCCCTCTGTAGACCAGGCTGGCCTCGAACTCACAAAGATCCGCCTGGCTCTGCCTCCCGAGTGCTGGGATTAAAGGCATGCGCCACCACCGCCCGGCCAGACCTTTCTTTTTAAGCTTAGCATACTACATAGTAGTATCCCACAGGCAAGCAGCAACCTTGTTAATATCCAACAGGCAAGCAAGAAGTTGTTTTGCATAGTATTCTAGAACTGGAAAGTTTTTATACACACACACACACAAAAAAAAAAAAAAAACCTATTTCTGGGTTCTGGCTTAATATTATAGAACCCAGGACTCCCAGACCTTCTTGACACAGCCCTGAGCTGGGATGGTGATGTAGAAGGTACCTTTTGGGTTACCCTTGGTCTTTATGACTGGTTCAGGTCCACCTGCTTCCCTCCTTCGTGTTCTCTGCCAGGTCCTAGGACGAAGAATCATGCACACTGCCTTCCACAAGAATGAGTTCATGATGAGACAAAGCTATTACTAGAAAATGCTTTTGGAAAACTCCTGTTATATATCATGCTTGCTGTACATAGTCTAGACAGGGTGTTTCTCAAGAAGGCAGTGAAAATATAGACAAGCTAAGTACTTACTACAAATACTGATTTCTTCACCTCTATGACTAACAGCCAAATTTTAGTTTATGCAGATATAGTGTATGGTGTATCAAATGTAAAGGTACTTTAACAGATACAATGTTATGAAAGACCATTGATTCTATCTAGGCAGGAGAGACTTGAGGTTTCATTAGCTTTAATAGAGGAGGAAAGTGGAAAGAATAGGGATTTAGCAGGAAACTATCAAAGATGCCCTCTAAAGGTAGAGTATAAATTAGTCTTAGGTGCCTTTCTCCCTAGTCAAAGCCATGGAGGAGGGCAAGGGCAGCCAAGACAGTATTGTGTTTTATTTGCTGGTATTGGTTTTTTGTGATCTTCCTGCTTCTGCCTTCTGAGTGTTAGGATTACAGGTGTACTTTTTTGATGGCTGAATTTTGTTATTGTTATTGTTTGCTTGTTTTTGAGACAGATTTTCTCTGTGTACCCTTGGCTGTCCTGGAACTCTCTCTGTAGACCAGGCTGCCCTCAAACTCAGAGATCCCCCTGCCTCTGCCTCCCAAGTGCTGAAATTAAAAGTGTGTGCCACCATTGCCCAGCTGATAACTCTATCTTTTAATTTTAGGCCCAAGCACCAGAACAAATAGTGACATTATATGAAGATGAACAATACCCAGTTCATATGTCCTTGGTAGAAATGGGGCTTGCAGATAAAGATGAATGATGTAAGTGTGCATACTTGGTCACCTATTTAGTCAGCATATGTGTGTCTACACATGACCGCTATGGCAGAGATTAAATGCTAAATTGCTTATGAAAGCATCTCAGATATTCTAATTTCTCAAAAGATGACGTTCTACAAGAACTCTTCTCCAGATTTTGTCACTCTAGGCCTTTCTGCCTCTTGAACACCATTATGAATGACCCCTTGTATTTGTAAACGTGGTCGGGAATGGCTGTCATGGCTGCCCTAGTACTGATGGGAATGGGGCAAGTCAAACAGGACAGTAGGCACCACAAGTAACTTATGCTCATCACCAAGTAGCAGGCATACAGAACTACTGGGGGACCCAGCCAGCTAGCCAGTGGTTCAGCTAGACTTGAATAAAGCATAAAGGCAAGTCTTACAGGAACGTTTTCTGTTTTTCAGGTGTGCAAGAGCACCTGTAGCTGCCCAGAAGAAAGTTTTCAGTTAGATTTGTGCCATTTCAGGTTTGACTTTAACTTGCTCTGCAGTGGCATCATTTTTCCTCCTTTAGTCTTACTTGTTAAATTGTTAAAGAATGTTTTCTTTGAAACATTTTTGTTTTTACTATAATTTCAAAATAAAATTTAGGCACATAGAAATTTTAGTTCATGTTATTAATTAAGGTTTTACTTAGGAAATATCAGAACTGTTGATGGTCCTGCACTGTCTCACCCCATCAGCCCCAACTCCCTTACAGAGGTGAGTGTGCCTGAGCTATAGTTACATACGTCTTTGTGATTGAGCTGCGTGAGTCTGTAGGAGTGAGCACTGTGAAACCCAGGTACCATTCCCACTGTGGCTCTGCTGTGTTGGTGGCACCTCTACCACACTAACCTCACTGCCCATCTGAGTCATGGGCTTACTGTTAGGTGCTCAGGTGGCTACTGGCTTTGCTGTTCTTCTCAGTTGCAGTCTCCTCTAGGCCCTGACACGTGAGAGGTTTCCCCTATATTTGCACAGTAGTGGGATTTGCTGGGTCAGGGGGTTACTTTTGAAAAAGTAGTTACACATTCCTGAAGATGGCAGTTGACACCTTTTCCTTTGAAGTTTATGTCTTACTTAAAAATTCTTCCACAGCCTAAAGTAATATATATATATATATATTTTTGTTATTGTTTTTCCCATTCTGTTTTTTTCTTTTCCTTTTCTTTATTTCTGGTTTTTCAAGACAGGGTTTCTCTGTGTTAACAGCCCTGGCTGCCCTGGAACTGGCTTTGTAGACCAGGCTGGCCTCCAACTCACAGAGATCTGCCTGGCTCTGCTTCCCAAATGCTGGGATTAAAGGTGTGTGCCACCGCTTCCTGGCTAGCCACATTCAGTTCTTAAATCACCTGGAACTGAATTTTTTAATGAGTAATGGTCAATATATCGTCCTTTATAAATTTGCCCTTTCTTGGAGTATAGCTTGCTTGTGCTGCCTACCACCTCTCGGGCAACAACATGAAGGCTGTGATGTGTTCACACCAGCTACTTCTGTTCTTGACAAGTTATGCAGCACCTTGGCTGTAACTGCTTTCTCCTAAGACTCTTTACGACTTGTAATATGTTTCGGCCTGTTTGTGTTCATCTCAGTTCATGAGTCTTTGTAGTAAACGACAGTTTTCATTTTAGTATTGGCTGCGTGATATTCTGACACACACTTTCTGGGAAGTCCACATCCTGTGGCTGATGTGCCTGTGGAACAAGTATCTAATACACTTCTTTTACTTCTTACTGTAAAAACCTGCACAAGCCATGTGTGGTGGCACACAGCTTTAATCCCAGCACTGGGGACACAGAGGCAGGTGGATCTCTATGAATTCAATGCTAGCCTGACCTACAGAGCGAGTTCCAGGCTAGCCAAGGCTACACAGTGGGGCCCAGACTCCAAAACACAAGAACAAAAAAGCAAAGATGTTAAAAAAAAAAAGTACAGTTTATAACAAAGTAATAATGATTTCTCTTCCTAATTGTAGAAAGACACATATGCTAGAGGAGCTGCTTTTGTTTCAAAGAATGTAAGATGGAAGAAACTGTGTGGTAAAACTTTAATTTTAAAAATCAAACATAATCTTTTACATTTAGACACATACACACACACACACACACACACACACACACACACACACACACACACTATAAATTAAACAACTGAACACACAAGAAACGTACGTACTCTGAACAGAAAAACCACTTAGTGTTAGTTCATGATTAATCCCACGAAGATCTTTACAATTCTGTGTCCATTAGAACATTACCATCTTTGTCCTTCACTCTAACTCGGCCAGATGTATACTTTGTCTCTTGATGACCGTTTGCATAGACAGTTTTAACAGTCCCATCTGGATACTCTCGTCTCTTGAACTGGGCAGTATGGAGCTCTCTTTGGCCATTATTAAACTCTATGATTTTGTTGCCATCACTGTAAAATTTAAACCAGAATATTTCTTAAAAACTCTATCAACAGAACTAGGCATAGTGGTGGGTACATGACTGTAATACCAGCCCTCAGGAGGCTGAGGGTAGGAGGACTGGGAGTTCAAGACCAGCCTGGGCTACAGAGGCAAAAGCCTGCCTCACTGCCCTGAAATAGGACAGAGAGCTGGAGGTAGCTCAGTGGAAAAATATTTGCCTGGTGTGCATGAGACCTTTGTTCAATCCTCAGTACTATGAGAGAGTAAAGAAAGAAACACACAACAGGAAAGCAAGCTAAAAGTGGCCTTTTGATTCTGGCAATTATTTCTTCTCCTAAACACACTCCTTGGTCCTCTTCCCAATACAAGTTCTGTCTGCAGTGTGTCTGCAGTATTTCATTTTAGTTCCAGCTACCAAATTAGCCTTTACATGTGACCATGAAAGTTTCTCTTAATGAATTTGTTTATATTTTTACTATGAAGTGTTTAGCTTTTTTAATTTTAGATGTGTTCAGCCTCTAAAAAGATTTTCTTTTTTTTTGGACAGTCTCTTTATGTAGCCCTACTTAGTCTGCAGCTCACTATGCAAAGCAGGCTGTCCTCAAATGCCCTGCAATCCACCTACATCCTTAGTGCTGGGATTAAAGGTTTGGGTATGCCACCATGCCCAACACAAAGCTGGTCATTGTGTTAAAATTTAGCTCTTCAGGTTCCTTGGGGGAAGGTTAGGATGGCTTCTCTTTTTTTCACTAAATTGAAGGCCACCTAAGTACTCTGAACAACAAAACAGTCAAAACATGAAAAAATTAACACAAAGACATGTTGGGCATGTTTATGAGACATTCACAATGAATTTCCAGGCTTAGGTTCAAAGTGCCATGACCAATAGAAGCCTGGAAATCAGGAATTTGAAGCATAGATGGGCAGGTGTTGCCAGGAGAATAGTCCTGTGCCACATGCATGTGTGAGACACAAAAATCCATTCTAAGAGTGGATGTTTCTCCTGGATCCCTGCCCCAGCACAGCTGCATTTTACCATCCAGATGATTCAATGGCACACTCCATTTTCAGAACCACTGCTCTTAACTAATATAATACCTGGGATTTGCCTCTGAAAACAAGACTGGCTATGAATTAATCTATGTTGAAGCTAGATGCATAGGTAAATACTTTTTGTTTTTCTACTTCTTACAAAATTTCAAATCAGTAAAAAAAAAAGGTTAAATTTGTTCTAATGTTACTCAATGTATAGTAGATTTCTAATTTCTTTTAAACTATTTATTTGCATGTGTATCAGATTTCTACACTAAGGGAGACCACTGCAATGACTATAAGAAGTCACTGTACCACCTGAGTCAGTTTTAGCTTTCTTGGCCCATTAGTATTGTAGGCTTCATATTGGTTGGTGTGTTAACTGTTTTTACATCCTAAGTCAAGAGTGGAAAACTCAAAATTGGATGTGGCAGAGCTTCACCTGGGCTGTGATTTTAAAAGAAGCTCTATTTTATCAGGTTGATTATAGTGCACACCTATAATCTCAGCATGTGGGAAGTGGAGTTAGGAAAATCAGGAGTTTGAGGCCAGCCTAAGCTACAAGAGACTCTGCTTTAAAAAAGTTTATTGGGCAGTCAAGGACCACATAGAGCTAACTTTCAGAAATACAATATTCAAGAGGGCAAATGAAGAGTCTGTTGGCTTTGAAAGGTTTGGATCAAATATGTTAAGAGAGTAAACTGTAACAGAATGGGCAGCGAGGTTCAGAAATTAAAAATACAAGCAAGATAGGAAAGGCTAAACATGGTTCAGTGGCTGTGTCAACTGCACAGTTGAGGGCAGCTTTCCTTCTGTGTCTCATTCTGTTTTCAGGGTTCACTACACTTCTAAACAAATTACTACCTCTCTCTTCCTCTCCTGAGTTCTGTGCAGACTCCCTCTAAGTCCTGTAAGCTCACATTGCTTCTAAACTGCACAATGCAAGCATGTGTCTCACCTGTTCTCAAACTGTCTGTGTTCACTTCTCATCCAACTCACTGAAAGTTCCAGTCACTGGTATATTTTATTTTGTATCTAGAGGGTGCATGCACCCTTGCATGCAGAGAAAAAGGAGGACTCTGCTTTAGTCCCTTAAGACAAGGTCTCACTAAACTGGAAGCTTGCTATTTGGGCCAGGCTTGCTGACTAATGAGCTTTCAGAACCCATTTGTCTTTTCCCCTCCCCCATCTCCAACGCTAAGGTTCCCGGAACATGTGTCCATGTCTTTCATAGGGTGGTAAGTTCCCATGCAGATCTTCCCAACTGAACAGCAAGTGCTCTTCTCTACTGAGACAGATCCCCAGCCCCAAATGTTTCAGATGTTTTAACAGCACCATACCGTTGCACTCGGACAATTGTGCCATCTGGAAAGATGCTCTCTTCTTGACCATCAGCAAATAAATTCTTAATGGTTTGGTCAGGAAATGTGATTTCTTTTCTTCCATCTGGGAAATGCTTTTCTGTTTTAAAAATGGTTGTTATCAATATATTTTTTAAAAGAAGGTTAGAATTTAACAGAGTAGGCAAAGTAAGTTTGTACCTATTTGTCCACTTGAGAAATGTAAGACTTCAAGGCCTTCCGGGTATGTGGTGTGAGTGGTCTGGGCAGCAGCATAGTAGTAGACCTGCAAAGACATGTAATCAAGTCGCCCCTTCTCCTGAGATGATGCAGCTAGAAGCAGCACCCTGAGCATACGTACCACTCTCTCATCTGGCATGACCTGCTTCACATCTCCATTAAAAAATGTAACGGTGATGCTCTTCCCATCTGCACTCACTTCTTTCCGAGTTCCATTGGGAAACAGTATAACTCGGCACCCATTTTTATAAACCATTTCTACCTAAAAAGACACAAGGTGATTATCACTAGGTAAGATTTCCTCCTGAGACCATGCAACAGAGATATGAGGAATTCCCTGACTGTTGACACACATCCAAATTCTTCATAATAAAAAGTAAAACATTTTCTAAAATCAAAAGTAGAGAACACCTTTATTTCATAAGGGGTTATGCTTTTCTGAGTTTGTTGTTGCTGTTCATATGCCATTTATATTAACAGAACCCATCTAAAACAAAACCTCTCATCAACTTGGTACCCTAGAGGAGACTGAAAATATAGCTACTTCCCTTGACTACCCTCCTCAGTCCTCAAGACTAGCCTGAACTTTGGCCTTATCATTTCATTTAAAAATGAACAAGATTAGGGCATATAAAACAGATATGTCCCTTGGTCACCTCTCCAGAACAAACATCATTTATGTCCCTTCTCACTCCTTTTGATCAGCATACCCACTTTTTCCACTTAGTAACATTTGTAAGGCCAAGACATGAACCAAAGAGATGCTTACAGTGTAAAGGCACTTGCTGCCAAGCCAAAGAAACTTAGTTCAATCCCCAGGACCCATATGTTGGGAGGAGAATAACAACTCCTGGAAGTTGTACTCTGACTCCATTTGTTCTGTGACACACACATGCCCACACAAACAACTATAAGGCCAAGAACAAAGTTATGCAGGCTGGTAACAGGTCTGGCTCCAGAACAGTATTACAAAGACCAGAGAAGAGAAAATCCAGGAGACCTTTTACCTCTGTGTGATGTAAGAATGAAGATAAAGGAACGAGATTCCTCCTTTGGAATATCACTAAATGTTCACGCCCCACAGTCCTGAAGCTAAGCACCATCCACAGCTTTCAAGACCAACTCTAGTCACATACCAGAAGAGTCTGTTGTATGATATTTTGTTTGTGTTCTGACAAAGTTTGCCTGGAGATCAGAGGACAGAGCTAGCCACTAGTTAACCATAGAGGCCAGGCAGTGGTGGCACACACCTTTAATCCCAGGGAGGAAGAAGCAGGAAGATCAGGGAGTTCAAGGCCACCCTGGGCTACATGATATCGAGACAGTCTAAAAAAGAAACACAGCTGGGCAGTGGTGGCTCACACCTTTAATCCCAGCACATGTGGGAGGCTCGCACCTTTAATCGCAGCACTAGTGAGGTGAAGACAGGAATAACTCGGGTAGAGACAGGATCGCCCCCATTCAGTCTGAGAATTCATAAAGACAGGGTGCCCTATTCGATCTGACATTTCCTAGAGGTAAGAAGTCTCTGGTGGCTGCTGCTCTGCTTGTCTGATCTTCCAGCTTTCACCCTCAATATCTGACTCCAGGTTTTTATTGATTAAGAATAATTAGGATCTCGAATCTACAGTCACTGGTGGGTTACATGCATAATGTTCTCCCCTATTAGTATAGTGAAACAGAAAAATCCTTATCCCCTGCACCCTAGCCATCATCATGCAACTCGGCATCATGTGACTTATGTTTGTGGTGATGGTGTAAGCCTGTGCTGACAGTTACAGAAAAGTACGACACACAACCAAGTAAAGCTCACAATACTTAGTAACAGAAAACAGTTATGTGCTGGTTTATGTGCTTTCTGCACTATGCTCTTACTTTAGAGCATACTCCTTACATAAAAGAGTTTACACGAACACCATATGGTGCTTCTGCTCATTATTGTATCACTTTGTTCACCTAGGCCCTCAGAACAATAGCTCTACCATATAATACCTGTGCTCACACATATACAGTCATACATAGACATGGCATGCCCCAGGCCTGAGTGAGGTAGATGATGGCATGCCCCAGGCCTGAGTGAGGTAGATGATCTCATTTAGGTCTGTGTAAGCACATTCTAAGAGGTTCCTATGATAATATAATCTGTGACAATGCAGTTCTCAAAACAGGTTCCTGTTAAGTGGCTCTCTTTTCAGAGTATTGACTCTTTATTTAATGCATGGCTATTTGTATTGTACCATATTCTTTTTTTTAATGATTTATTTTTATGAGAATTGATCAATGTTTTGCCTGCATGTCTGTGTGATGGTATCAGATCCCCTGGAACTGTAGTTACAGACAGTTGTGAGCTGCCATGTGGGTGCTGGGAACTGAGCCTGTGGTTCTCTGGAAGAGAGCCAGTGTTCTTAACCACTGGGCCATCTGTCCAGCACCAACACATTCATTATTTTAAATGAATATGTTTTACCTTTCCATCAGGATGATTGATTTCTCCCTGAATTTCTTCCTCTTTTTCCTCTTTTTTTTTATATTCAAGATCTGGGAAGTTCACTGGTTCACGAGGCTCTCTGGGCAAGGCAGCCTAGAAGACAAGATATTTTAAGCAGTTACAACTGTACCTACTAAATTAAAAGCCAGATTCTAAAATTACATGATTCTATGTCCAGTGTTTGTTGTTGTATAACATTTACAGTGTTAAATAAAACCCCTCCTTTATACCTGACTTAGAAACTCAACAAATCCATTTCAATCCTAAATAAGATACATTCACATATTTAACAATAATAAAAAAAGATTTACTTGTCCTTTATCCGAGCTGCCTAAATCACGAGGAGGCATAGACTTGGATCTTCGAGATGGATTCCCTGTTAGAATGTAATTGTCAGAGTTAGTTTTAATACTTAATGAAAATACTTAATTTATTGGTCTGGTAAAATGTCCTTTGGAGGCCAGTGTGAGATGGCTCAGCAGGTAAAAGCACTGGTACCCACACGTACACCAGACACAAGCATTCCCTTTACTGGTGCTGTTTCACTTATTTATGTGCCTGTGGAAATCTGTCTGCATATACGTAATGCACTCAGGCATTCAGGTACCAGAGGAAGCAGGAAGAAGTCATGGGATCTCCTGGAGCTGGAGTTATAGGCGGATGTGAGCTACAAAGTGTGGCGCTGGGAACAGAACAGAGTCCTCTGAGGGCAACAGGTGCTCAATCACTGAGCCATCTCTCCAGCCCATTACACCAGGTAAAGCCCCTATCTTAGAGGTCCCAAACTGCCAGCACTGCACTTCCATACAGTAATGGATTTAGAAAACACTAACATCTGAAAGATTAGTGGATGGAAGATGGAAGACAAGACAGAGGTAAAAAGAAACTGTAAGCCTACCAGTGGGCCAAGGGTAGCCAGGGCTCTGGTGCTAGCAGGATGTTCGCTCTCTTTGGATAGGACAAAGAATGGCATCCTTTACTTCACAGGGCAAGTGTGCACATTGTATTCTACAACTACAACTGTCACATCATTTCTAACCTTTACCTCCACCAGAGCTGAGAGAATTCTCCCTTTTTACAGGTGAGGAATGAAACCAAGGCTGAGAGGATAAATTACCATATCTATAAGGCAGAACCAGAATCAGCCCTGCCAGCTCATTACATACCAAATTGAATTCTCTGTTATAATCTGACATGAAATTGAACCCTCTAACTATCTGCCGCTGGACAGATCAAGGAGACAGGGGCATGCACAGATTTCTAGGTGCAGGCTCCTCATCTGCAGTACTGTATAAGACACACATGACACAAGAGAGAGAAAAGAAAGAAGACAGCAAGTGGTGCATGGTGTGTGATACTTCGTGTTCCGACAGACAGCTCGCCTGGAGATCAGAGGGCGGAGCTAGCCACTAGCTAACCATAGAGGCCAGGCCGTGGTGATACACGCCTTTAATCCCAGCACTGGGGAGATGGAGACAGGATCTGGCCCATTCAGTCTAAGGAGTTGTAGAGATAAGATGTTTCAGGTTGCTGGCTGCTCTGCTTCTCTGATCTTTCAGCTTTCACCCTTGATATCTGACTCCGAGTTTTATTTAGTAAGACTAATTAGGATTGCCGTTCAGGTGCAAGAACAGCCAGATTCCCCAGGTGGTGTGGTTCATAACCTGGTAAGGGAAAACTTAGAACACAGGAGGCTAGAGAGGTGGCTGAGCAGTTAAGACCCGGATTCAGTTCCTAGCACCCATATGGCAGCTAACAACATTCTGTAACTCTAGTTCCAGAGGACCCAATGCCCTCTTCATGAATACATATATGCAGGCAGAACATCCATACACATACTTTTAACAAAACAAACATCATGCAGGGGAAAAGAGGCCCAGCAACATTAAAACAATTTGGGTTAATCAAAAGAGATAATTAGCTTCATGGCAAGCTGAAGGCTAACTAAGCTATGTGAGACCCCATCTTTTTTTTTTTTAAGGGTTTGACAAGCAATAGGCTGAGAAAAGAGATCTATGATAAAGGTAGGTCAGAATGGTTAAAGTTCTAAATAAGTTATTTTCCAAAGAAATCCATGGCTGAAGAGATGGCTGAGCTGAGTATACACCTGCCTTCTATATACAGAAGCCCTGGTTTCAATTCCCTGTAACTGGGAGGAAATCCATATAGCTAACCAGCAAAGGCAATGGTGTTCGATGTATTTAAATAACCAGGGAAATGCAAATTAAAACAACAATTACAAGAGTTACACACTTCCCTGGCTGGCAAAAATTGAAACCTGACAGCACTGAATATTGGGCAAGTGTGGAGTCAAGTATTTTGCTAGCTATTGAGAGTATAAAGTCGGGGCTAGAGAGGGAGGGTTAGAGGATAAGCATGCACACTGCCGGAAGTGACACTGAGTTCAATCTAGAGGACCCACGTGAAAGGAGACAAGTTCACACGTGCAGCTCCCAAACACAATATAGTAAGAGTGTACTAGCATGTTTTGATACACTCTAGTGGCATTAAAGATAGCAGGGGCTGGCCTAACTGGGTAGTTGATAGCTATGTGTCTAGAAAAATGCATGTGTCTATTCCAGATACAGAGAAGAATGTCCATGGTATTGTTGCAGCACACTAAGACAAGTGAATTCCTTAAAGCTGGAGAGACAGCCCCACAGTTAAGAGGACTGGCTGATTTTGCAAAGGACCTGGGTTCAGTTCCCAGTATCCACATGGCAAACTTATAACAATTACAGAACGAAACAGTGTAAAACAATTTTATCAATTTTTTTTTTTTTTTTTTTTTTTTTGGTTTTTCAAGACAGGGTTTCGCCGGGCGGTGGTAGCGCACACCTTTAATCGCAGCACTCGGGAGGAAGAGGCAGGCGGATCTCTGTGAGTTTGAGCCCAGCCTGGTCTACAAAGCAAGTTCCAGGAAAGGTGAAAAGCTACACAGAGAAACCCTGTCTTGAAAAAAAGCCAAAAAAAAAAAAAAAATCCCAAACTCAAGACAGGGTTTCTCTGTAGTTTTGGTGCCTATCCTGGATCTCGCTTTGTAGACCAGGCTGGCCTTGAACTCACAGAGATCCGCCTGCCTCTGCCTTCCAAGTACTGGGATTAAAGGCGTGCGCCACTGCCGTCCAGCCACAATTTATCAATTTTTAAGGGCACGTGTAGGTTTTTTTCTTTCTCTTTCCATTTATTTTTTTTGTGTATGTTTCTTTTTCTAATTTTATTTGTATTTTTTTAATGTATGAGTGATTTGCATGTATACCTGCAAGCCAGAAGAGGGCATCAGATCCTATTATAGATGATTGTGAGCCACCATGTGGTTGCTGGGAATTGAACTCAGGACCTCTGGAAGAGCATCCAGTGCTCTTAACCTTTGAGCCATTTCTCCAGCCCAGGGCACATGTAGTTTAAAAGAATAAACAAGCATGGAATGCTATCAGAAATTATCTGAGGAATAAGACCTATACAGAGACCCTAAAACAATATACCACCCTACACACAGGGCTCAATTTTCTCTAGGAAACTCATGATGGGGTAGGGAAAGGCTACATACAAGTGTAGGCTCCAAATAAAGACTGTGCCTCAGGAAGAGCACTCAGTTCGGACAGCTTATCTCACAGTTCAATGAATACACGCATATTTCCTGGCCTTTGTCTTGTCTTTTCTCTAAAATTTAACCATTACAGTTTGCCCAAACTATAAATGAATCCATTTTCCTTTACCAGTTTGTTTCCTAACTCCTTTTGAAACAGAGGAACTAAGGCAGCAGCTTATATGCTGGTGATGCAGAGGCACAAGATCATTTGTGTTTAACTCCTTGATATAATCCTCCCTCCTCCTGCTGCTCCCATCCACCTGCTCTACACCAGTCTCACCTGGTAGCCCACACTGGCCTGAACTGCCAGTGATCCTCCTGACGGTGGAGTACCACTCAGCTCAAATTCTCTATTAAGTTCTGAAATATAAAAGGACCATGCAGCCTCTTACCTTGTGCTGGCAAATACTTTTTCTTATATTTTTCTACTGGGGCTCCAGAAGAAACATGACTCTTTTGAAATTGAATAGATGAGTTCTATAATATAAGAGATAATTTTTCAATATAGTTGTTAGTCTACATTTCATGTCACTGAGTAAAACTTAAAGTTAAGAGCTGTTCATCTGCACTCTCATTTACCACAGCAGGCCAGGTAAATTGGTGGCTGTGTAGGAATGAACCACACACTACCTCCCAACTCAAGACACAGAACAGCCTCTTTCACAAGCTGTCCTCCTGTCCCCACTGGTTGATGAGGCCGCCTGACACTCCTCCATTCCCAAATCTGTCCCCATTACCAGTATTGTCAGGCTCACCCCGCCAACAATCTGAGCTCTGTCTGGCCTCAGCTAGGATAATCCCAGAAGCTGCCACCATCAATTCTAACAATACCTTCAATAAATAGGTGCATAAATCACAAAGATTTAGACTGGGGTGTTCCACCAAATAGATGGCCAGGTATCTCTCTAAAAAGTCAGGGTTGCTTCATAAAATGGTAAAGTATTTAAAGGCTAGGAGGCCATGATTTCTACAGCTCCTTTGAACTGCTTTGGCCACACAGAAAGCATAGTGAGATATTCAGAGCAATGGCAGTTTGGGGCTTTATCACACCCCTCCTTCATCTCCTCTCCACTGGGAAGCTTCCATGATAAAGTATTGTAGAGGACAAGCAAATGCCTCTTCAGGGTATTGTATCCTGTCTTTCCAGATCATTGCTCTAAACTCTCACCCAGTCAATGTCCACAGCCTAGAGCACACAAGGTCCTCACAGTCTGTTGATGGATACATGTTTGCTGTGTCCTCCACCTTCAACGTTCTGACACAGCTTACATTCACGGTTCATAATAGTCACTCTCACACACTGCAAACCTGCATCCTCCTCCCCTGTGCAGCAGCATTCACCTTGGCAACAACCCAACTCTACATCAGAAGAGCTCAACAACAGCCAAGGCAAACAGTTAGCATTCAGATGCATGTCTCCCACCATGTGGCCCCCACTGCAGCCACAAAACAGCCCTCCTGCTGTCCTAGTTCGCCTTCCATTGTTGTGGTAAAGACCATGGCCAGAAGCTGGGGGGAGGGTGTCCCAATCACGTCCATCACTGAGAAAAGCTAAGGAAGAATTCAAGGTAGGAGAAACTGAGGCAGAGATCATGGAGGAAGACTGCTTACTAGCTTTCACTTAATGGCTTGCTTATACTAGCCAGGACCACCTGCCCAGCAGTAGCCAGGCCTACAGTAGGCTGGCCCCTCCAATATTAATCATTAATCAAGTAAACTTGCCTATAGGCCAATCTGATTGAGGCATCTTCTTAACTAAGGTTCCCTTGTTCCACATGACTATAGTTTGACCAGTAATACCTCCCTAAGACCTTTGCTTTCCACTCAGACAACTTCCCCACATCTACCTTCTGCCTCTTCTTCCACCCTTTCAGCTCAGGTGAGTGTGCTCCTGTTTCCCTGAGAAACAGCTTTAGGGGACTTCCCACCAGCTGCCACTATGCATCAGCCTGGTCTGGGCTTGCCTCACAACAGACTACATCTGGCCAGGGCCAGTCCTATGTGTTTTAGGATGCTGCCCCCACTATTCACTGCTCCTTCCTAGGTAGTGTCCTCTTCATTGAGCCAGACAGGTATGTTCCTTTTCCTGTCTAAAATATCAAAATCCTTACACACCAGCCACTACCCCAATCATTTCAACTACTATCAACAACTAACTCTACGGGGCTATTATACTCTGCCCATATCTTCACTCTTCCCACGTCAGCAGTCCAGGGAAAAGGGTCTTTTTAAAAAAAAAACAAAAAACAAAAAACAAAAAAAAAAAACTTATGAATGCCCGGCCTTAGCTTGGCTTGTTTCTAGCTGGCTTTTCTCAACTTAAATTATCCCATCTATCTTTTGCCTCTGGGCTTTTACCTTTCTATATCCCTCTCTTTACTTCGTACTCTGTGGCTTGCTGTGTAGCTGGGTGGCTGGCCACTGGAGTCCTCCTCTCCTCCTGGAAAAGGTTCTTAATGTACTGCACCATTCTGGGCTTGGAAATAACCTGGCCAATTTAGTCCTCAACAGGCACGGCAGGTCACTCTGAATCTCAAGGTACTCTTCCTTCCCTTGGCTCTGGACACTATGACAGCCTTCTCCCTCCTCACTCTCTGGCCAGTCACCCTCCTCACTTTATCACTAAGCCAGTTCTTCTCCACCAGTGCCTTATGAAACACAAATTCTGAAAGCATCGAGGTGTCATCTCCAACCTGTACTTCCTCTACACGATGGCTAGGAGCCCTGTCATGTCCACCTCACCATTCCTGAACACCGTGGTTTGAATAAGAATGGCCCCCATTGGCTCATATATGTGAATACTTAGTCCCCAGTTGATGGGGCAGTTCAGGAAGCATTAGGAGTGTGGCCTTGTTGGAGGAGGCAAGTCACTGCAGATAGGCTTTGAGTGTGGCCTTGTTGGAGGAGGCAAGTCACTGCAGATAGGCTTTGAGGTTTCAAAAGTCAACACCATTCCCAATGAACTCTTTCTGCCTCTTGCTTGAGGATAAGGATGTAAACTCTTAGCTACTCTTCAAGCACCATGCCTGCCTGCCACCATGCTCCCCACCATGATATTCATGGACTTTTAGCCCTGTAACCATGAGCCCCAAATTAAATGCTGCTTTTATAAGTTCCCTCGGTCATGATGTTTTGTCACAGCAAAAGCAAAGTAACTAAGACAAGAGGTAAACTACACATCATCCAGAATTCCCTTCCTGAACAATTAAAGTTAACATTGGAACTGCAGTGCTTTTGCCTTGTGCAATTATCACCCCTGAACATTTCCTGACTTTTCAGTCTTGTGACAGTCCTCCTGGATTTGTTAAACACCAACTTCTTTGGATCCAGCACTCCATTTCCTGGCTTTAGAGTTTAAATGTACAAACATTTCCAATCACCCTGATTTGGCAAAACCAACTCCCCGACACTTACCATGCAGTCATCCTTTTTTGTAGCTGTCATATGCTGGCAGGCCTTGGGACTGCTCTCAATGGCTTCTGCTCTCTTCCAGGCATCCAGTCGGAACCTTTCCATTACCTTTATCTCTTCTCGGAGGTCTGTATTCTCTTTGACTAGCATTTCTATCTGGCTTCTGAGGCGACCATGTGCACTTGACCATTTTGTCTCCTTTCTTTTCAAATCTTCCTGTAAATCTGTTATTTGCTGTTTCAAAGCCTCTCAAAAGAAAAAGTTACTAGAATTAATGTAATGGGAGAGGAGATGCATCAATAAAACAAAATGCCAGCCCACCACAGACAGCAGGAGAGGATGCCTAGTCAGTCAGTCAATGACACTGGGTTTTTCAGGAGCTGGCCTTGGAGGTCAGGTCAGTGCTCACCTTACATTGTCAACAATTAATGAGAAGCCAGGAGCAGACAGAGGCGGCACTGAATGTGGCATGCGGGAACACACACAGCCTAACCTCACCACTTGCTAAAGCACCAGCGAAGAAAACAAATGACATGAGTTCTTGAACAGAAGCAGACTGAATCCACAGTCAAAGCCACCTGCCCTGAAAATAGACTGGTTGAAATCCACGAGGAAGGCTGTCCAAAGGTGCTGAGTTACCTCAATTGACTGCTCAGTCAGTCCAAATTACATTTTTTATTCAACACCCCACTCCCTTCTCACTGCTGCACTTGACTAGCCTTTAAAAAAAAAAATTATTAGCACGGCATGATAGCGCACACCTTTAACCCCAGCACTAGGGAGGCAGAGGCAGGTGGGTCTCTGAGTTCAAGACTGGCCTTGTCTACAGAGTGAGTTCCAGGACAACCATGGCTGTTACACAAACCCTATCTCGAAAAATAAAAAAATAAATTAATGAAAATAAACTAATATTAAGAAAATGATGGAGGCATGTGGCTCAGTGGTAGAGTGATTGCCAAGTATGCACAGGACCCTGAGTTTGAACCCCAGGGGCACAACAAGGAAAGAAGGAAGGAAGGAAGGAAGGAAAGGAAATAAACAAATAAACAAACAAACAATAAATAAATAGATGAGGGGCTGAGAATGGAGCTCAAAGGCAGAACACTGGCCTAGCATGTGTGAGATCCTAGGTTCAATCCCCAGTAGTGAAAAAAAGAAATGAGTTGTTCTAGATGGAGTAAAGGAAGCAAGTGAAGAAACCACTAGACTTGGCAGTAAACCAAACAGAAATGTACACCTAGAAATCAAGACTAAACTCAGGACAGGATGTCATCAGTGATCTGGAACTATAACAAAGAAGCTCAGAGAACAGCACACAACAGTCCACCAAATACTATTGGCAGGTCGTTGTTTTGACTAGGGAAGACCCAAGAGCACAGGGTGACTGAGAGTTGAGCTAGGATTACTAGGGCCAGCCAAGGAAGGAAGGCCTTCTTATCAGATGTTTCCCAACAGAAGGGAAAGTGCTCATCTTGTAACCTGGAGACTAGTGCAGCAGGCTCACCTCACAAGGCTGAGACGTGGCTTTCATGGACTGCCTAATTAGTGTTAGTACCTCTATTTCATAACACTGAAAGGGAAAGTACACTGTCAAGTTCATTCTGTGAAACCAGTGTTACTCTGATACCAACCCTACACAAGGACACAACAAAAATTCATTTTATGTAGTTTCAGGCCCCATCTTGGGGATTTCAGGATACTCAGTGCTGAGGATTGAGCCCTGGGATTTGAGCATGGTAGGCAAGTGCTGAGTTACATCTTTAGGCTTAGAAATTCTCAATAAAAATATATGCAGACCAAATTAAATACTTTAAGGCTATACAACATGATCAGGGTGATTTCATTCCAAGGATACAAGGATGGTTAAACATGCAAATTAATAAATGCAATACAATACATAAATAGATTCAGGGACAGAAATCACATGATCACTTCAATGGATACAGAAAACCTTAGACAATATTCAATATCTTTTCATAATAAAAGCCCTGAAGAAACTAGGAACAGAAGCCTAGAGCAATAAGAGAAAAGTGATAGAAATAAGGAACAAGTTCAATTGTCTCTCTGTGTAGATAACATGAACCTATTCTTAAAAACCCTAAAGCCTCTAACAGAAGACCGTGGGATCTGATGCAGTCAGCAGAGTGGCAGGCTATATAATCAATATACAAAGATCACTAATTCACTAAATACATTAATCACATTCACTAATGGGAACTTGACAGAAATCAGGAAAACAATCTCAGTTACAACAACTTTAATATATATTTATCACCTTTAATCCCAGCATTCAGGAGGCAGAGACAGGCAGATCTCTGTGAGTTCAAGGCCAGCCTGGTCTACAAAGTAAATTCCAGGACAGTCAGGGATACACAGAGAAACCCTGTCTCAAAAAACCAAAAAGAAAAGAAAGTGATATAGAATGTAGACATGCTCTGTAGTTATTGCCCATCTCACCCTCTTCCTTATAGTGCACTCAATAAACCTTTCTTTCTTTTGAATAAAGGTAATATCTATTTCCATTATAAGTGTATGAAAAGAAGAAATCTTTATTTCACCCTTGCTCTGACCACTTAAATCTTCCTTTATTATTTTTCCTTAAAATTTTTATTACATTAATCTGTGCCAGAAGGCATGCGCACAGTCCAGAGGACAACTTGCAGTTCTCTCTCCTTCCACCCTGTGGAACTTGGCCATCTAACTGGCTCCCACAGAGTGTTTTTAATGCCGTTTTCAAAGGTAGGCGGTTATAGCTGTGTAGAATTAACTGGGGTCCTCTATTCCAGCCCAGGTCTGCCTGCCTGTTTTTGGGCCAGTTCCTGTTCCCATGGCTCTAGAATATGACATCAGGTACTATGGTACCTCCCATGGCTCTAGAATATGACATCAGGTACTTCGGTACCTCCCATGGCTCTTTCTGTCTAGGATTGCTTTGGGGGGTCTTTTATGCTTTCATATGCACTTTAGATTTTTTTCCCTATTTCTGTGAAGGATGTCATTAGGGACTGCACCAAATCTGAATATTGCTTTTGGTAGTTCGGTCATTTGACAATATATTCTGGTGACCTGAGTGTGGGAAGTCATCTTATTCTCTATGTAGTCCTTGCTGTCCTGGAACTCCCTCTGTAGACCAGGCTGGCTTGAACTCACAGAGATCCTCCTGGCTCTGCTTCCTGAGTACTGGGATTAAAGGCGTGTGCCACCACCACCTGGCTAAAAATTCCATCTTAAAGGGTGATACAGAAGCTTAGTGGAGGTGGCGCACACCTTTAACCCCAGCACCAGGGAGGCAGAGACAGGCGGATCTCTGTGAGTTCGAGGCCAGCCTGATCTCCAGAGCGAGATCCAGGACAGGCACCAAAACTACACAGAGAAACCCTGTCTCGGGGTGGGGGGTGGGGGGGATAGAATTTTTAACAGAGTATCAAAATCTAACCTACTACACTAATAAACTGATGCAGCAGAAGGTAACAGCATTTCCCCTTACTTAAATAAACTAACAGCATCAAATACCTAGAGGACTAGCTACAGTGGTGTGCACTATGATCCCAACTACTTAGAAGGCTGTAGGATCTCAAAGCCAGTGTGGGCTGTGCAGTGAAACCCTGTCTTATAAATAAATACATAATAAATAAAATAAAGGCATAAGTAATATTGGTGTGTGGTAGCTAATGCTTCAGGTGTGCAGATGAGATGACATTTGTGCAGATGACATGATGACATTGCCCCAGGTGCCATGCAGCATGAGGAAAGAAGAAAGCAAAGGCTGGAACCCACAGCACTAATAAGAAGGCAGAAAGTGAGCTCACATTTTATGCAGGAAACAATGGACAGCCATGTGAAACTGTGGTGTTGAGAAGCAGAGGTGTTAAAGTCGAATATATCTACTAGGTTTTTATACTTAGCTAAATGAGTTTCTTTAGGAAGCTTCGTATGTGTCAATGTATAGATATATCATCTGGTTTTCCCTAGGTTTATAGTTCTAATAAGAAATGCATTCATTCATGGAGCTGGAGAGACAGCTCAGTGGTTAAGGGCACTGGCTGCTCTTCCAGAAGACCCGGGTTAGATTCCCAGCACTCACATGGTGGTTCACAAACATCTGTAACTCTAGTCCCAGGGGATATGACACCCTTTTCTGATCTCCAGGGGCTGCACATATGTAATGCACATACATTCATGCAAGCAAAACACCCACACATGTAAAAAATACACAATGATTTTTAAAAAAGAAATGCATTCATTCTTCTCAACTACTACTTTCCTCTGATCATGCCCATGTCCACCTCTGAGACAGGGCATTATTTGCCCTGTCATTTTGTAAGTTTGGGAACTAAACCTCTAGTTAGTATATGGGCATAAATTACTGTGAATGAAAAGCAGCAGCAGCAGTCGCTGTGACAGGTCAGATGATGGCACAACACTGAACTGGTGCACAGCAAGTTCTGGCTTCCGCGGGATCTCTGCAGGAACTCTGTTAGTGAGTAAAGGACTAGTGATGTACCTCAGAGTCGACCAAGAAGATGTCCTGATGCATGTCACAGATGCCCAGTCCTCTCCCCACCCACCCACTTCTGAGATAGGGTTTCACCCTGTAGCCTCTTCTACTCAGCGCTCTAAGAGCTGGAATTAGTGATACACATGATACCTAGCTCACACTTTGTTTCTGAAACATCAAATAACTCTAATGGGTTTCTTCCGAGACTGCCATCTGTGTTAACCCTTGACAGTGGTGTGGAACCCAATACCTGTATCTCTTCACGCTCCTTTTTGTCTGGAAATGTCCTTGCAGCTGCTGTGTACTTTTCAAAGACTTTGCGTTCCTTCTGCAGTTTCCGTGTCTCCTCCTTCCTGTACTCTTCTATTCGAGCCAGTTCTCTTGCCTTTTGTTGCTCAAAGTCAGCAATTTCTCTCCTACAATGAACACGCCACAGTGTCATGGGACAGTCTAAGATCCACGTGTGCCCAAGTGTGATGGCACACACCTTTCTTCCTGGCACTGGGGACAGTCTCAGTCTAAGATCCATGTGTACCCAAGTGTGATGGCACACACCTTTCTTCCTGGCATTGGATGGCACAGAGTGGATACAGGATCCCTTGAGTACAAGAGAACTTAACACTAACCTGAGCAACACAGTAAGACTTCTGACTCCAAACTAAATAAGTAGGCCTGATGCTAAATCCTAAGGCCCTGATCCCCAATGCTAAAAATAGAAATAATAAAATAAATGCCATCAGAATGGAACCCAGGGCCAGCCTGAAAGTTACTGGTCCAAGTGACTCCACCTACAGTCCACTGGCCTCCAAGATTAGCCAGTACACTTTGTCTACCAGTCATTCAACAAGCATCTACTAGGTACCCACTGTGAATCTAGAAAGCGGGACACCACAGCCTCTCACACTGCAAAAACAGACAACAGCAGAGCCAGCAAGATGCCTCAGCAGGTCAAAGTGCTTGCCGCACCAATCTGACAACCTGAGTCAGACCCCATGGTGGAAGGAGAGAACAGACTCCTTCAGAGAACTGTCCTCTGACCACACCAGCTCCATGGCATGCATGAGCCTTGCACAGTCTCACGCACACACAAATCCTAACAAGTAAGACAAATGTATGAAACATTAGAAGCAGTAAGGAGAAAGCCAAGAAGCAGGGGGTTGTCTCTGAACCACCCCATGTGCACAAGTGTGCACACATACACACACATGAACATACAAAAAATAATGTAAAAGTAATTGTTTAAAATAAATAAATGCAGAAGATTGGAGTGCACTAACAGTGTGCTTAAAGAGCAGGTTAAAGAAGATATTTAAGAACGCCCAAGACTCAGACAGAACCTGACTGCCTAGGCTGGAACTGGGACCAGTTAGTTATCCAATACCAAATGGTCAGCCCTGAAAACATACATACGAGTAACATTATACAGACTGAGCTGGTTAGATTTAGGAATATACATGTATATGCATATACATATATGAAAATAACAATGAAAAAAGAGGCCATGAATTTGAAAGAGCAAGGAGGGTATATGGAGTGTTTGGAGGGAGGAAAGGGAAGGGAGAAATGTTGCAGTTAAACTATACTCTCAAAAACAGAAACAAAGAAAGAATGCAACCCACCTCTAGGTGAAGACCTTGTTTCCTCCCTCAAGGGTTAATCTATACACCAATTAAACACTACCCAGTTGTATAACTACAGAAGGTACGAATGGAAGACTGCCACACATGGATCCTCTGAATTCGTGTAGAGTGTTTGATTAAATTAGTTGTGAGAGTTTTAAGGTACAGCTTTAGTGTTACTATAACTTTATAAAATAAAATTTTATCAAAACTATTTATATATTGTTACAATATACTGCTTTTGCCCTTGGTAACTGCCAACATAAAATCTGGATCCAGTGACCGAACGTGTACAAATGCACTTCCTGTAACTGCTGGAATTTGAGGTATTTGCTTGACCACTGTACAAAGTAACGAAGTGGTGAAATTAAATAGTATGCCTACGACTCAGAATACTTTACAACTTGTACTGTATGTTCACAGCATGAATACCATGATTACCCCTATGGTTTAACAAAAAAATAGAGTTCCCTTCTACAGCAGACGTAAAAGCAAGATGACTAGGTTGATGTAAATGTAGCATGTGTGTCTATAAAGGGTTAATCAGGTACATTGATTTTGGAAGATCTGACTGAATACCCCTGGGTGTTTAGACTTTGGGAATGCATACAGTTAGCTGATCAGAAGTCTTCACTCAATATAATAAATAAATGCTGATGTTCTGAGCCACCACACCCAGATTTGTTGGTTTGTTTATTTTCATTTTTGGCAGTAGTGGAGACTGAACTCAGGGCCTCACATTTGTATATTCAGCCATTGACCAGCCTTGACTACATTGGAACACTCAAAATAAAAAAAAAAAAAAAATAGAGTGGGAGTGAGTGAGGAGGGAGAGAGAGAGAGAGAGAGAGAGAGAGAGAGAGAGAGAGAGAGAGAGAGAGAAGGTGAAGATAGATACTGCATAGACATAGAATCAGACACACAAAAGAAAAGACTGTAAACATATAAACAAGAGGGAGAAGCAGAGATCTCCTCAGTGATGCTCATGCCAACCAAAGCACACTTAAGGACCACCTGCAGTCACCGGAAGATGGATGGGTAACATAGCCCAGCTAATGGTCTGGATATCAGCCTTCCAGCTTCTAGAAACACAAATTTCTGTTAAATTACCCAAGTCACAGGGCTTTGTTACAACAGCCCTGGGAAATGAACTTGCTAGCCAATGTACTTCATAACTACAAACTGATTTTTGAATTTCAACTTATATAATCTTACCACTAAGAATTTCCCTTTAATGTATTTGGCTAAACTAGGTCATTTCATTTAGTTTTAAAAAAAAAAAATTTGAGGCAGGATTTCATATAATCCAGGCTGGTCTTGAATAAACAATAGTTGAGGGTGACCTTGAGCTCTGATCTTCCTGCCATCACCTCCCAAATCCTGAGGTTACAGAAGCGTGGTGTCACACCTCAAGTTCATGGGTGCTGGAGATCCAAACCCAGGATCTTCAGGCATGCAAGGTAAGCATCTAGCAACTGAGCTATATACCCTTAATTAAAAATATATTGGTATAACAGAAATTTGTCCTCTTTTTCATTTATATTTGTTATTTATCTTTATATTTAAAAGTGATCAAAACTTCTAACATAGTCTTCAAGAAATAAATCATTGTATTTTTTCTTCTCATAGATAAAAACTTACCTCAGTTTTTCCAAGGCACTTTCCCGTTCAATTCGAAGTTTAGCTAAAGATGTGTTCTCGGCTTTAAATTTTTCTATTTCTGATTCCAGTTCAATAACTTTCTCTCTCAAAACCTGAGATCGAACACTGTCACCTATAAAACAGATGATAAAGTCTGAACTTTCCAGGAGGCTTACAACTAACCACTGGGCCACCTGTGAATACTGTAGCCAAGAAGGTCTGTCACTGAACCTGTTGTCACACTGCATAGGGACAAAACAGAAGACCTAGCTCTCTAAAAGAACCAAGGTGGACTGCCGCATGCCTGCAATCTTGGCACTCAGGAAGCACAGGCAGGAGGATTACTGTAAGTTCAAAGCCAGCTTGGTCTACATAATAAGTTCCAGATCAACAAAGGACTGATATTAGAGGTTAAAAAAAGGTTTAAATCACATCTTTTAAAAAACTAGCAAATATAGACTATGAATAATTAACATGAGATCTTAAGGGATAATCAATAACCAAACCAAAATGTAAGCCTTATTATTAAATTATACCAAAGAAACACAGCTGAGCATAGACATACCTGTAATCCTAGCACTCTGGAAATGGAAGGAACAGGATTGCAGGTTCAAAGGCAGCTTGGGGTACATTGCGGTAGCCCACAACTGACTCAGTTTCCCAGTTTGAATCTGAAGTCTATTCTGAGTCAATAGAGTTCAAGCTTGCTTGCTCCAAGGCTGTGAGAAAGTTTTGATTAGCCCACAGAGTCTCCTTGAAGGGCTGTGAGAAAGTTCTGATTATCCCACAAGAGGGAACACACTATCTAGCTAGATGCAGGCTGCTGATGCCAGCCGGAGGTACATTGAGATAGAAAAAGAAACTGCCTGCTCCTTGACGCAAGGCAGGATAGATAGGGTTGAATGCCTGCGCTGTGCATTGTTCTACCTCTGTCCTTCAAGACTGTACATAACTGGCTGTGAAATAAACTCAGGGCTGTCTGGCATTGACCAGCAGACCTCTCGACTCGTTTCTGTCTTCTTCATTGTCTCTTCAATCCGCACACCTCTACCCGGCTACCCAGCTGACTGTTGGCAGGCCGGACAGTAATAGCAAATCCAGGCCAGCCTGGTCAACTTGTCAACATCCTATCAGACACACACACACATGGGTGGGGAGGGTGGTAGATTCAGATTTTTTTCCTCTTATCAAGATTGCTATTTTATAAGTAAATAGCTGAATTTTTTTTTTTTTTTTTTTTGGTTTCTCGAGACAGGTTTCTCTGTGTAGCTTTGCGCCTTTCCTGGAACTCACTCTGTAGACCAGGCTGGCCTCGAACTCACAGAGATCCGCCTGGCTCTGCCTCCCGAGTGCTGGGATTAAAGACGTGCACCACCACTGCCCGGCTAAATGGCTGAATTTTAAAACTATTTTTTATTAAGTTATATGTAGGTATGTTTGTCTACATGTAGATATGTACATATGAGTGTGGTATCCATTGAGGCCAGAGGCATCAGACCCCCTGGAGCTGGAGTTACAGACAGTTGTAAGCCACCTCATGTGGGTGCTGGAAACTTCCTTTGGGCCCTCTGTAAGAACAGCAGTGCTCTGAACTGTGCACCATCTCTCCAGCCCCAACAGTGAATGTTTTACTCTCTCAGCAATCACCTCATCACTTAGTCCTACGCTCCTGAAAGACACATCTGGTCTATACAACAAGATAGAAGTCTGTTGCAGACAGAACATTGTAATATATGTCCCTATCATAATAAAAGTACATAGGAAAAGCATCTACAAGGAAACCCCCTCCCCCAAATGGCATGGAATTTACTTTTGGAAATTTTAGTTATAAATACTTTTACTTTGTTACATTTTCAAGCATTCAAAATTCCTATAAAAAGTATTATTTTTATTTTAAATTGGTTAAATTATAATTTCTGTTTAAAGCATCCAACACTTTTAGCTAGGTATTTAGAGTTTTATGTGTATGTTAGAACAAACTTAAAATTTTAAACATTGGGCTGGAAGAGATGACTTAGCTATTAGGAGTACTTGCTACTCTTCCAGAGGATCTGAACTTGGTTCCTAGTACCTATTCAAATGGTTCACAACACCCATAGGATCAGCTCAAGGGATCTGATGCCCTCTTCAGGCCTCATCGGCCACCCAAATATATATGGCAAACACACACATAATTCTTTTTTTAAAGTATCTTAAGTCATGGGAAAATATCTCTAAGAAGCATGTTTTCATTTCTGTAGAAATATTATATATACATACTCATATATACACTTTTCTGTGTGTGGATTGTTTCAGAATGTATAAATGGAATACATGGTAATGTCTGTACCACCATGAAAGGGGGTAAAGTCAAGTGTAAGGAAAGAAACAAAATGAAATTGTACAGCAGTCTCTCTCTCTCTCTCTCTCTCTCTCTCTCTCTCTCTCTCTCTCTCTCTCTCTCTCTCTCTCTTTTACACACACACACACACACACACACTCCCACTCATGCATGTGCTTCACCTTATCAACAACTTGGAATTTCTCAGTTTCAGTTTCAAGCAATCAACAAGCCATAAATATTTCATGGAAAACTCCTGAAATTATTTTTAAATTGCATTCCATTCTGAGTAGCAACACAAGGAAATACCAGTGTCACACTGAAACATCACCCTCTGTCCAGCATATATCCATGAAACTCACAGTTACTTAGTACCCAAATTAGGTTATCAGATCCATTGCTGTGGAACTGCAATGTGTGCATTTAAATAACCCTCCATGGCACCAAAGGACAAGAGTAGTGGTGCTGGTGACTTGACTGTGCCAAAGATAAACCACAGGAAAATTATATGCACATAAAAAAGAGCAGTGCAGTGGCAATGCCTGTAACATTCTCATGCCTCTACTTACCTGGTGGTTGGTCTTGACTCATGTTTAATTTGGGTTCATTTTCCAAGTGTGAATCTAATTTGGGCTTTGGTTTCAAAGAAGGGAAGAATTTCATCATCAAGTCAGATGGAGGAGGGGGGCTTCTGCTCCTGTCGGACTTGCTGAAGTCTTCTCCTTTCTTGACTGGAGCAACCTTCCTTTTTATTGTTTTGTCCAGAATACATACTTCACTCTTAATGGGGTACTGTGTCTGGTGGGTACCATATATGGCTTCATCTCTGAGAATAACATTATGCTTGTATGAATTCTCCTCAAGGTCTGTCCAAGATCTTTCATCATCAAAGTCAATTTTATTCACATCTTGAGATAAGGGGAATCTTGATGGCTCAGATACTTTATTTTTCAGGCTTTCAACTATGACAGACTCTTCGCTGCTATATTCTTTATCAGACAGATCCAGATCAGCATCTCTCCATTTATCTTCTTGAGTCCCGGTGTCCCTAAAAGGTCCTTTAGCACTGCAGACTTGTGGACTATCCTCTTTGTTGCTGAAGACCCTCTCCGCAGCCTCAGTGGATGGTTTTAGGGTAACATCATGCTGCTCCTCAGAATCAGAGCTACTGGCACTGTTGACCATGTCGTCATCGCTTGCATCCCATCGGCCCTGACCGTCAGAAGGGCTGGTTGGGAAGGCTTTCTTACTGATCTTACAGGACAGTTCCCTCAAACCATCGGGTGAGGACCCTGGACCCAGTGACAGGAGTATGGCCTCACTCTTCCTTTCACATGCAGCACTCTGGTGGGGACCCTCACTGCGGTTACTCTGCCCACTGGGATCCATCTGATGCGCCTTCTCCTGCTGCCCAGCTTTGACAGGAGTAGACGACATCCTGTGACCTTTGTAGATCTGCTGATCCCTTTCTAAGATTTTTAATACAAATGAGGAATTACTAGAAAAAGATATTTCATCAGCAGCCCGTTCCAAAAATAAAAATTCATCTAATTCCAAGTTTTCCTTTTCTTTTTCTCGTTCCCAATTCTCTAATTTTTTCTGAAGAGAAATGTCAAGGGACGATTCTGTCTCTTTCACTGTCTCATTCATCAGGCTCTTAGAAGCCACACAGTCAACTGGCTCTGTGGAAAGAGGAAGTCTCTCTCTGCCCCGTGTCTTGTTCCACACCTTGCAACCAGAATCACAGGGCTTTACACATACAGGCACATTTTCCTTATTATTAGCTTGTGCATTTCTTTCTAATTTGACCTGGTGTCTAAATTGTCCATCACATTTCTTCCCCATCTGTACTTTCAGTCCTGGTGGAGAGAGACTTTCCCTCATATTGATCTTAGTCACTTTCGATTTCTGACTGAGTGAGGCAGAGCCAGCCTTGGTTCTAGCTTTACTGTCTCTTTTAACAGTGGGGGTCTCTGCACACAGGTCTTTATTTATGAGAGCAGTTTTCCTCTGCAAGTGTTGTCTGTCTGCTTTACATACTGACTGGTCCTCTGGTGGGCTCTGGCTGTTATTCACTAGTTTACTTTCTTTCCCTTTCTGAAACTTGGATTTAGCATTAGTAAACCTAGCTAAACCTTCTCCTCGTTTTAAAAATGGTTGCTTGGGTTTTGCTTTCATTAGCAATGGTCCTTCTGCTTCCTAAAGAAGAAAGACAAAAGCCAATTAGTGTGCATACAAGTGATTTCCGTCATTTCCAAAGCCGGCCACCCCTGAGAATGGTGGCCACTTAATGGAGACGGCACCGACGCCCGCTCACCCGCAGCCGCTTCTCTTTCAGCTCTTGCTCTTCCAGCCGCATCTGCTCTTCTACAAAGTCCTCAAATGTCTGCTTCTTTTCTCTAATGGCAGCTTTGATAGGCCTAGTCATAAAACAAGGGGCGGAACACTCAACTTACAATGCGAGGATTTTATACGCTGTGTAAAATTATTTAAATACCTTAGCCTGCACTGTAAACTAATATTTTATAAGGACCAGGTACCAGAGTACAGTTTCACAGCAGAGTATGGGCTTAGCATGCACAAGACCCTAGTTCAATCCCCGGAACAAAAACAGAGAGAAAGCGAGAGCAAGGTCTGATGACACGTCAACAATCCTAGCACTCGGGATTAAAACAGGAGTCCACTAGTTCAAGGCCATTCAGCTCCACAGAGTCATCGGGCCAGCCATGGCTACATGCTAAGACCATGATACAAAGCACTTTTTGAAGGACATCAAGGACTTCCTTTTAAGCTGGACACAGTGGTACAAACCTGTAATCTTAGCAAGTGTGAGGCCAGTCAGAGCTACACAGTGAGACTATTTCAAAGCAAAACAGGGTTGGCCATATGGCAGCAGGGCAGAGTGCCTGCTGTGTAAGCCACGACCTGAGTGAGTTCAATCCCCAGAACCTACAGTGGAAGTAGACAACTTATCCTAGGACCTCCACTCATGCACTGTGGCATACGCAGAGAGTATAAAGAAAATAAAATTTAAACAAAATAAACAAAACTTCTATTTACCTTCTCCTTTGAAAATCTAATGAAATCTACAACCCTTATCTAACCCCCAAAATACAGAACTATCTAACTCTGAACAGGACCTGGGGGACTAAAGAACCCTTCTGAACTCCATCCACTGACTGCAAACACTTATGTATAAAGTAACGTATGCATTACTTAACCTTAAACATAGTGTAAGTAACATATTTGTAAACTGAGAAAGGTCCTTAACAATGTAAGTAAAGCCATAAACCGAAGTTATTCGGCCTGTATATTATATAATATATATTAGAAATTCAAAGGTGTTTTTTAAAAAGGCCTATTTAAAAGATACTTTTATTTGAAATAATGTTTTTAATTCTCTAACTTAAACTAATTATGCGATTTTAATTTATAACTGACACCAAATATGAAATTTCAACATCTGGTTTTCCTTTTCTCCACAATTATATTTAAGATGTATTTTTTTAATGGGAGGAGGCACATCAAGTTCACACTGTATATTCCAGGCTGTCTTCAGATTTTGCTCTGTAGCCTCAGTACTAGGATTATAGGCTTGAGTCATAATGCCCAGCAAAAAGTTTTGTTTGTTTGTTTTTTAAGATTTATTTATTTATTTATTATGTATACAGTGTTGTGCCTGCATGTCTGCCTGCAGGCCAGAAGAGGGTACCAGATCTCATTACAGATGGTTGTGAGCCACCATGAGGTTGCTGCGAATTGAACTCAGGACCTTTGGAAGAACAGCCAGGGCTCTTAACCTCTGAGCCATCTCTCCAGCCCGTTTGTTTGTTTTTAAGTGAGAAAACTACTTGAACTGTCTATTTCCAAACCAGGGTCTCTTCCTTAATAGTATCCAATAGCTTATATCATCAACCTTATGCCTGGAAGCATATTCAAGTGAAAACAAGGAAAGCACAGATCTTTCGAACATACTGCTCAATAAGGAGAAATACCAAGTAGTTCCATTTCTCGTTACTTTGAGTATGAGTCATACCTTTCTTCAACATTAACCACTTCTGAGGAATCTCCACTTTTTTGTAAGTTCATATCCTTCCCTTCCTGACTCTTCCCCATCCTCTTTTCCCAACATGGCAAAACACCTTCTCCTAGAATAAGAATTAGGAACAGTTTAGTTCAAAACATGCAGAATAAAGGTTTAAGACATCAGACAATCACAAGTTACTACACAGTCCATAGGCTTTGGATTTAGCTCAGTGTAGAACACTTGCCCTGTGAGCAGGGGCTTTAAGTTTGGTCCCAGCACCACAAAAACAAAAACAAAAGAAAGCAGTTGTCAAAGAAAATATAGCCAAGTAGGCTGACCTACATCTGTAATCCCAGCACTTGGGAGGCAGGGACAGGAGAATTGCCATAAATTCAAGACCAGCCAGGGTTATAGAGCAAGACCCTATCTCAAAAAACAAAAGAAAAAATGTATGCCAAAATATTTAGAAAATTCAAGGATTTTTTAAAATAAGATAAAAAATATAAAACAATTAAGATACATGACATTCTTCAAAAAGTCGTGTTTTGAAAAGTAGGGATGTTTGCCAGGTAGTAGTGGCACACACCTTTAAACCCAGCACTCAGGAGGCAGAGGAAGGTGGATCTCAGTTGGAGGCCAGCTTGGACTATAGAGTGAGTTCTAGGACAGCCAGGGCTACTCAGAGAAACCCTATCTTGAAAAACAAGAAACAACAACAACCAAAAAAAAAAAAAAAAAAAAGGAAAAGAAAAAAAAGGAAAGGGTATTTGACCTTTCTTTATCAATGAGTTACTCTAGGTTGGGAAGAATGTATTAGGCATAAAGAGAACTAATTCTAAATGCTACATACAGACACTTTTTATGATGCTGTGTTTTTCTGTAACATAAATTACCAAAAAACTCATGAAAATACATTAAATTTTAGAAATGTTGAAAATAACTGTCTCCACAAAAAGTATTAAATAGATGTATTATTTGATGGTTATTCTAATAATGATGATTACAGAACATTCCAAATTTTTCCATGGTGAATAAAAAAACCCACAGTATTATGATCTTCATAATTGCAAAAATGTTAAAAAAAAAAAAAAAAAGAAAGAAAATGGGACAAGAAGCATGGTTGTTACTTTTTTTTTTTAATTGACTGGACTGAGGAGATGGGTCAGTGATTAAAACTCCGGCCATCAGCTGGGCAGTGGTGGTGCACACCTTTAATCCTAGCATTTGGGAGGCAGAGGCACATGGATCTCTATGAATTGGAGGCCAGCCTGGTCTACAAAGCAAGTTCCAGGACAGCCAGGACTACAAAGAAATCCTGTCCCCAAAACCAAACCAAACCTCTGGCCATGCTAGCATGAGGACTGGAGTCTGGATCTCCAGGGCCCCACAAGTGCTGCGTGGGCATGGTGACATGCCTAATAATTCCAGCCTCAGAAGGCATTCAGGTGATCCCCAGAGCAGGACTGGCCATACTGGAGAAGCTGAGTTTGACTGCGACTCTGCCCTAATGAATGAGATGGAAGAGTGATGGAGGGTGATTCCCAAATCAACACTGGGCCTCCGTATGCACGTGCACACACACATGCATGCACTCCCACATGCATGTACAGTAAAAGGGAAAAAGAACAAAAAGATTGCTAGAGGAGTATAGCACAGTGGTAGAGCACTTACCTAGGATGCGTAAGGCTCTAGATCCTATCCCTGGCCTGCCTGCCTCCTCCCCCATCTCTGTCTCTCCGTCTCTCTATCAGGCACGCACGCACACAGAAGACAGAAGGTAGGGAAAATCCATCAGAAAAGCCAAGTGAGCTCCAGGAGTTGGCTACCATCGATGAGACCAATTCTCTGGCAGGAATCTGTCTCATTGCTGGGAACACAGAAGCACAGCAAAGACAACCCAAGTATTATGAGTAATAGTTCCCATCACAAACCTGTTTCTCACATGTCACAGCTGACCTGCAGGTTGTCAGCTCTCACCTGCCAAAGCTATCAGAAAGATTTTTTTTTTTTTTTTTTTTTTTTTTTGGTTTTTCCGAGACAGTGTTTCACTGTGTAGCTTTGCGCCTTCCCTGGATCTCGCTCTTTAGACCAGGCTGGCCTCAAACTCACAGAGATCCACCTGGCTCTGCCTCCCGAGTGCTGGGATTAAAGGCATGAGCCACCACTGCCTGGCCAGAAAGATTTTTTTATCAACCCCAAACTCTAAGCTCTCCAATAATAATCCATGCAGAACTTGCTGCCTTCCTCTTTGAAGACCCCATGCTACCTGTGAAGTCTGTAGCAGGCCTGAGTATCAATACTGTTCTCAGATCGTCAAATCCTGGCCCAGCTCAGGTCAGTGACCATGCAGAGGATGGAGGAAAAATACGAAGGTTGACCCTTGTCTTCGAAGCCTGATGACTCTATTATGGGACTCACCTGAAGGATGGTCACGGTTTTCTTCCTTTAAGTCAGTTATTCTCACATGTGCTTCTGGATATGGGGACTCATCAAACACATCAGAAGCATTTTTTGAAGTTAAGACAGAATCTTGATGAGTAGCTCTACAGAAATTGCTTTGTTCATCAGGTAAAATGTTGGAAGCATGCGGGTTTTCTTGGGTTGGATTTGCGTAGCTATGTGATGGCAGGAAGGGAGTGGCTTTCTCTCCCAAGGCTAAACTTCCTGGAGATCTATACTTCTGGCTCTGGTCATCAGGCAGTAGTGTACCTTACAGATGAATAAAGAAAAAAATTAACAAAGCTGAGACCATCCTACAATACTCTGACTTTTATGAAGTAGTGATCACTCACCCCATAAAGTAGTTTCCGAATAATAAAAGCATTTTTCTCCGTATTAGTACATTATTTAACAAAAGTACAACATTTTTACTCAAAGTAAACAAACGTCACATACTTTAAGGTTAGAGAATATTTATACTAGATTTTCTACAGAGTGCAGACGGCACAGTTGCAGCATGCCTACCTCAGAAGTTGCCACTCCTAGGCATCTGTGAAAATGCCACAGCAGCTGTCAACTGTATCCAGGGACAGGCAGGCACAGGAAGGAGCAAAGCAGTGTGGTGACAACCATCTGGGCTGTCATTAGCTACTGTGACTAGTAACTAGTCACCTCTCCTTCAGATCAACCCTAAAATTTTGGTATATTGGATAAAGAAATTATGGCTGACTTTGTAGTTTCTAAGTGTATGTTACTTCTGTCTATTTTGTTTAAGTCTCAGCCAGGCTGTATGCCTCTAAACATCACTTCTCAGAGGATGGACGGCATACCAGATGTTGTCTGCTATACCAGCCCTGAAATCCTGCCGCCTGCCCTGTTCACCTGATTGCCTCACCTAAATCTGGGATAAAGACACATGGAGAAGTGGTCAATAAAACAGTCACTGCTGCTGGGATGCAGCTCAGTTGGCAGGGTTTGCCTAGCATGATTAGAGTATGTTCGATCCCCAGCAACGCATAAAACCAGACATGCTGGTGCGTAACTTTAATCCCAGCACACAAGATGAGGCAGAAGGACCAGAAAGTCAATCATCCTCAGCTATATACTGAGTTCAACGCCAGCCAGGGATAAATGAGAACCTGTCTCAAAACCATAAAGTAATCAGTGCTGCCCATTCTGTGTCCACTTCACCCCCAGCCCACATCTAAAATGAGAAAGTCAGCTTCAACTTTTCATTATCCCTCCCCCCACCCACCCCAGCATCTAAATATTCTGGAGTGGCAGATATCCCAGCTAAATCTAATGAGTTCTTTGATAAAATATCCCAGGGTAGCTATTTTCAAAGTATAACCTAATGATCTTCAAGACCTTTTCAGGAAACCACCAAACTACTTCCATAAATGATCCGTTGGTAAAGCAACGGCAAGCTAGAAAACTGCTGGAGTCTTAGTTCACGGAAGGACAGCAGTTTTGTGTCAGCAGTCAGTGTTTGCCACCACTGTGCATCACAGTTTACAAATAAAGTTTTACTTAGGAATGCTGCAGTTGCCAGGTGGGGGAGGCACATACCTTTAATCCCAGCACTCGGGAGGTAGAGCCAGGCAGATCTCTGTGAGTTCAAGGCCAGCCTGGTCTACAGAGCGAGATCCAGGACAGGCATCAAAACTATACAGAGAAACCCTGTCTTGAAAAACTAAAAAAAAGCAATATAAATAAATAAGTAAATAAAATTTAAAAAAAAAAGAAAAGAAAGAAATGCAGCAGTCATGCTTCATAGTGCCCAAAGATGCTCTGCAGGATGCTGAGGGAGCAAGGTCATCAACTGCCTGACCTGGTGCTGGGTCTCCTACAAAGTGGGACCACTGCTGCAATAGTGGAATGCCTGTTGGGCTTAACTGTTTTCTTATTGAATTTTCAGCCTGCTTCACAGCAGGGAACTGGTTCTAGTAATACTGTAAACCTGGTCAAAAGCGCATGCCTGGGGAGGTTACAGGCCTTAGGAAGTAAACCTACTTACTACTGTTGTTTGGCTAAACGACTACTGGAAAAAGGAGAGCCAATTTTCTTTCTTTCTTTCTTCTTTTTTTTTTTTTTTTTTTTTTTTTTGAGAAACAGTTTCTCTGTATACAGCCTTAGCTGTCCTGGAACCCACTTTATAGTAGACCAGGCTGGCCTCGAACCCAGAGATCCATCTGCCTCTGCCTCCTGAGTGCTGGGATTAAAAAGTGTGGGCCACCACAAAGGAGAATGAGCTTTCTTCAGGCATGTGGCCCCTGGTAGATTGTCCCTGTTCCAGCAGATGGCACCATACTCTTGCATATACAAGAAACATTAATCAGACTCAAGTGAGCCATGAAGGGTGTGTTGGGTGCAGTCAGGTAGAGTGTGGGAATAAATATAAAAATATATCTATGTATATGTGTGTATGTATACATATATGTGTATAAATATAAATGTGCATAAATATATATATGCATGAAATTCTCAAACAATAATAAATTTAAGACCAGTCTGGTCATCACAGCAAGTTCCAGGCCAGCTGGGGCTATAGAATGAGATCCTGTCTCAAAAAATAAATAGATAGACAAATAAGCAAATAAAGGAATGTCCTCAAATAATATAAAAAATTAATTTTATTAAATCTCAAACCTTGAACAATGGCAATTATTCATAAATCATTCCTACTGCAGATCAAAAAGGGCCTGTGTAACTGAACTGCAGACTCATCTTACTCAGAGAATATCATTCTGTTTTATGAGAATGAATGGCAGGCAAACCACAATTATTTAAACTTGCATTTTTAACAGACATTTTCTCAAAAAAAGAATGCTGTGACTTCAAAGAAAGCAGCTCATGGTATCTGATGCTAAACACATAATTTGGCCTTTCAAGTAAAACTTGTAATTCTGGAAAATGGCTACTACGGTGAATCTTGCAGCTTTACAGTACTTCAGGATTTTAAGATTGAGTTCATCATAATATTAACACACTCAATTGTTGTTGTTGTTGTGAGATAGAATCTCACTATGTAGCCCTGGCTGTCCTGGAACTCACTCTGTAGACCAGGCTGGCCTCAAACTCACAGAGATCTGCCTGCCTCTGCCTCCCAAAGGCTATAATTAAAAAGCATGCACCATTACACCCAGCTACATGCAATTTTTTGTACTGTGTGCAATCTGCCAATGTTCTGAAGACCTATATAAGTCAATGGATTACTATTTTCTGGATAACCATTGCACTAAGTCATATATTAAAAACAATATTCACAATGTCTAGATAGTCAATTTATTTAAAATGTGAAAAGTTCATTGATAAGGTTTTAGATTCCATGCTGGGAACAGCCACTAAGAAAAGACGACTTGCAGCCAGGTATGGTGATGTACGCCTTTAATCCCAGTACTCAGGAGGCAGAGACAGGTGGATCTCTGTGAGTTCGAGTCCAGCCTGGTCTACAAATTAAGTTGCAGGACAGCCAGGGCAGTTACACAGAGAAACCATGTCTCAGGAAAAAAAAAAAAGAAAGAAAGAAAAGAAAAAACCACTTGCTTAGCACACAAAGAGGAATATCCAAAGTTATCTGAAAAAGATATTAAGTACTCCTTTCCCCCTAATAACATAGCCATATAAAAGGAGACCAGATGTAGAAGTAAATGATAATCAGCTGACTTCTTTTAATTCAAAAAAATGTAGAGTCTTTCGGGTAGATGCCTAAAAGTGGTATAGCTAGGTCTTGTGGCAGATCAGTTCTCAACTTTTTGAGGAAACTCCACACTGGTTTCCAGAATATAGCCTCACAAAGACACATAAACTAAAAGCTTGGTCACCAGCTGGTGACTCTACAGAGACATAACAGAACTTTTAGGAAGTGGAGCCTAGTGGGAAGAAATTAGGTTACTGGGAGTGTTGCCTTGAAGAAGACACGGCCTTCTAGCCATCATGAAGCAAGCAGCTCCTCCATCACCTTCTCCCACCACAGCAAATGAAGCTGCCACAGGCCCACAGCATCAGGACCAAGCAACATGGGCTGAAACCTCAGAACAGTGAGCCAAAATCAACAGTTCTTGCATTGTTTATCTCAGGTATTACGTCACAGCAATGAAGGGCTAACTAACACCATAACTTACTCATAACTACATCCTTTACAACAAAAAATTCTTTAGTATCTTCAATAATTTAAGAGTGCAACTGGGGAGAAGGGAAGAGAGAGATAGAAAATACGGCCATAGTACAATGAATATATACCATGAAAATGCCATAATAAACCCATTGTCTTTAATGAAAGATTGAGAAGGCAGCAAATTAGACCTTGTCACAAAAAAGACAAAGAGTCTTGAGACCACAAAGTCTGAAAACCAATCTCCTGTGGCACTTAATAATAAAGTGTATGCTTAGCACGTACATGTCTCTAGGTCTAACCTCCAGGACCAAAATAAAAAAATGAAAATCAAATTATGAAATTCAAAATCCCATTGTGTCAAAGCTAAGTGTTCCAAACTGGATAGGGCTAGATCTCACATTAGTAACTGCAATCTGCTCCCGTCATTCAATCATATCTGTACTTTACAGTAAAATGTGTCATAGCCTGTTATTTGAATTATCTTTGTTGTTCATGGATTCTACAAAGCAATTATAAACTATTCAATTATTTTAAGATAAGCTAAGTGTGGTGGTGCACTTGGGAGGTAGATATCTGTACGTATGAAGCCAACCTGGTCTACATTAAGAGTTCCAAGCCAGCCAGAGCTATCTAGTAAGACCCCGTCCCTGTCCCTGTCTCTTTATCTACCTGTCGATAATCAATAGATATATGATTTAAAAAAAAATCCAGGGGCTTTCTATATTTCTCAAAAAAAAAAAGCATCCACATTTCTTACCCCCCCCCCCCCCCCCCCGCACCCTGCCGACCCTCTTCACCTAGCCACACTTGGCACACTCATTGCCAATGTCTTTTTCTCTGTATTCTCAGTGTCCAGCACAGTATCTGAACAAAACAGGCACTTCCTGAACATCTAAAATATGTCCCTTAAAGGGTAGTGCCAAGAAACAAACATACTGTTCCAGTTTACTTCTTTCAATTTGTGAAACATGATCCACTGGCAATGTTACCATCTGCCTTAGGGTTTCTATTGCTGTGAAGAGACACCATGACCATGGCAACTCATATAAAGGAAAACATTTAATTAGGGCTGGTTTATAGTTTCAGAGGTTTAGTCCATTATTGTCATGGTGAGAAACATGGCAGCATGCAGGAAAACATGGTGCTGGAGAAGGAGCTGAGAGTTCTACATCTTGATCCGCAGGCACACTGGGCGTAGCTTGAGCATATGAGACCTCAAAGCCCACCCCAACAGTGACACACTTCTTCCAACAAGGTCATACCTCCTAATAGTGCCACTCCCTATGGGCCAAGCATTCAAACACATGAGTCTATGGGAGCCATACCTATTCAAACCACCACCTCAGATAAAAATTTACACAAGTACTGGAGAGATGGCTCAATGGTTAGGAGCACTGACTGCTCTTCAAGAGGACCCAAGTTCAATTCCCAGCACCAACATGGCAGCTCACAACTGTCTGTAACTCCCGCTCCAGGGATCTAACACCCTCACACAACATACATGCAGGCAAACCACCAATGCACATAAAATAAAAATAAATTATTTTTTAAAAATTTACACAAGTAGGACTGGGCTGGGAATATAGTCTAATTGGTAGAGTATTTGCCTAGCATGCATAAAGCCCTGGGTTCAACCTCCAATACTGAATAAACTGAACATGGTGGTACATACCTGTACTCTCAGCATTTTGTTTGGTTGGCTGGTTGTTTGGTTTTTTGTTTGTTTGTTTTTTGGGTTTTTTGTTTTGTTTTGTTTTGTTTTGGGTTTTTTTTTTGTTTTTTTGTTTTGTTTTTTTGATGGTTTTTCAAGATAGGGTTTCTCTGTGTAGCTTTGGAGTCTTTCCTAGAACTCACTCTGTAGCCCAGGCTGGCCTCGAACTCACAGAGATCCACCTGCCTCTGCCTCCCAAGTGCTGGGATTAAAGGTGTGCGCCACCACCGTCCGGCTAATCTCAGCACTTTGAAGGGCACAGACAAAATGAAAAATATCCCTACTACTCACACCAGGCACACCAATAAGCACTGATGACATGGAACTTGCTTGTCCTCAGTCATGACTGAGAATGTTTTTGTTCCTATGGAATGAGATCAGAAAAGCTTTCAAACCACTGCTCCAGGTCAAATTTCAATGCTGTTTTCTCTGGTTAGCTCCGGATGCTTTCTGTTAACAGATGCAGCACACAGGAGACCACTTTGATCTACTACCCTAGGAACACACGGCTCTGCAATCAGGCAGAATTGGCTCTACAGTTTTACCATTGTAGCCCTGAATAGTTTCCATGCACAGAGATCTACCTCCCAAGTGCACCACCACACTTAGCTTATCTTAAAATAACTGAATAGTTTATAATTGCTTTGTAGAATCCATGAACAACAAAGATAATTCAAATAACAGGCTATGACACATTTTACTGTAAAGTACAGATATGATTGAATGACGGGAGCAGATTGCAGTTACTAATGTGGGATCTAGCCCTATACAGTTTGGAACACTTAGCTTTGACACAATGGGAGCCTGCATGGGATTGACTTAGGTCCTAGGCTCTCTGTATATATGACACAGTTGTGTAGCTTGGTCTTCTTGTGGGACTCCTAACATCGGGAACAGGGGCTGTCTGACTCTTTTGCCAGCTTTTGGGACCCTGTTCCTCATACTGGGTTGCCTGCTCAGCCTTAATACAAGGGGTGATGCTTAGTCTCACTGCAACTTGATATGGCATACTTTGTTGATACTCATGGGAGACCTGCCCCTTTCTGAACAGAAAGGGAGGAGGAGTGGGGGGCAAAGCGAATGTGGCTAGGGGGCGGGGGTGGACTGAGAGGAGAAAGAGAGGGGAAACTGTAGTAAAATCAATAAATAAATTAATTAATTAATTAATTAAAAAAAAAAAGGCAGTCTGAGCAAGCCATGAGGAGCAAGTACTCCTCCGTGGCCTCTGCATCAACTCTTACCTTCAGGATCCTGCCCTGGCTTCTCTAAGTCATGGATTTATAAGCTTTAAGATGAAATTCCTTTCCTCTTGTGAGTTTGAAGCCAACCTGGTCTACATAATACTGGGATCAGAGAGGCTCCCTAGCATTCTGGAGTGTACGTGCCATGCTTGAAGGCATTCTCATATGCACGTGGTGCTGGGGGCTGAATCCAGGACCTCACACATGCTAGGCATGTGCTCACTGAGCTACATCCCCAGCTAGCACTCACTGATTTGAGGGGGAAAAAAACCTAGGAGAAGGAAAGCTAAGTTATGTGTAGAGTTACTGGTGTCCAGCTACCTGGTCCTGAAGAAGCTGGAGTTCCCTGTGACAGAGGAACGTAGAAATAATCTGCCAAGCAATTAAAGGTAAGCAGCACTGTAACTTTGTCTCACTGTATTAACTGATGGCTATGTACAAACGACATACCTGGAAGCATGTGCTGCCCAGATACCATGAGGAGCAGCTTCTCCTGCTCCTCCATGAGCCTCTGCAGCTGTTCCAGCTGCTGCCTCTTCAGCTGCTCCTGCTTCTTCTGCTGTACTTCTTTCAGCTTTTTAAATGTAAAATCAAGTAATATTATACTTCACGACACCCCTTATCATTTATCTTAATTCCTTCATCCTCCCTTCCCAGATCAGCCCTGGTAAATAATTTCAAAAAAGACATTCCCACCCCCCCATAAGTAAATTTGCTACAAGAACACTAAAATCTAATTTCTTCTAAAGGGAACAATATTAGTATCTCAAATAAGAAACGGGGAAAGTGACTCCTTCCAGTCTTACAAGGGGATGGGGTATACCAGGACATCAAATATTTTCTGATGGTTGATCAACCATTTCTGACTTCATTTTTACCAAACAAGTTGGCAATTTAAAACCATGAATTTACCTTAACGGCTACATTCTGTACATGTGTATCAAACACATCTTAACGTTTCACATTAGACAGAGGACAAAAAGGGAAGACAAGATAACCAATAATACAACACCTATAACAATGCAAATATCGCTCGGGCCAAACCCTACCTGTTCCAGTTTTTTAAAAAGCAGGTTCTTATTAGCCACTTCTTTGAGTTCACTCGCAAGATCAGGCATAAAGTCGTTTTTGTTATCTTCCTGGTACCCAGGGGCATCCTGACATGACACCATTGGTTCCTTTTTAACTGGAGGAAAGACTGCATAGGCTTCGGAGTTTTCTGACTGTAGTTTATAAAGTCCTCCAGCCTCCAGCTTCTCTTCTTCCTGGAATGAACCCTCTTCACTACTAATGCTGAAGCTGTTGGAAAAGCGGGTGGCTTTAACCGGGAAGCTGGAAGAGACATTTGTAACTGCTTGTTTCTCGTCTTCCAAAGTAGGAAATCCTCGATTCAATATGACCCCAGCCCGAGGACTGGTCATCCACTGGGTTAGGAAGTTCTGCCCACTGTTTAATTCTGAAGAGGTTGGCATCAGGAACATTTCCGTCTAAAGATCCTTTTAAACACTGGAAAATCCAGAACACCTACTGACTTTCAGCACCTGTAAAAAAAGAAATCCAACAATGAGTCTTCATTAAAACTGTTACATATGCTCTGCCCAAAGAAGCCCAAGCCTCAACCCAGCTGGAAAATTAGTATTAACTACACAAAAGATTATAACAGGGAGTGACAAGGTGGTTCAGTGGTAAAGATGCTTGCCACCAAGCCTGATGGCATGAGTTCAATCCCCAGGTCCTACAAGGTAGAAGAAGAGAACAACTCCTACAAGCTGTCCTCTGAACTCAGCATTCTCGCACAGCACATATACAAATGTGTGCAAACACGCAAACACACACACACACACACACACAATATATATATATACATAGGCAAGCATAAAAGAAAAAGACTTTAATGAGAAAAGCAACTGAGCAGTAAACTGCTTGGCTGATTTGAGTTTTACCCTCAGAATCTAAATAGGTCAGAAACCTCAGGACACTTACGATCTAATCATTTAATTAGTAAGATATACACATGCTAGATCAGTTAACCTAAAACTATAGGATCTTAGATACCCTTAAGTTCTTCAATTCCAAAAATATATATATATCAAGAAGGCACAGCCAATGTCAGGTACTATTATACACTTACTGTTTTGCCCATTTGGGGAATTGAACAAAAGTCATCACACTAACACCACCTTGAACTAGGTTTTTACCTCGCCCTGAAATCCCGCCCTTTCCCAATCACCTCTTTTAGTACTCTTCTCCATCCCCCACCTGATCCCTCATGTTCCCATCCCCACCCATCCCTAGTCCATCCACGATGCATTGGCTTTGTAAATGCTCAGGAAGTGGAGAGAGTCAGGTATTAGAGCATAAGGCAGATGAGAAAGTAAGAAGGTGCCAGGCGGTGGTGGCGCACGCCTTTAATCCCAGCACTCGGGGAGGCAGAGCCAGGTGGATCTCTGTGAGTTCAAGGCCAGCCTGGGCTACAGAGTGAAAGGATTTCCAGGAAAGGTGCAAAACTACTCAGAGAAACCCTGTCTCGAAAAAACCAAAAAAAAAAAGAAAGAAAGAAAGTAAGAAGGTATAGTGGAAGAAGGGTGGCCTGGGAGCCTAGGGCGTCCTGTGGACATAGGTTTAATCACACACACACACACACACACACACACACACACACACACACACACACACACACACACACGGGAGAGGTGCGCACTCACACAAAGAAATAAAACAGAGACTTCAGAGCTGGAGAGATGGCTCAAGGTGGGTAATGTGCTTAAAAGCCTGAGCTGGTGCCGGAACCTCCACACATGAGCCATGACATGCACGAGCCCAACACAAATCATAGACACAATACTTTAAAATAGTAATGGTTAGACAAATAAGAAAAATCTAAATTTAGAAAGTAAACAAACTGCGAAGTCACTCTGTAACGTGAAAATAGTCAATAACTCCCTACTAGACTGACAAAAGTGTAATGTTGATTTAAGGCAGCATCATAACACTGTCTTTACACACACACACTCCCTTTTTTAAAGGACTAAAACGTCTGTACCATTGCAACAATTCCCTTACTATGATCCTAAAAATATACTTACTGCCATTTTTAAGCATAGAAATACTGAGTCACAGTCGGGCATTGGGGATGCACAGCCTTAATGCAGTATTCGAGTTGGAGGCCAGCTTGGACTACATCAAGTCCTTGTCTCAGGAACGCCAAAAGTGTTCCCCCCAAGTCTGCTTTTTATTACTAATATGAAAGCCTTGGTAAACCACAAGTGATAAAATGTCTAGAACAGTATATAATGTAGACACAGACATTAAAATCTGAAGTACACAGCATCTGTTCATGAAGCTGTAGGCATTGCCATAATTAACTGCACATCGATAAAGCTGTCTTTAAAAATACAAAAATTTAAAAAGCCGACTAGTTGAAAGGTTGACATCTTTAAAGCTATCTGGACAAAACATAAAATATCTGCACTGGAGGCGGAGGAAGATATGCGGGGACAATTCAGACCGTGAAAACGTTCGGCTGACAGGTCCGCCTCCCCCCAAAACACAACTCTTCTCGAAAGCCACAAAGCTTTTGGAGAAGCCCGGATGGACCCTGAAGGACATCAAGCGGCACCATTACACCCGACCCGGCGAGACAGTGTCCCCAGCGCGCGTCACCGGAGCCTCTTGTCCGCCTCACCCGGGACAGAAACACCCACCGCCCTCCCCTGAGGGGCGATCTCCCGGGTGCTCGGGAGAACAAAGCGGGTTTAAAAGCCCCGGAACCACCGCCGCCCGCCCGCCCGCCCGCCGGCGCCCGGCCCTCCGCGCCACGCCAGCCCGAAGCCCGAGCTGGCCTCTCAGGAACCGGACGGGCTCCTCCGCTCCTTTCGCCCCCCAGTTACCGTTCCACGAAGAGCCAGCGGTTCAGACCACTCCAACCAATGATACAGTCACCATCGAGTAGCCGCGGCATTTACGAATGAGCCGCCACAACCACCGCGGCGGCCAGAGCCCCGCCTCCTCGCCTGGCCCCGCCCAGGCCTGCTCCGATGACTCTTGGGAAGTGTGGTTCCTACCGCCCCTGTGAGCTTGCGCGCAGGCCCCTCGGGCACACGCAAACTACAACTCCCAGCATCACCGCCACAAACGTTGCTAGGGGATGCGCTTTGCGCGCTCTTTTGCGGCGGGCACTGGTCAACAGCTAAGTTGTTCCGGAGAGTAAACCGGTGCAGTCTTGACATCTGCTGTAACAGAAGGCGTGACCCCGGGTGCCAGGAACACGGAAACTCAAGCCTAACCTAAAGATGAAAGGTTTGGAAGAGTTTTGCCGCCTTCCCTTTTTTTTTGGATTGATTTGACTTAATAAAGGCCTGTTTAAAAAAAACAAAACAAAACAAAAATGACTTTGTTTGGTAGGGTGATTAAGTGAAGATAACCGTGGAAAAATTCACTCCGAAAATAATCATCTATTATGTGGGTAATAGGTGGCTTGACAAAGTGTTAATTCGGTATTTAAATTTTATAGGGGGCTTAAGAGATGGCTCAGTGGTTAAGAGCACTAACTGCTCTTTCAGAGGACCTGGGTTCATGTCCCAGCACCCACATGGCAGCTCACAACTGTCTGTAACTCCAAGATCTGGCATCCTCACACAGTCATACATGCAGCAAAACACCAATGCAAATAAAATAAAAATAAATAAATTATTTTAAAAAAATTTATATAGACTACTAAAAGTGCAGATATTAAAATATGTGGAATACTGAGGGCAGATTTCACTATTTGTATTGCCACCAGAGGGCTTCCAGAATACAGACACGACCCTTTAATATAGAAGCCACAGTACTTCATGTTACCACAGTGTACAGTCCTGGATTGAACAACACTGTAGATTGAATAACATCTATTTTTTTTTAAGATTTTTGTTCTTATTTTTAAGTTACTTCTACTTTATGTGCATGCATGTTTTTCCTGCATGTAAGTATAAGCCTCACATGTGTCCCTGCTGCCTTCGGAGGTCAGAAGAGGGCATCGGATCCCATAGACCTGGAGTTACAGATGTTTATGAGCTACCATGTAAGGTTTGGAACTGAACCCCATCTTGGGCAAGAGCAGGAAGTGCTCATAACCACTGAGCCATCTCGCCTTCCCTTCTCCTTCCAACCAAGCAGTATCTTTAAAGAAATCACAGGAGGGCTAAAGACGTAGGTGAGCTGATCAAATGCTTGCCTAGTGTCTGCTGGGCCTTGAGTTCTTTCTCCAGCACGGCATAAAGCAGAATTTGTGGCCAGTCTCTGAGGTGGAGAAGGTGAATCAAAAATTCAAGGTCATCCTCCAACATATAGTGAGTTAGAGGCCAGCATGGAACATGAGATTATCTGAAAAAGAAATCAAGAACAAAATTGCCCTTTATAACTGTAACTGGCTCAAATAAACCACTACTTTTAAAGATAATTAATATTTAGCATAGAGGCCTCAAACCTGGAGACTTAGGAAAAGGTTTTCAGAGATCTGTTTTGTTAGGTTACATCACAGAGAAGGAAACCAAAGCCCAAGAATGGTGGGGAATATTATTCTAAGGTGTGTTACTTTTGTTTATGTTGTATTTGTTTAACTCTGTGAAGCTGTGATACTTTGTCGGTCTAAAACACCTGATGGTCTAATAAAGAACTGAATGGCCAATAGAGAGGCAGGAGAAAGGATAGTTGGGGCTGGCGGGCAGAGAGAATAAATAGAAGGAGAAATCTGGGAGGAGAGAGGAGCAAGAGAAGTAGCAGCCAGAGAAGGAAAAGGACTCCAGGGGCCAGCCCCCCAGCTACACAGCAAGCCACGAGTAAGAGAAAGATTTATAGAAGTAAGAGAATAAGAAAAGCCCCGGGGCAAAAAGTAGATGGGATAACCTAAGTTAAGAAAAGCTGGGGTTGGGGATTTAGCTCAGTGATAGAGCACTTGCCTAGCAAGTGCAAGGACCTGGGTTCGGTCCTCAGCTCTGAAAAAAAAGAAAAGAAAAGCTGACAAGAAACAAGCCAAGATAAGACTGGGCAGTTGTAAGTAATATTAAGTCTCTCCATGTGTGATTTATTTGGGAGCTGGGTGGTGGGCCCCCAAAAACGAGCCAGAAAATCCCCAACAACACAAGACTTCCAAGATCACACACTTAAGATGCTGAACAGAGAACTGAGCTCAGTGGGTAGCAGAGCCCTTGTCTAATATGCTGGAGGCCCTGGGTTCCATCTACTAGTTGCAGTCAATCAGCCAATAAATTAATTTAAGATGCTGGACAAGGGCTCAAATGGTCTTCATTTAACCTGAAAGGATGCCCAAAAATCATTTTCTTAAAATGTGTGTCTTTAAGGGTAATCACAATGTCTTCCACTTTTTCTGCCTACATTTTATTCTGTTATGTGATGTTTTGATTGTGTTCTGACAAATAAAGCTTGCTTGGAGTCAGAGGGCGGAGCTAGCCTCTAGCTGACCTTAGAGGTTTGGAGGACTGTAGACAGAGAGGAGACAGGAAGTGGTAAGGCAGGGCTGAGAGAGGATCTCGGCCCTTTTTGAGCAGAGGAACAGTAGAGATAGGAAGCAACTGGTGACTGCTCCCTGTTCTCTCATCTTTCAGGTTCTTACCCCAGTATTTGACTCCCGATTTTTTATTGCTAAAGATTGATTAATTAATGCTTCCTCATTCTCTATAGTATGTTATGCCGCATTGCAACATTACTTGTTGACTGATAAATTTTGTCACACTCATCCTCTCTCTCTCTCTCTCTCTCTCTCTCTCTCTCTCTCTCTCTCTCTCTTTCTTTCTCTCTCTCTCTCTGTGTCTGTCTCTCTGTCTGTCTCGTGATCCTCTTGCCTTCACCTCCCAAGAGCTAGATCACAGGTATGTGCCACAATCCATGACTTCACACTCAAGTTTAAACTAGATATTAAGTTTCTAATATATCAGCTAGGGCTACACAGAAAAACCCTGTATTGAAACACCACCACCTCCAAAAAAAGATTCTAATATGTAAGTTATCACCTGGAACCTACATTTAAAAAATAGTAGGGTACAGGCATACACCTGTCATCCCAGCACTTGTCAAAGGAGCAAGAGGACTTCAAGGTCATCCCTTGAACAGCTACAAACTGTTGAGGTGTTTTGAAATATCTAATTATGCTAAACTGTAATTGTTGGTGGTGGTTATTACTCTTTTGGGGGGCCTGCCACCCAGCTCCCAAGTAAACACACATGGAGGCTTATTCTTACTTATGAATGCCTGGCCTTAGTTTGGCTGTTTCTTGCCAGCTTTCCTTAACTTAAATAATCCCCTCTATCTTTTGCCTTGGCACTTTTCCCTTTTTCTTACTTCTGTAACCTTACTTTGTTTCTTACTTCGTGGCTTGCAGTGTAGCTGGGTGGCTGGCCCCTGATGTCCTCCTCCTTCTCTAGCTACTTTCCTTCTTTTTCTCCTCCTCTTTGCTTCTTTCTCTCCTCCCAGATTTCTCCCTCTATATATTCCCTCTGCCTGCCAGCCCCACCTATCCATTCTCCTGCCTCACTATTGGTTGTTCAGTTCTTTATTAGACCATCAGGTGTTTTAGACAGGCACAGTAACACCGCAAATGTAACATAAGCAAAAGTAACACACCTTAAAATAACATTCCACAACATTTCCCTCTTTTTGTCTAAATAAAAATGAAAGGGTTTTAACTTAAACATAGTACAACTACATACAATAATAATTATCAAGTAAGGATTACATTCACAATATTCTGTCCATTTGTAGTTAGCATATTCAGAGAAAATAATGCATTATCTATCCTATCTTAGTGAATACAAAACTCTATACCTAATTTACTTTCTATCATAACTAAAGAAAACTGCAACTGTAACTATTTAGTCTTCAACTCCTTCAAAGACTCAGAAGGATGTAATATTATTTAACAACAGAGACATTTGGCTACCTGGACAGTCACCCAAAGTTCCTCTGCAGCATTGGGGCATCCGTCTTTAGTCTACGGGCCCAGAATATCTGTCAAACTTTTTAGTGAAGAAGGAAATTTGGACTATCCTGCCTTGTATTGGCAAAGTTCATCAGTCACTTTCTTCTGTGTCCTACAGAATATCTGGCAGATTCTTCTGTGAAGCAGGAATGTTGGACTGTCCTGCCTTGTTTTGGCAAAGTTTATCAGTCATTTTCCTGTGTGTCCTGCAGAATAGCTGGCAGACTCTTCTGTGAAGCAGGAATTTTGTAGGACTGTCCTGCCTTGTTTTGGCAAAGTTCAACAGTCACTTTTCTCTGTGTCCTGCATGTCCAGTCTGCACAGCACATTGTCAGCAGTCAAATGCAAGAACAGTTTCTTTGCCTAGTGGCCAACCTTGCCACAGTGAAAGCAAACTCCATAAGGAGTTTCTTCAATGCCCATCATCTCTGAAGTAAATTGGTGCTGCCAGGAACAGATGTATCTCATCATCAGGAAAAACCCTATGTTAACAAAACATTTTTAAATGCCATATTCTGTAGATCTTTGAAAGGGTTGAAGACCATATATCTATCTAAAATATATCTCTATATGATCTGGAAAGCATACCTAACATATCTACATATTTGACTGTTATAAATTACTAATGACTAACCTATGTTTCCTGATTATCTTTTTTTTTTTTTTTTTTTTTGGTTTTTCGAGACAGGGTTTCCCTGTGTAGCTTTGCGCCTTTCCTGGAACTCACTTGGTAGCCCAGGCTGGCCTCGAACTCACAGAGATCCGCCTGGCTCTGCCTCCCGAGTTCTGGGATTAAAGGCGTGCGCCACCACCGCCCGGCCTGATTATCTTATATAGTTTATAATTATAGCTTTCAAAAATTAGAACTTCACCCTACATTTCCAAATGAAGTGTATAAGCAAAGTACCACAAACAAAAATAGAAACATACATACAGTATTGTTGTAACAAAAATAACCTTAAAATTGTATCAATATATAGCCAGGCAGTGGTGGCGCATGCCTTTAATCCCAGCACTCGGGAGGCAGAG